CTGTGCATCTTCTACCGCATTTACTATGGAGAGTGTTCAGAGGAGTTTTTCGGACTAATACCAGCAGCTGAATTTCATCACCGGATGTCAAGGCAGCATACAAAATACCATCCGTATCACCTCGACGTTCGTTCCACAACTGCGCGTTTCTTAAGTTTCTGCCGCACACCACCACTATGAACCAGCTGACCACTGAACTATTTCCGAACCAATTTAACTTGGGCTTCAAGAAAAGAGCGCCAAGTCTTAAAAGGCGGGTAATGCCATAGCGAGCCTTCTTATACTTCTTTGGCATTATTAAAAATAGTTTTTGAATTCATGCAAATAATTAATTACAATTAAATAATCAAAGACTGGAAAAGGAGTCATTATAGTCAATAAAGTTCAGTTTACATTTGAAAAATTAAATAAATAAATTGTATTATTATTCGAATGTTGTTTTTAAATTATGTCCAATGCCGTAGCATCTTCCGTGGGCAACTTCATTCTGTTAATTTTGTGTAACGGTGCGCACGCATCGTAAAATTTCACTCTCATCCATTTTTCATAACGCGCCTAAAGAAGTATAACTTCAAAAATATAATACATAAGTCTTTAACCATTTAAATATCGTAGTGCTTTAGTGTATGTATATGCTCATGTGTTCCCATGCTACACCTACTCAATAATAGCCCGCTACAAGTAGACTAATTGAGTTTAATTGAAACGGCAATGAATATAAGTAGATATTGTATCACGTAATGCGAGAAAAAATTGTAATCTTCTTTCGCTTTAGGTTTTTCCATGACTATTATTTCGATAATTCCTATTAAAAATGTATAATAGTTCGTAGAATAACATAGAAAAAATCTTTTTTGTGATAGAATTTGATTTAATTATTTTAAGCGATACAACATAAAGATAGTTCGATACCATTTGTATAGTACGATTTGTCTTTAACCTCAAAATAAGCTTCAGTTACGGCGATTAGCTCTTGATCAGCGTAAATCTGTCCAGTGAGCATTCTCTTGAGGTCTGAGATCAAGCCAAGTCGCTGGGGCTCAAATATGGAAAGTACGGTGGATGCGGAAGCAATTTGAAGCCCAATTCATGGAATTTTGCTATCGTTTTCATTGATTTGTGACATGGTTAGAGTTGTAGTTACTACGTTTTTTGTTACTGTGGCAGTTTTGTTGTGTGGGAGTTCATAAACACTTTAATTATCACAACTTTGCGGTTCCAAGTTGTAGAAGTTTTACTTTACTCCACTGTTATGACACGTTCTCAGCATTTGAAAATACAATGTTATATTTTCTCTTTAATATTCGCCTATTTCAGTTGACTTTATTATGCAAGTTACCCACGATACAAAATAATTATTTTTTTCTGTTAAATCTTTATCATTAATATCGATTAATTAACACTTATTACTTTCAGACTTATTGTCGCTATTCTATTTCATAACCCTTCTTCATACAAAACAATGTAAACCCAACTATTTCAAATTCCTCGGTCTAATACAAACTATTTACAGATTTTAACAGAAATTACCAGCAAATAGATATATTGAATATAACTATAAAATGCTCAAAAAACTCTGGTATGCTTTATTAGACATAATGGGTTTGTTATTCTTCTTTTATCTCGTAAATAAATTATAATGATCTTACAATTTATTATATATATATTTTTTTTTTGTTTAAGTAGGTAACAATTGCTATCTGTATTTTATGTTTATGTTTGAATATGTATTCCGTTTTTGGCTTTTATGTATAATGTAATTGTTTAGATAATGTATAATAAGCAGCTGTAGGAATACTGATAAGCAAATAAATAAATAAATTACCTTTAAGATAACAATGAACAGCTGATAGTCCGTGGTAAATTATATGTCAATTAGTACAATTTTTATTAACAAAAGCTTGCCAATGTTCGGCAATATAGATATAATGTGACCAAAAAATGTTTCAAGGTATATGATAAAGCTCAGTTGTAATTAAAATCATTTAATAATATTAACCTAAGCTATACAATAATAATTAAACTTAAACAAAAAAAAATCATGATGGGGAAGGCTAGGCATTTTCACAAAACAGACAAATGTGTATTTCTTACAGATCTTCATCGTCCACGCTAGTACAAGCGCTGTGAGCCCAACGCCCACAGGGCTTGCAACCTAACCAAGGTTCATCATACCCCACACCCAATACCCCATCTTGCCTCATAAGGTCACTCTGAATAAAAAAAAGTTTGGTCCCTGCGGCAGTGTACCCTTAATACTGCATTTCCTTGCTGTATTGCGATATTCATTTAAGCGAGGAACCATAAGATAAATACAATACAAAGTTATAGGAATTCATATACATGTAGTAGTTTACGGTGCGTTATAACAGTAGTAATGTATGACAATCATAAAATAGGTTAGCCACAGAAGCGTAAATTAAGCAATAAAATCTTCGGATGAGCTCGGATGTTGCGAATGACCAATTGGGGAGCTATTTCTGGCGTAAGGTGCGGTCTCGTGACGCTAGGATTGTCACTAGCCATTTATTCACTAGCTACTAGCTAATCCGGCAAATATTAATTTGACGACATTTCAAGTACAGATGGCTGTCACGCGCTTATAAATTATGAAAACTTATGCAGAAGATAGTAGCACTCAAAACACACTTAGAGAACATATAAAATAAGAAGCCTTTAAATGCTGTTTAAATTATATTCTTCGCGATTTTAACGTATTGAACGGTGCTTATCCGGAGCTGGATATATTCGGTAGTGGGCTGATCGGTTTTAGAGAACGCATTGTTGGGTGCCGATCTCGAACCTAATTCGCTGTTTTGCTGATGATTTTTTTTTCTGATTTACCAAAAATTTCTGGTAACTTCACTGTATGCTTATTTTATCTTGTATATATTTTACATTTTAGATAAAACAGTAACATATGCCGTAGATTTAGTACTATATATGATGTGGTAAACTATAATAAATAAATATATGCTAAATATAAAGTGAATACCGAATATGCCTAAAGTAATATAATATTTAGTCCCTATATACTTATATATTTACAGCTTGTCCTTCGATAATGGCTTCCTTTGAATTTTTCCAATCTTAACGTTCTCTAGCGGTTCGAATCCAAATTGGACTCCGCCACCTTTTGATATCGTCCTCACAAATAGAGATACCATATTTCAATGTTGTCAAAACAGCATTAGGCTTCTAGTCTAAGTATTACTCGGGCGAAGGATACTACAAATTCAGGCGCAGCGATTTCTGTACGAGTAAAAGCGGTTGATTTAGTGATTGATTTTATTTTAAAAGACATTTTGTTGACATACATGATTCGCTTTTGCATGCTCGCATGATATATGGGAGGATTATGTTTCTTATGTATCACTTTCGGGAAAGACTATAACTTTTATAATATATTATAACATGACTGATTAAAACAATCAGTTGCAATATATCTTAATACACGGTTGTGACAACCCTAACAAATAGTGAATGTTCCATTCAATATGTTGTTCAGTAACTTCTCGTAATATTTATGAGGGAATATTATTAGGGTACTCAAGTATTTATGTATTTTTTTAAAATTTACGGATGATGCATGATATATATTATGTTGTACCCATGTGTATAAATTTTTAATTTTTTTATATAGAACAGGGGGCGGGATGCTCACCTAATGTTTAGTGGACACTCTCAATGCCAAAGGCTCGCGAGTGCGTTGCCAGCCTTTTAATAGTACGCTCTTGAGTGACCCTAAATGGTTCGGAAATGATTCAGTGGGCAGCTGGTTCCACATAGTAGTGGTGCGCGGCTAAAACTGACTTAAAAAACGCTCATTTGTGGATCGACGGACGTCGAGGTTATACGGATGGTATTGTGTATTCTGCCTCGACGTCCGATGATGAATATATTTAATATTATTTCTTATGCCGTTGAGCTATAATTTCCACTCAGTATCCGTTTATATTTGAAAGATTGAACGCATGTTTTTTCCATTAATTTGTATAGTTTATACTACACGAATTCTATTCGAACTATACACGTTCGTGACGCCGTTTACTTCATAATACGACCACGGAGCGCTACTCAAGTGTTTCATACATAATTAATTTTTTATTACTATGTAATATTGCATGTTATTTATGTTAAATGACCTACGCTTTGAAAAGGCGTATCCAGGAAATACATTTACTGGTATACCCACGCTTAAACTAGATTATGTCCGCACTTAGAAGGATTGGGTTGTTAGAATTCCTGTGACCTGTCCTACATTTTACATTAACACTGGTAGAACAAGGTTTTAATAAGGAGGGCTCTCTGTAAAAAAAATATAACAGGCTAAATGCTGGTGGTCCTTGCTCTATGCATATAGAGGTCCACCAGGCGCTTGCTAATTCCTCATTAGCGTCTGAACATTCCTGTACGATGAGACAACTCCAGACAATATCCAATAATCTACACTACCATATATTGTCATGGGCTAATGTGTCTTAATAATTTATTACTAATAACACAGTATAACTGTATCACACCCATGGTTAAATGGTTCATATGCCGTATAACCCGGATCTGCTAGGTGGAACTAATAATTGTTTTGGGTGGGTAAGTGTTGACCAAGTGGCTTCAGGGTGCGACTCGCATAACTGAGGTCGTAGGTTCGATTCCCGGCTGTGCACCAATGGAATTTATTATTATGCGCATTTAACATTTGATCAAACGATGAAGGAAAACATCGTGAGGAAACCGGCATGTCTTAGACCCAAAAAGTGTGTGTCAGGCACGGGAGGCTGATCACCTACTTGCAAACATCTGAGTCCCAGACCTGAAAAGGTTGTTGTGCCACTGATTTAATTTTTATAAAGTTCAGAATGCTTTTCCCCAACTTTACTTTAAAAGTCGATAAAACTGACGAAACCGTTGTTTAAGAAGAGAATATGGAATTGCTGTCGATTGCCTGATTAGAGGTTACAATTTATTAATATCGAAATGTTTCACAGCTAAACCCCCACATGAATGATTTCCATCGTCGCTATGTAACGGAAGTACGTCGTTGTAGCGAGATGGAACGGAAACTGCGATGGGTCAGCGGCGAGTTGGCAGAACCGCCGCCCCCGCCCAAACCCGCGCCCAGGATTATGAGCCCTCGAGAGATTAACATATTGGAGGTAACATAAGTGTAAATAACGTCGAATAGACATTTATAGCCCAAATTACAATTATTTGTATCGTTCGAAATTTAAAAATCTAATTACGAAAAACGAACGCCAAAGCGGAACGATAGAATGAAGAACTTTGTATTAAAACCCATTAATATTATTATTATTAAAATTACATATTTTATTAACTTGTATTTGCATAGTGGTATACATTACACATTACATTACATTATATAACTGGTAAGCTATTGATTAAAAAACCAACAAAAATATAACAAAAAAAAATTATCAAAAAAATCGTACATTTTCTAATCATCTTGGTTTTTCCTTTTTCGTAATAGACCTCCTGAACAGAAGTTTAAAATTGTTTGTCTCATTCTAGTCTATCTTAACAAAAATTTTGTCTAACTTATTGATTAGATATTGTTATTGTTCTATAAAATCTTTTTCTCCAGGAAAGAATTGACTTCATAGAATCAGAGATACAAGAAATAACAAGAAACGCACAGAACCTTAAAACGGACTATCTATCCTTGATCGAACTGAAAATCCTTATCGAGAAAACTCAAACATTTTTCCAAGACCACAGCGCTCATAGAAAAATTTCTGCCTCAGTACAAGTATACAATAACGAGGGCGTGGGGGGACATTTGGGGTTCATAGCTGGTGTCGTGGCGACACCGAGAGTTGCATCCTTTGAGAGAATGCTCTGGAGGATTTCACATGGCAACATTTTCTTTAAGCAAGCGCAAATTGACGAGCCGTTAAAGGACCCTGTGACGGTGAGTTCTATAGTAAACTAAGTAGCAACAGAATTCTCAGCAGGTATGAGAACAATATTGTCTAAACGAGTTATGAGAAAACTCGTTTAGACAATATTATTGGCAGATTCGATGGCACGCTAGATAATATTTATAAGTTTTTTTATGTAATAGGAGGCAAACGGGCAGGAGGCTAAACTGATGTTAAGTGATACCGCCCGCCGCCCATGGACACTCACATTGCCAAAAGGCTCGCAAGTGCGTGGCTGGCCTTTTAAGAATTGGTACGCTCTTTTCTTGAAGGATCGTAAGTCGAATTGGTTCGGAAATACTTCAGTTGGTATCTGGTTCCACATAGGCGTGCGCGACAAAAACTTAAGAAACTTTCAAATGACCGCGAAACTGAGAAAAATTATTGTAACAAATACCTGCGTATTCATATAAACTAAAATATTGCATTTTTGAAGTTATACTTCTTTTGGCGCGTTAGAGAAAAATCGCGTCACAAAAAAACCGACACCCTGAAGTTAGCACATGTTAAAATAAAAATAAACTATTTTATTAATTATGTAGAAATAATATTTTGTGAAATTTAAATAAACTTTATTTAATTAGATAATGCGTTATAATAAAAATTTCAATGTATCAAATACCTTTTTTCTATTGTTAGTGTCGTTTTTTCTACAGTTCAGTATAACTTCTAACGCGTGTACTTAAGTACACACACATGTTTTCTTAAACTTAAGTACTCTAGATATCAAATTGTGTCTATGTTGTAGTAAAAAGAGACTGTAAAAACGGCGAATTTACATATTTATTTTTTATGGTTGGGGGAATTAATTTCTATCATAGCGTTCAAGTCAATTTACCTAGGTCCTGCGATTATTTTTAATTTGAATAATAAACTTAATACAGTGCTGAGATAATAAACAGTCGTAACGATCACCCCTTCTGCATAATATATTAAATATCTGCGCAGTTGCAGCCTCGAATAGTACATCAAACTGAAGATTAATGTACTAATTAACCAACTAGTAAGCACATAAGCTTAGTCATGTGAAAATTAATTGGAGAGTCATTAAATTATTCCATTGCAGTCCAGTCAGAGAATATGAACGTAAATCGAATAATTCTTTTCTTCCTGCTATCTTTTTATTGTTGTATTGTAAAATCTTTACGGATGAAACGCAATAATATTAATATTAGCGTCACGAAGATGTGCAGCGTTTTTGTCGGGAGAGAGCGATTGAAACCGGTTGAGAGGGAGTGAGAAAGGCGAATTACCTTAAGGAAATTTCTAAAATTAAAATTTAAAAGAGTATTTATGAAATATTGGTATATTAGTATTTATATTTTAAACAAAATAATTAATTGAATTCTTAAATGACGAATTGTAAATTAAAATTCCACATGTTTTTACTATCGAAGAAATTAATTTAAAAAAATATATATATATAATTTGTATGAATTTTCGACACTTTTAATATTTTAATGACAATTAATTTCATTGAATCTCTTTTCATAATAGCGTAAACAAATTTGATAGAAAAAAGAGGTAAGAGAGTTAGTAAACTAAATTGTTTAGCGCAAATGGACTGGTTTTTTAAAAGGTTGTTGTATGTTGTGTCTTGACACTACGGGCCTAGTGAGAAGACTGAAGAGGACAAAACCATTTGAACTAGTGAATTAGTGTTAGTGCACGTTAGTCATGTGCTAAACAGTGGTAAGTGAAATAATAGAACACAAGGACATAGTGTGTTCCGTTTAATAGAGACGTAAGTAGTGAGTAAGTAGTGTTTAGTACACTTTCTTATGTTAAATATCCTTTTTAGCGAATTAGATTAAATTCAAATTCAATTACTTGCCCTAAAGTTAGACTAGATCGTAATGTTTCATGATGTCTTCGTAGAGAAACATGTATTTACAAAAAATGTTGAATGCATATTGAAAATGTTTGTTCCATGTAAGATAATTCGTTAAGACAACATGACATGCATAAAACTATGTTGATAGGTAATATGTTTTGACACCAATTTTGCATGAGCAATTTGATTAGGGATTTTATCGTTTGTACATTTAGCTTATTTTGTGAGCCCATAATATGACTATCGTAACAGTTACAAAAAGTGTAGTTTAATTGTGAATTTAAAGGTCAGTAGTCAGGGAGCTACTCCCTCAAATTTTGTGGTAATAATAAAACAATATTAAATTATGTAGCAGTGTCTAGTACCAAGGTCTACCTACCCTAAGGTCTTTAGGTCCCATATGGATACTTTGACCGCTGGGGCAGCGACTGTTATAAAGAAATGCATTAAAAATGTTGAGGTATATTATACAGTTACACCGTAAAGTAATATATGTAGAATTATAAAACTATACAGCTGTTTAAATATAAAAATATCTGCAATACAGTACACGCGTGCTGCGGTGAGGTCATTGTCCTTTATTGATTTTCCAGTTAACATAAGAGCTTTTATAAAAACTATTAGGGTGAAAAATTTGAGTCACGTCACTTGTCATGTGAACAAAGACTAATTAAAATATGATTTTCCTGTTAACATTTTTGAATACAAAATACCGTATATATTGTTTATTATTAATTTGAAGATTCAGAAATTTAATAAAGGACTACAAGAAACTTAGATTAGATCAGATGAGCTTAGATTAGATAGATTTGATTACCTACGCATAACACGATCCTTTAGTGGTTGCCGTTGGGACTAGGGCGGCTTCTGGTTAAGCTTGAGGTTTAAAAATATGGACCTCGACAGACGAAAATAAAGTAATTCAGTCTTCCGAAAGTTTTCCGATATTATGTATACGGTTCCTTAGTTTTAGTTTCCTCTATCTCTTTATTAACCATCGCGTACAACAATAGAATATAAGCTAAATAATTAAATGTTAATTGCTATGACGTAACAAATGAATGCAATGTAACAGTTGAAGGGAGTACTAACGTGTGGCTATACTCTCGGGGCGTAACTCCCATGATTGAGTTAATTTCTATGAAACGAATGAATGCAATGTTGAAGAGAGTGCCTGCGTTTGGCTATACACTCGGGTGGTAACTCCGACGATTTAGGAAACCAAGCAAGGCTGAGTGAGCAAAATGTACAGCCTTGGCTCGTACAATGGAATACAAATTATTAGTTAGAAGTTACAGGACTCGTGTTATTTTAGTAAAAGTTATTTATTTAGTTATTAAGCTTACGACATCACACACAGTACTAAATCTACTAATTATGTTACAAAATATTACATCTAAAATGTGTGACAATTAAAGTAAACATAAGTTTCACACAAAAAAATAAAAATAAAAAATACAATTAAAACATATACAAGATAATAAAAGCACGCAATAAAATAAAATTATAGAAATTTGTTGGCACTTAAAGCAGAAAAAAAAGAAAAATCATCAGCAGAACAGCGAATTAGGTTCGAGAAAGGCACCCCACAATGCTTTCTCTAAAACCGATCAGCCCACTACCAAATATATCCAGCTCCGGATAAGCTGTGTTCAATGTGTAATAATCTTTGTTATATGTCTAAATAATAACTACGCTGGCCATGGGTTAGTTGATGACACACGTTGATTATTCATTGCTTGGTTCCTTGTTCAAGCAGTGTAGGCCTCGTAGCTCCAGCGTGCGACTCTCATCCCTGAGAGTCGTAGGTTCGATCCCGGCTGTGCAGCAACGGACTTTCTTTCTATGTGCACATTTAACATTCACTCGAACGGTGAAGGAAAACATCGTGAGGAAACCGGCTTGCTTTTACCCAAAAAGTCAACAGCGTCAGGTACAGGAGGCTGATCACCTACTTGCCTATTAGATTGACAAATGATCATTAAACAGATATAAAAATCTGAGGCCCAGACCTAGAAAGGTTGTAGCGCCACTGATTTTTTTTTGGTCCTTGTTGCTCATTTGAGCAAGTGCTTCTTGCGTACCAATAATTATTAATCTAACACGTAAAAAATATTTAATAGCTAGTTTCTTCCAGGGTCACGAACTACAAAAGACAGTTTTTGTAGTATTCTTCCATGGAGAGCAAATAAAGTTCCGAGTTAAGAAAGTGTGTACGGGATTTCAAGCTACTCTCTACCCATGTCCGGCTACTTATAAGGACCAACAGGACATGTTAGGTGGAGTCGAAAGCAGAATTAAGGATTTGGAAATGGTATGGAATTTAAATAATCTATGTAAAATATACGCTTAAAAAATTAACACGTATTTATGTACGTATTACATAATATATAATATATGATTATATTATATCATTTGACATTTCCGATTTGGAAACTTTTTGTATTGTTTTTTTAATTTAACAAAGAAGAGAAGGAAAAGCGCAGTGTTAGCCTAGTGGTTTCAGCGTGCACTCTCATTCCTGAGGTCGTAGGTTCTATAGCTAGCTGTGCACCAATGGACTTCCTATGTGCGCATTTATCATTTGCTCGAACGGTGAAGGAATAATCGTGAGGAAACCGGCTTGCCTTAAACCCAGAAAATCGATGGCGTGTGTCAGGATTAGATTCAATAATTAGCGTAGATCATGAAACAGATTCAGAAATTTGAGGCCTAGATCCAATTAGCGTTGTAGCGCCACTGATTTTTTTTTATTTCTCAAATTTATTGTGTTTTATAAATAAAAAAAGATAAGTTTTTAAAAATAATATGGGGGAGGTTCTATCGAGGTATTAATTCGACGTGTTTATCTTTAACGCCAAATCACCAATACAATTTCAGTACCAAGACTAACTTGTGTGTTTTTGTTTGTCTGAACTGTTAACCAGTAGAAATGTCGTTAAGTCACATTGCAGTCAATAAATGGGTGATTATTTAGTTAATTGACGAAAGATAAGAATCGTATGCTTTATGCAGTATGCATTAATGTTGCATATGTGCGAAATTAAATGGCCATTGAACCATGCCATTTTTTTTTGAATATGTATTTATTTATTAGTAATCTTACAGCTAACATACATATTATAAAACAAAACACTTAGACAATATAAAAAGCCAAAACAGATTACATAGTTAAACAATATACGTATATATGAAACAGAAAACAAGTAAGTACATTAATAGACATAAATATAAAACAAAAAACTAAAGAAAACTGAAATTTAACATTTTAAACATCAAATATTACTAAATATTTCAAAGAAAAAACTAGTGTTAAAAAAAACAAAGTCTTCCCGCCTCTTCACATTCTCTTTGGTAAGGTGGAAAATATCAATATACTCATAATTAGTGTTATAGTTAGATAAAACCCCTAAACATTGGCGAATTATGCAGGTAATTATTAGAATATACAATAAATATAATTATTACCGAGACGATCCCTATATTGCGTTTTTGTACCGCCCGACCCCGAGGTTGCGTTTACAGTGCCTGTGAATGTGTGTATTGAAATTACAAATCGGCACTACTAATACGTTACCTTAGATAAAGATAAGGTTAAAATCCAGCTTAGCTAATACATAATCGTATTAAATACTGCTTCGTATTGATAGTAACAGGGCTGTGTTATTCAATTATACGTGTAATTGTACATTGTATTAGATTATGTAAGTGATAATCTTACAGTTCACGGTACTGGCCGCAATATCAAGAAATTGTGTCAAGATGCCAAGAAATACACGTTAAAATTAAATTAACTCAGAGATTGTTTTCTCATAGGATAAATTATACTGTACGAAAATGTTTAATTTAAAATTCAATCTTAATATTAATGAAGCCGAATATGGTGGTGTAAAATTTATTGTATTTGATTTTAAAGTTTCATTACATTTTATGGTTTATCTCGGACCTGTCAGAAAAAGATTGTTATTTTGACAAATGTCAATTCTCAGTTTGTTAGCGACGTTCAGTATTTAGTTTAACAATCTTTTGAAGTTATATAAATAATGGTTGCGTTATTATCTTAATAACGTAGTTAACATAATATTAATAATTAAAAATTAAAAGAAGAACATTAAAACAAATTTTAAAATTTTGGTCCCTGTGGCAGTGTACCTTTAATGCTGGCAGCATTTCCTCGCAGTATTGCGATACTTATTCGTTGAGCGAGGAAAGCACCAGCTCTGGGGTCACTGATACTATATACCAGGCCCCCACTTGAACCCCACGGCCCAAGAGTCTCTACTCCAAAGGAAAATAATTCATATTATTCGATGCGTTTGAAGCGAAATTTTGATTAAAATATTAAAAAGTTAAAGACAATAGAGTTATATATTATTGCCTATGTTCTGTGCCCGTACCAGAGTTCTTTGCCATAGACACACATTTTCCATAGATATTTCCGTCATGACAGTACAATTCAAAATTTAGTTTTGTCTGCTTAAGTGGTGTTAAAAATATCAACGGTTGTAACAACTGTTATTAATTCGAGTTAAATGCGTTTTATTGTCGTTTAATGACAATACTCTGAAAACCTGATGATAAACGATCGGCCCTAACAAATATTGCGTTTAGTTTACTTCCTTGATTAATAGTAATGTATGTTTAGTTATTTCTTATAAATATCCGCCTTAAAAATGCGAGCAAATCTGTATAACAATAACGTTATATTATATAGCTTTAACGCTACTTTAACTAGCATTGCCGTAATCGAAAGTGGCTAAAGTAAAAACCTAAACAGCATAGAAATTTTATCGGAGATATTAAAAAGGCACTATAACGCGGCAGTTGTATTGAGTAGTATTGGTAAATTGAAAATTACAAAATGCATATTTAGTAACAAGTTCGGCAGTTAAAACTTAGCAGTAAAGTAAACAAAAATGAGTCGTAAAAAATTATAAAATAGTTCATATAATAAATACTGAGCAGTGAAATAGCTAAATGGGCTGGTACGAGTGGGGCATCCTAAACCTAACCTAACCTAAAAAAATTTTTTTTACTTTATTGCATTGAACTTCCCGGGGGTCGCACTAGGCATTTCAACTCAGGGACACACAAGCACGTAGAATGTTGAATCGCCAACCACTTGCAATTACCATCCTCGGCTCAGGATATGTACTGTTACGTATACCCTAAACTTCACAGTCTCTTTTATAGGTAGCAAACTCACTGCTTGTGCTGTGTGCTTTTTTAAGCACTCGCCCGTTATCGCACAACCCTCCCAAAAGCCGAGAACAAATTTAAATTAAATTAAAACTTGCACTCGAACCGGGTATCGAACCTGGTACCTCTCACCTAGCAGCCATTTAATAAGACCGTTAGGCTTTAAGGCCCTTTAAACCATTTTTTTAACGTCAGGAAATGCTTTTACGCATATCCCTGCTGCATATTACTCCTGCAGGGAATATATGGGACTCAGACTTAATGTTTACAACCCTACTCACTAAAACCTGACGGATGCCTTCAGCTCGCCAAAGGGCGGAGGCAGGTAACAGGCCCTTTTAACCTAACCTAACCTAAAACTGCCGAAGTATTTATCGAATTTTTTGTTTCATTATAATATAATAATTTAACATAAATAACATGTAAAGGAAAGGCAACTGGCGGTCTTATCGCTTTCGAGCGATCTCTTCCAGGCAACCACTGTAAGAAAAGAAAAAAAATGTATTAAATTAGATAAGATTTTATATTTACTTACTAGTCTGTTTACGTATTTTTAGTACTGACGTTAAAAGTGATTGTAAGATGAAATAAGTGGCCTATTGTTTTTTTATTACTGTCTATGTTTTATTGTCGCACAAATTTCGCAAAAACTTCTCATATATTTAAATAACAGTTCAAGCAGTTCCCGATTAATAACGGTCAACAAATCAAACAAAAAGTATTTAATTCTGTAAGGTTTTTTTCATCGCGTTCTAAAAAGGCTCAAAATAATTTCAGATCCTCGAACAGACTGAACAGCATAGAAAACTGGTGCTAGCCAACATAGCCAGAGACCTCAGTACCTGGATGGTAGCGGTGAGGAAAGAGAAGGCAATATACCACACCTTAAATATGTTTAGTATGGATATTATCAAGAAGTGCCTAATAGCTGAATGCTGGGTTCCGATGCAGGATTTACCACTCTTGCAGAAGGCTTTGGATGATGGCGCGGTGAGCAGATTGCTTTTTTTTATAAAGAACAAGATTAATAATATCTGCGCTAAAGAGCGTACCAATTCTTTCTTAAAAGGCTGGCAACGCACTCGCGAACCCTCTGGCATAGAGTGTCCATGGGTGGCGGTATCACTTAACATCGGGTGAGCCTCCTGCCCGTTTGCCCCCTGTTCTATAAAAAAATCTAATAAGCAGTATTGTCCTAGTACTCTCTGAGGTCGTTTCTATTCCCGGCTGTGCGCCAATGGAGTGTTTACCTATGTATGTAAACTCTCTCGTACTATGAAGGAAAACATCGTGAGGAAACCGGCATGTCTCAAATACAAAAATCGACGACATGACTGACCTGATGTAGGCTGATGACCTACGCTATGAAATAATTGTTATCAAAGAAATACATAATTATGTTATGCATTCTGAGACCATCTATATATACTGCTCAAAACAATTAGCGGAACAAGATTTTTCTCCTTTCTATTGCTTAAACTAAAATTAGATTTAAATTAACTTGTACGCTATTTTTTACCTTGTTAATTTGTTAATTACTACAATTAATAAAAAAAATCAATTTGTATTTTTTTTATTAAAAAAAAATTAAAATGTGCATTGTAGACGAAAAACTAATTGGTGATAAAAAAGGTCCATCAAAGAAATATTCTTATATCGTTTGAATATTCGTCTTTAGTGACTTTCAGTAACGTGTGTGGCCTCCATGAGCCCTAATCACGGCTTGACAACGACGCGGCATGCTTCGTATGATCCTCCGAATATCTTCTTGTGGAATTCGCTCCCATTCTTCAATCAACGCTTCAGTGAGCTGCTGCAGTGTTTGAGGTGCAATCGGACGCTTCCGGATGCGCCTGTCAAGCAAGTCCCAAATGTGTTCAATTGGATTTAGGTCAGGGCTCATGGAAGGCCACTCCATTACACGGATTTCCTGCTGTCGTAAGTAATCTGACGTGATGGCTGCAGTATGTGGCCTGGCATTATCTTGCATTAAAAGAAAATCTGGGCCCATACCATATGCTGCGGGCCAAACATGATCTTCGAGCACATTTTCAATGTAAGTTTGAGCACACAAGCGCCCGGGAACAACGACGAGATCTGTGCGCTCGTCCAAACTAACTTCGCCCCAAACCATCACAGTGCCACATCCAAATTTGTCATATTCCTGGACTGCTGCTGTACTGTATCGCTCGCATGGGCGTCTGTAAACACGGAGACGACCATCGCAACGTGTTAGACGGAATCGTGATTCGTCAGTAAAAAGCACTGGCCTCCAATGTCGAAGTTGCCAATTAGCGTGATTTTGCGCGAACTGTCGGCGAGCTTGTCTATGTTGAATTGTTAGACGCACAGCCCGAACTGGTCGGCGTGATCTCAAATTGGCTTCCAACAACCTATTTCTTACCGTCTGGTCGGAAATTTCTACACCAGTAGCCGTCCTTAGTGTATTTTGTAGATCTCTTGCAGTTGTGGTGCGGTTACGTAAAGCACAGTTGACGATGTAGCGATCTTGCAAACGTGTAGTTTTTCACTTTCGACCTTGACCACGCCTTCGTGAGTATTCTCCCGTCTCACGGTATCACTTCCTACATAACGCATAGTTCGACCCTCTTCAAGCAAAGTGATAGCTCGGGAGACATGCAATTCAGTCAGATCTGGCATTATGACCTAAACTCACTCGCTTCAATGAATAACAATACTCAAAAGGCTCACTTCAATTTCTATTAATACTCAAAAGATTGAAAAAAACTACTTAAAATGTGTTTTCTGTGATTAGAAAGTAATGAAAATTCAAAGACATCACTTTGTTTTTCGTCTACAATGCACATTTTAATTTTTTTTTAATACAAAAATTACAAATTGATTTTTTTTTATTAATTGTAGTAATTAACAAATTAACAAGGTAAAAAATAGCGTACAAGTTAATTTAAATCTAATTTTAGTTTAAGCAATAGAAAGGAGAAAAATCTTGTTCCGCTAATTGTTTTGAGCAGTATATTTGGCATTCTAGCACCAATGGATTAGATTATTAAATTTATATTGATCATTTTTAAGACAACAGGTTTAATGGTGTTAAGAAATTGGACTTCTTGCAATTCGAACTAATTATTAGATTAATAAGAATAAGAATCGAATCCAGGATCAAAAGTAAAATTGATAGTGAATCAAACTTAACATGTTTGATTCATTTAAAAGAATTTTTGCCTATTTTAGAGCATTCTTAAATTGTATAATATGTGTTTTAGAGAAAGCATTGTGGGGTGCCTTTCTCGAACCTAATTTCGCTGTTTTGCTGATGATTTTTCTTTTTTTTCTGCTCTAAGTGCCAACAAATTTCTGTAATTTTATTTTATTTTAATGTGTGCTTGTATATGTTTTAATTGTGTTTTTTTAATTTTAATTTATTTATTTTTTTTGAGAAACTTATGCTTACATTAATTGTCACACATTTTAGATGTAAGATTTTGTAAAATAATTATACGTAGTAGATTTAGGACTGTGTGATGTCGTAAGCTTAATATCTAAATAAATAAATAAATATAAAATTTATTTTTTCGTAAACCTTTAATAACAATGGGAACCTGAAACATGGGCATGTTCTGAAACAATCAGTAAACTAAGACTTTGACTTGGATTTCAGAAAGTAAGCGGTAGTCCAATTCCGTCGATTTTGAACCGAGTACGCAGTCTCGAAACCCCGCCCACTTTTAACAGGACTAATAAATTCACGCGCGGATTTCAGAACCTCATTGATTCCTATGGAATTGCTAGCTATAGAGAAGTTAATCCAGGTAAAAAATCCTTATTAAAACTAATATACTTATTACTTATATAGAATCCCGAAACAGCTTAGCATGGGTGATCATTCGCACACGCCTCCGTACGATTTGTTCTTTCAACTCTCCTAGCAAGTTTTAATCGTTCTCATCAGAATTCCAATGCTACAGGGTTGGGTATTTTATTTCTTTTTTATTAATTGCGTACTTAAATTATACATACATATATATACAGCCAAATATATGTATAGCCAAAAATGGTATTAATAAGAAACTTAAAAAGGAAATAAACAGTAAAATTCTTAAAGACATTTAGGTATTACTTAAGTAATACCGGCTATATAATTCGGCTGTGTTGTGTGGTGTGAAAGTGAGGGTGTGTATGTGGGATGTGCTCTTGACTTGCATTATTTAGCGCTATGGATATTCATAATACCCCTTTTAAACATATCCAATAGCTTTAACAAATTGAACTGCGCGGTAGAAAACTGAGTATTTTGCATAGTTAGTGTTGATGTGAGGAACGTTAAACAAAGCACGAGTCAGAGAGAGGAATACATGGAATACAGAGGAACATGAAAGTGCAATCAGACAATTAATTGAATCTGAGTTGATGTCATGTAGCATTATATCGTACAAAGAAAATATGCGACCAATATTGTTTATATTTAAAATATCTATGGTATGTTGGGAATTTTTTTCCAATATTTAGATAGGTGATTCGCTGTGCAATCGTTATCAGCGAAAGAAATTCAAATTCCCTGACATAGACAAAGGGTTATCCTTATTTTTATTTTAGACAAAGAGTATCTTAAATCGATTAAATTTAATATTTTCTGAAGACTACAAAATGCTTATTTTTTCAGCTTTATACACAATTATAACATTCCCATTTCTCTTCGCTGTGATGTTCGGCGATATGGGACACGGCCTAATCATGACAATTTTTGCCGCAATTATAATTATCTTCGAAAAATCCTTATCAAAAAAAAAGTCAGATAACGAAATATGGAACATTTTCTTTGGCGGGAGATACATTATATTGTTAATGGGAATATTCTCAATGTATACGGGGTTGATATATAACGATATTTTCTCGAAATCCCTAAATATATTTGGGAGTAGTTGGATGAACGTGTACGATAATCAGACTTTGGTTAAGCATAAGATGTTGGATCTGGACCCAGCTGTTGCATACACGCAGACACCATATCCTTTGGGGATCGATCCAGCTTGGCAGGTACAATTTCTGTTAAAAAATTACATAAAACATCCTTAACGGCCAATAATAATTATCACGATTATTTTTTTGAATTCAGAATCATCTTTATATATATAATTCTACTGTACATGTGTATGTCACTGATTTTTTTGTATGCGTTTGGGTGGCGCCCTGGATGGTTAGATTCACAAATCAGCCAGATGGCGCTGCAGTCGGTACTTTCATACCATAACATACTACATTATTTATAGATAAATATAGTGTTGTTATTCGATATGTTTTCATAGAAAATAATTTTGTTCTACAATTGTTTTCCACTCTTGTAAACCATTGATGCATATGGACACTACGGGTCGTCACATAGTATACAAAGTGTCATAAAGTTATTACGTTTATAACGAAAAAATTCTCAAATAACAAGTGTAAAGCTCAATACGAGTAATATATTTACTATTAATTGTAATTATGGAATTATTTGACGACTCATTGGTCTAGTGGTTAGTACCCCTGACTGCGAAACCATGGGTCCCGGGTTCGATCCCCGGCTGAGACGAACATCGATGTGATGAGCATTTGATGTTTTGCTTAGGTCTTGGGTGTTTAAATATGTATTTATATGTCTATCTATGTATAATATGTATGTATATCCGTTGCCTAGTACCCATAACACAAGCTTCACCAGCTTAGCATGGGACTAGGTCAATTGGTGTGAATTGTCTTTAAAAAAAAAAAATTCTACAAAAATCGGACTTAGAGTAAAGATTTTTTTTTCCGACATGCAAGAAACATATAATTTTTTTTTTCAGTTCGCATCAAACAACATAATATTCTTGAATTCGTTCAAAATGAAGCTCTCAATAATATTCGGTGTGATTCACATGGCATTTGGTGTGACATTGAGTGTGGTAAACTTCAAGTAATTATTGTTACATAGAAATTATAACCTATTTACTATTTTTAACCTTATCTATACTAATATTATAAAGAGGAAGCATTTGTGTTTTTGTATGTATAGTTTGTAATGTTTTCACACAAAAACTACTGGACCGATTTTAAAAATTCTTTAACCATTAGAAAGCTGCATCATTACTGACTGACATAGGCTATATTACATTTTTATGAAAAATAGGGATCCCTAATAAAAATGCAATAATATAACCCAAAGTGTGCAAAAATTATCCATAAAAAGTATGTCATCGCGTGCGCTGTGGAAACTATTGATGATAGAATTAAAAAAATGTTGTACAGTGTATAACGTATCAATATCTGGACAAAAATTATGTTTTATCCATGGCCAATCGTATGTACGCTTATTCCGAGTCGGAACTCCATATTATAGGTATAACTTTGAATTTAATTTCTTATATTGGATTAAATGAACAGAGGAAATAGCGATATTAATTGTGTAAATTTATGATTCAAACAAAGCTGTTTTTCCAATATATGAAGTTATATGTTAACGTAAATGTAGTCTAATCTTAACATATTCAAACCTTAAAGCATTATTTGAATAATAATTTTAATGATGACAGTTAATTAGTTTGTAGTATACTCTTTATAAGTCCTGCGTTCTATGCTAGGAAACCCAACCCTATACTAATTTCACGTCTAACTAAAAATATTTATAAAATTACAGATACTTCTCGAGGCCGTACATGATATTCCTCCAGTACATTCCCCAAATTCTATTCTTGCTTCTTCTCTTCTGGTACCTATGCATCATGATGTTCATGAAATGGATTATGTACTCAACTGTGGCTGAAGGTAAATTTTAACGTATTAGCGAGTATAGTTCCTGTGCCTACTCCCAAGCGCCGAGAGCGTTATAAAAATAATAATATAGCCTTTATTCAGATCGACTTAGGTACACATATAAACATAGATCATTATATTAAACTAGCAGACTCGGCCAAGCTTTGCTGTGGCTAAAGTTTTTGTTATATTAACAAAAACGGTGTGGAAACGGAAGGAGAACACCAGTCATGGGGGGGACCCACGGGGACCATGCTTTTTTGGTGGTTATGCCATTAAATTGTAACTTTCAACACAGCGCCATCTGTTAGAATTGTGACTGTCAAATAATAAACAAATATTTTGCACGGTGTGCAAATTTAATTGATATCAGTTCGGTAGTTTAGGAGTCCATAGCGGACAAACAACGTGACACGTAATTTATATATATTAAGATAAGCCGCCATGGGCGTGTCACCATGGCAACATTAATAAGATACGATAAAAAGTTAAGATAACAATATTTTCAGATCCCGCGTTTGGTTCTGCGTGTGCTCCATCAGTGTTGATAATGTTTATAAACATGATGCTGCTAAAGAGCACAGAAGTGCGTTCGCCCTGTCAGCCATTTATGTATGAGGGACAAAATGCTTTGCAAAGGACATTTTTAGCTGTGGGTTTCCTGTGTATTCCTGTTATGCTGTTTGGAAAACCGGTCTATCAGATTATAAAGAAACGAAAAGTAAGTGTTAGGTATTTTAAGGCTTCGAAACAAATGTTTCGTGAAATTTATTGAAATTTGTAAACAATCCGCCATTTTCTACTTTTCTATTGAATACAAGAGATGTGACATTCTCGGTAAATTAATAGATTTTTTTTAGCATGAAAAATCGATTCTGCATTCTGAAATCCTGCATAATAAGTATCATCAGATTCGGGCGACCGATTTTAAAATCGTTACCCAATTACATATTATAATATTATTGTAATGGATATTGTTGATTCGGCGGATGGAGAAATTGTGACCAATTTGTGTTCCAGCGTCACATAAATTTGTATTTTACATGAATTGTTTGTTGTGCATTCTCATATGGAGACAAAATATTCAGCTTACATTTATTTACCTTCTTTATTATTGATGCTAATTTCAGCATATTTCGGGAGTGGAAGAAGGGGAAAGTGAGAAAGTAGAAGAGCAAGAAGAGATGGGTGAGATGATGATAACACAGGCAATTCACACTATAGAATACGTGTTGGGCGCTGTCTCCCACACGGCGTCCTATCTACGCCTTTGGGCTTTATCCTTGGCTCATGCACGTAAGAATTAACTTTATTCTGATTGCTCTTAATTTTAGAGCAGTGTTTCCAGTTGCCCAGGAAACAGGGGAAATTTGATTGTTAAGGGCAATTCGAAAATTTCCTAAAATTATTTGGAATTTAAAGTTCAGTTTTTTTGTTTTGAAAACTTACTTATTGTGTTTTTTTAACAATTACCAAGACGTAATTTCTTCCTAAAACCTATTATTTAAGTTTCTTAAGTGACCAATATTTTTTTAAATAATATAATCTATGCATGTTATATAGGGGGAATAAGAATTTTAGAACTTGTCTGTGTATCTTTCATTGAATGTTTTTAATACGTCTCCACTGTCCGTGTTTCGCCGGAAATGGGATTCAATTAGACAAAATACAGCACCACAAATATAGGACATTTTATATAATCATTAAATATCGGCAAATATTCTCCGTGTTGTACTGGCGATACAGATATCTTTTTTCACAGAACTCTCAGCGGTGTTATGGCAGAGACTCCTGCGCATGGGGTTAGGCGGTGGTTCACCAGTTATGGCAATACCGTTATATATGATATTCGGAGTTTGGGCCTTTTTCACTATCGCTATCCTTGTGCTTATGGAGGGACTCTCTGCGTTTCTTCATACACTTAGATTACACTGGTGAGTGAAAATAAGCTTTATATTAAACTTACTTTTTGTTAAACGTATGACAAAGATTTAGTGACGTAATCAAACCTCTCTGAGAAAATGGGAAAAACCTTCAACTTCAAAATTCCCTTAATATAATTAAAGGCATTTGACATCCATTTGACATCAGTATTAATTAGGGCAGAACCTCTTATTAATATAGAGGCGTTAGAAATATTTTTGGTAAATAATTTTTTTTTTGGTATTTCTGTACATGCCTAAAGTTACTCTATCTTGAGTTTAAAAAGATCATATTAACGTACTTTGAGACTAAAAATGCGCCGTTTCTACGATTATTAAAGGAAATAAATATTTTAACGATGCCTTGCCAAATTCCTAATCTTTTCTTTAATTGCTTCTATAATAAACTACCATGTGATGTGGTAAACATGGTAAATAATAAATTAAAAAAAATATATAAAACAGAAGCTCTCTAGGAAAGCTTATTATAAAAAATCGACCTAAAAACCTAGAAGATAAGAAAGCTTGGAATTAAAAGTTTGCTCCAGCTACTTAATTTAATAGTCACTAGATATATAAGTAGATAATATAAGCATTCATATAACATAAGACGATCAAAAAAAACTAGCTCGTGGGTCTTGCCTTTCTCCTTGTGTGCTGGTCGCGATTCCGAGAAGGCGGTAGAGTTGACAATTCAAAGTGATCATGTGATGCAACTGAATAAATGAATTTTAAAGTTGATTTTGATTTTGATTGTGATTTTGATTTTTGAATAACTTTTTTGCAGGGTGGAGTTCATGAGCAAATTCTACGAGGGCCAGGGTTACGCTTTCTTGCCATTCTCTTTCGCGGTGATCCTGGAACATGATGAGGAGGACGTTAAGGTTAAGCCTACTGCTTCTCAATGACACATATATAATACAGAACATAGCTCACAAGATACATTACACTCAGATATAGAACATAGAACTTGGTCTAGACATTTTATTGACGAGTGATTGATTTATATGATGATCGTTAATGTTGATTTAAGAATAAGATTGAATAAAAATTTAACTTATGTTTAATTAAGATTGTTGCGTTGTATGAATTCCTATTTTGTAAGAGTTAAATATGGTAGACTTGTAAACATATATATATAATATAGCATTATATAACTTTAATATGTCACAAAAAGTTGTTGAGAACATAGATTTGGTTTTAGATATTCCATATGTGCTTGTACGTTTTTATTGATTAAAAAAATAGGTAAATTGTAATTCGTTGATTTTTTATACGATCATCACTGCCGTACAAATCGAATGTTTGTTTACCAATAGTTAAGTATACTATAAGGACAATTTTGGGATTGTATATTTAAGATTATATTTAGTAAATTAATATATTAATTGCAATGCACTCAAAGACGGTAAGTTAATACAGATTTAATAATTGTACCTAAATTTTGATAATACTTGAATCCAAAAACACAGTCTTGTAAATACACTCAAATCGTCAATTCACTTAACATTTTTAAAATTATATTGAGCGTAATTTAGAATTAAAATTTTACCAAAGACTAGTTATGTAACGTAGTGCCTTGGCTATATTTCGGAATTTCGATAAAATTGGCCTAAATGTATTTCTAGCATGACATTTGATATTAAATTTTTATGTTAGCTTCTTTGTCTTTGGATTATCATCAACACTAAAAATCCATACAAGATGTGATTAATGTGTACGGGTTCCTGGGTCATCGGGGTGCTTAAAGTAATAGAGGATATTAGTTTTACTCTATATTAACCACTCACGTACAATAATAGAATATAAGCGAAATAATGAAATGTTAATTGCTATGTAACGAATGAATGCAATGTAACAGTTGAAGAGAGTGCCTGCTTCTGGCCATACCCTCGGGGCGTAACTCCGACGATTTAGGAAATCGCCACGCTTATAAAACTAAGAAAGCCTGTGTGAGCAAAATGTACAGCCTTGGCTCGTACAAGTGTGATAAGACGCATATATTTATACTTACTAATATGTAGTAGTTGATTTGAGTAGATCGACTTGAAAAACTAGAGTTATTGTGAGTAGTGTTAGCCTATTGGCTTCAGCGTGCGTCCCTCATAAGTGAGGGCGTAGGTTCGAGCCCCAGCTATGCACCAATGTACACACTTATCACTCGCTCGTATAAGGAAAACATTGTGAGAAAACCAGCATGCCTTATATAAAAAAGTAGACGCCGTGTGTCAGGCATAGAACGCTGAAAACCTTTCCTATTATAAAAAAACAAATGATCAAACAACAGATACAAATATCTGGAAATCTAAAAAACTAAATTATTTAAAAGAGACAAGTAAAAAAACCAAAGAGGAAGATTCCATCCAGTTAATATTTTCATGTATGATACAACACACAATAGAGACTTTAACCATTAAAAAAATAATAAGAATAATCTATACTTGGTTTCACTATAAATTATGTATTGGAAAACAAAACAGAATTTTTCTTCATTATATTTTAAAAATAATTTGAAGCCTCCACTCCTTTGTTACCCCGACCAACAAACCTCCAAATCCGATAAGTGTATATTCAATTATTTTCGTACAGTGAACTGCTTATCATATTATCCAAGTATGGTATGTCTTAGGCTACAATTTCTACAGGCTTTGCTAAGGCAAACTTAGTGCCTGGTTATATGTTTTCAAGATTATACAGATATCAGATATTCGCTGCATGCTAAGTGCACAAAATAACAACGCTTTTATTCCCATAACTCCGTAAGGATAAGCTAGGTGTTAGTGCGATATGGATTGGGCACAGTATGCGAACATGTCTATAACAAATAGTATTTAGTCTCCATTTAGGGCGGTTAAAGACGAGCGTTTTTTACGCGCGTATAAGCTCGCCTTTGGAAGTGCATGTAGGCACGTATAGGCGCGCTTTTTGGCACACGCGCAACTCGTACGAGCGTTGACGCGCTGCTAAGCTCGTATAAGTTCGCATTTTTGGTGTATTAAAGTGATCGATTCTCTGGCTTGATGCAATCATCGATGACACCCAGCATCTGTTTCGTCGTCTCAGTGGATAAGTAACGCAAATAGCAATGTGTATCCATGTTGATACTGACACGACGCCACTACCGGTTCGAGCGAACACGACGAAATATGCCGGTTTTTGTAGCGCGCGTGTAAGCGCGTATGCTGAAACGACCGTATACGCGGAGAAAAACACGCTAGTCTGAAACTGCCCTTAGGGTTGTAGCGTCACTGGATTTTATTGTGTTTAATCACAGCTATTTAACAATCGACACGTTTCAGGACCAAAATCGGGGCCTTATTGTTATTACATATCGTTAATAAAAAAGTATTTTATAGAAGTGACTTTTATTTCCATTAAATGTAGTTGTAATCGCATTACTTCTGATCTAATGAATAGAAATTCAAACTGAATCTTACTTTAAAGGCTTTGCGAGTAGCTATTATACATCTTCAGTTCGCACTAGAATTTTTGCAATTACTATATATAGTTTTATATTAAGTTAATCCATATAATCTTATGATTGAGAAACCCATTTTATTAGATGAAGAATAAACATATAAATTATAATTTTTATGTTAGTATAAAGTACATAGTTAAACTACTATAAAAGTATTCACAACAGTCACAACATTCACACAATTTGTTTATTAACTGTTTATACATTTATCAAAAGCTTTACCATATAAAAACTCCCTAATACCCGACATTTGTCGTCGACCAAATTGCGTCCTTTTTCACTGTTTACACTTTCGAAGACCTCAACGTCATATTTCAAACGTTTTTGAGCGAGATGCTATTTTTTTAATATTTAATCGAAATTGTTTTATATGATGTATTTTAATATCTGGAATGTTAACGGTTACCATAGCAACGCTTTAAAGTTTGTATAAACATTTGTGATTGACAATATTTGTTATTAAATTATGTATGGAGTCAATTACATTAAGTGAAAAACTAAAAGCTTGTCCGTAGTTTCGGAATTTTCTTTATATTCGCCATGTTGTTTCAATTACAAGAGAAATTTCAAAGAACTATGAATTATGTCTTTGTCTCAAATATATTTTCCGATTCAATTACATATATTAATTCTTTTAAAGCCAATCACGATGTGACATTCTCTAATAAAATAACTGTTACGAGGACGATTCTATCGTTGCTATGGTAACCGAAGCAAACATAGACACAGTTTATGAGGTCTTCATAAGTCGAAGAAGCGCTTTGAGCGCTTTAGCGCGTCGCTAGGAGCAACCATGCTTCTGCATCCAAGATGAGTAACGCGCTACATCAGCCTGAGTGACTGTGCGTCTTGTTTTTTCTACAGCGGTTTCTAAATCCGTCTTGGAGACTGGAGCTTCCAACTCAGAGCGCTTTAAGCGACGAATTTCTTCAGGAGTTTTACCGGCAATCTTTCGCCGCATTGTCATCATCGAGGCATCTCTGAAACACATTTAATAGTTAGGTTTTATTTGATACATTAGTGATAAGTTTTTATTTGCAGATGCATGTATATTAGTACAAATTTCCTACAAAAAAGTACGCAAAAGTACTATAAATAATTTATCTTTATACTATAGAGCATACTAGTTTTAAAACTAAAAATTAAAGGGATAAAACGCGGCCTAAAATGGTAGACAACAGATATGGGTATGTTGCAAAAGTTACGTCTATTGCTGTGACGTTATTGTAGTAAAATGGTAGCCATAGAAACACGGAGCAATTTAAGACCTCTCTTTAATAAGGGGACTTAGGTTCGAATTAGGTTGTAGGTTCGATCCCTGGCTGTGCACAAATGGATTTTCGGTCTATGTGCGAATATAACATTCGCTCAAACGGTGAAGGAAAACATCGTCAGCAAACCGGCTTGCCTTAGACCCTTAGACACATAGTGTATCAGGCATATCCTATGACTTGATTATTAGATTGACAAACTGAAACAGTTACAGAAATCCGAAGCCCAGGCGTAAAAAGTTTGTAGCGCCATTGGATTATTTTTATAAGGGAGTGAGGATATACAATTTAATAACTCACATTACAATAGAAATGAAATGTTTCAATGATAAAATATTACTATATACCTGCATAAATTGCAAATGTCAGATCCACTGTAGCCTTCCAAGTTAACAGCGAGATCAGGTAGATTTACATCATCAGATAGCGCCACCTCTCGGAGACATAGTTTCAGCAATTTTACTCTTGTCGATTCTAAAACACATAAATTTTAGACTCATTCATCACAATTTTACTCTTCTCGTCTCTTTTCATCACATCGTAAATACAATTTGTCAGAAAAAGACAAATGAACACTCTTGTAACAGAATAACTGTAGAATGATGCAATCTCACTGTTTCTATAATGATGTGAATTCCGAGTGAAAATAAGTCATTATTTCACTATCATTCACCTTTGGATAGTACCTTGTGATATAACATAATATCATGATAATTATAATATGGAATATACACATAATATACACTATTTTTTTATAGATACAATTGTGCATTGAAAACATAGTAATAAAAAATAATAATACTACACTTTTAAGAAGAATTTAACCCAATATGTACAAGTTTTATGAAATACTTACAAAAAAGTAAAATCCAATAATCAATAAATAGATGTCGATTCCATCCTCTCAGAGACAATAATACTTTAAAAAAAACCTACCATCAGGAAGGCCTACATATATCCGCTTCTCAAATCGTCGCCTGAAGGCTTCGTCGATGTCCCACGGGTGGTTGGTGGCAGCCAGGACCATTACCACTTTGTCTTGATTACTGAAATATTAACACACACCTCGACCTTGTTAGCCTATTGGTTAAGCGTGCTTTGCTCCAACGGATGTTTCTTTATATGTGCACAAATATTTTTCATTCCAACAGGAAGCCCCTACAAACGCTGGTGAAGAATAGGATAATCCAACTCCGAATGGGATATAAACATAAATCATTAAGTAAATATTGAGCAGTGGTTGCCTAATGGTTTCAGCGTGCGACTCTCATCCCTATGGTCGTAGGTTCGAGCCCCGGCTGTGCACCAATGGACTTTCTTTCTATGTGCGCATTTAATATTCGCTCGAACGGTGAAGGAAAACATCGAGAGGAAACCGACGTGTCTTAGACTCAAAAATTCGACGGTGTGTGTCAGGCACCGCAGGCTGATCACCTACTTGCCTATTGGATTTAAAAATGATCATGAAACCGATTCAGATATCTGAGGCCCTAAAGAGGTTGTAGCGCCACTGATTTTTTATTTTTTTTTAAGTAAATATATTTTTAGTCTGTCAAAAATATATTAACACTTAAATTAGGAGTTGTCGTCATACATCAAAAGATTAGAACTTCTTAAATGTAGCCCTAGTAATATAAAGTACCAGTGGTAGTCCACCTTAAAAAATTGTGCATATTCAGCGTAAAGAAGACCGTGGGATACTTTAGCAAAAGTTACTTAGAATTGTTAGATATAATGTAGACATGTAAAAAACGAAACGTGCGTGCCACATTGTTATTAGATTATAAGTTTTATTTTAATTAAAATAGTTAATATAACTAGAGACCTCCGGCGACAACCAACATAATTAACTCATGTTAGCGTAGTGTTTATTATGCGAAGCTGTATTTTCTCTTCTCTCTTTCTCGTATAGAATTTTCTCTTTGTTTTATAAGAAATGTATGTACGCACAATGGGGCAGCGAGTCCATCCATTTGTATGAGCAGTTCAGCTTTGAACCGTCTCGAGGCTTCGTGTTCAGAATCAGCACCGCGGACTGCACACAGCGAATCCACTTCATCTAGAAATATCGTGCTAGGAGCATAGAAGGCGGCCTGAAGGAAATTTCACAAAATATTAAAATTAATAAATTTACTATTTATTTATTTACAGCTTATGTATATATATTAACTAAAATATTGTACAATTAAGTAATTTTTATAAAATTACCAGAAAACCTATCCATTAATCTTTTCTAAGTATATTTTTAAATCACAGTATAAAACTTCACAAATAGGTCGCTTTCCGGCGAAGAGTCGAGAAAACTTTTAAGCTGCGAAAGTAAGTGGGGTATGGGAGCTTGTGGACGCTGGACTGTGCGATTACACAGCAAAAGGGTTGTTTCCGGTAGCGGTGATTTTCCGGAACGTACAATCTCATAGCCATTGTAGTATGTTAATGCCCGTTTGGGTAATCATGTCATCAATCATCAGCATTTCCGCACAGGACTCGCTATAACATACACTAAACCCCTCCCACCCAACGTCACTATTGGGGAAATTTGGGGTCGCGTTAGCATTCGACCAAAAGATCTAGTCTAGCTAGACCAGCTGCTACAGCAACCATCTTCCATTACATTGACAACGCCATACAAATGTTAAAATACAGTGGGGTTGCAATTTCTACACCCAACGCGTGATTCGCGGGATCATCTCGCTCGTACATACAAAGCAATGTGTGAACAAAACAAAAAAATAACTAAAACTAACAACTAATAACTATTTCTAACCTAAATCAAATACGTAATAACAAAACTCTCATTTAATAATAAAATAATTAAATAAATGTGGTTTAAATATATTATATAAAATTCAACCACTATCTAAAAGTGATTGGACTTCTCTATATTATCCTGTATGAGTTAAATAATGAAAGAAGTCGCACCATATCAAAAAGCAATCGAACAAGCTTCTCTGAATCACCACGGTATTTAGATGTGAGGGTAGCAGACGACACGTTGAAGAAAGTTGTTCTGCACTCGGTAGCGACAGCACGAGCTAACAATGTCTTTCCAGTCCCAGGTGGTCCTGTGAGTAGTACGCCTTTCCACGGACGACGGATACCCTAAAATCAATAATTTATTATCAAATAGTATTATATCACACTTATAGCAGGCAAGTAATAGATGGAAGAACCAAGAGCTAGAGGTGGCCAGAACACAAAATTTACTTCTTATAGAGTTAAAATTGAAGTTTACAATTTTACGATCAATTTTTTTTGTAGATTTTTTTTTCATAAAACTGAGAATACTAATAATTATACTAACAAAGAGTCAGGTAATTAGACGGGTTGAAAAACGTTAAACATATTACACAACTTAGCAATAAGTCGATTCAAAAAATTATGGTTATTTACGGCCGCTTTCTATACTCAATCCCAATCCAATTTATACTACTTCAATCCATTTCTCATAAAATACTTTTAAATAACCAATCGATGGATCGTTTTTGTAAAATATCTCTAAATTCGAGAGATCGAATTTTGACATTTATCAATCTAAATTTGTGAAAATAAAACGTAAACGGCCCTTAATTACTGTATGATATTTCGTGCAAAACAAACTTCCCTTGTTTGATATATAATACTTCATCTAACATATATAATTTTAACTTCTTTAAAGATATAAATGTGTGATATTTGTTTAACTTGTATTGAATATAAACATCAATAGTCTAAAGATCTATGTTTTATTTGACCTTCTTCATTGAATTAATAACATTTTAATTTTACATTGCTATTTGCTACCTATCGCGTCAGTTAATGTAAAGAATATATTCAAGATTATAATGTTAAAACTTGAATATCAGCTAACAAGGCTAGACAAGTCTAGAACGTCTGGGAGACATAAATATATTTACAGACTTACTCGCAGCCATTTGACCCACTTCCCAAAATGTTCACGAAAGTTATAATTAAGCATGCAGCGTGAATGGACAGCCTTATGTAATCGCTCACGCGAATCAGCTTTCACATTCGACTTAAGTGGCTATAATTGCCATTCTCAATATCTTTAACAATTAAAATTAAAACACGGTTGTTTCATGGCTGTTCTGCTAATACACATGTGAATTTGGTGACAATCACAAACATGTACGTGAAATAAACATTTCTTAAATTCTATTATTAGACTAGCTGACCCGGTAAACGTTGTTTTGCCATGTACATTTTTTTAGTTCAATAAAAATAACTATTATTATAATGAAAAATAGGAGTTAATCGAAGACGGGTAAAAATTAAGGGTTGTATGTATTTTTTAATGCCACAACAAAAAAAAATTTTTTGTCTGGACACCCACTTATATATTACTTAGAAGTTTGATAGATAGTAGCCTATTCGCAGACTTACTGAATATGCAATTTCATAAGAATCGGTCAAGCCGTTTCAGAGGAGTATGGGAACGAACGTTGTGACACGAGAATTTTAGAAGAACAAAGATTCTGCATACACTACGCCAATCTGATTATCTTAACATCTGCACCAAAGAAATTTTAAATGTACTACAGTTTCTTATGTACACACAATATCTATGTTGGGATTTACCTTGTAGAGTAGGGACCTATTAAATAAATAATATAGTAAGAACATTTTCCTTCTACCTTGAAATAATCAGGCATAACAAGCGGAAGAACCATTGCCTCTTGGAGAACAGACTTCGCATCATCCAACCCGATCACATCTTTCCAACGAACATCCGGATTCCTTTGCAGTATATCTCTTTCAAGCGTTTCCACTAAATGAATTTCGTATCCTGTTGCATCAAAGACCTTCTCATCTCGCTCCAGTAATGCATCACCATCAGCTGACACATCTGACTTCCGTTGAACCGGCTTAATTGGAACTAAGTGACGTCTTCGTGGTGCCCTGTCTACTGACCGGGTCTTTCTTCCACTGCCCATTGAACTCGAGGAGGCTTTTCGGGAGACAATAGAAGGTAACGATGGCTGTATGTCAGGGTCTCTCTTACGAAGCGTAGTCGCCCATTTTTCTGTGGTAGGGTCAGTCGGTTTGGTTTGTGTTTGGTCAAATGATGTCTCTTGGAACTTATTGACTGGCGTCGGGCGAACAACTGGAAAAAAATAACTTTAATATTTTTTATTTATTAATAACTAAATAAAAAAATAAATCAGTGGCGCTACAACCTGTTTAGGTATTGGCATCAGAATTCTGAATCTGTTTCATGATCATTTTTTTACATCTTATAGGCAAGTAGGTGATCAGCCTCCAGCGCCTGACACACGCCGTCGACATTTTGGGTCTAAGACATGTGGGTTTCTTCACGATGTTTTCCTTCACCGTTCGAGCGAATGTTAAATGCGCACATAGAAAGAAAGTCCATTGGTGCACAGCCAGGGATCGAACCTACGACCTAAGGTAAGAGAGTCGCACGCTGAAGCCACTAGGCCAACGCTCCTCAATAACTAAATACTAGTATTCTTAATACAAAATAAGTGCATGTCCCTGCATTTGAATGCTTTGTTTTAAGTATTTATTAATTTAAGCGAATGTAGGTGAAACGACTTCGTATATTGTTTTCAAAAATAAAGTTGGTCATTTGCCATCAAATTAACCTTGCGTGGGTGGATGTTTGGTACCATTTCCTACGTGTGTATGAGGATTTTTAGCTCTCTCCCTTCTTGCATCGCTCCTGTCTGACCTCAGGCCATCTCTTGGTGGCTGATCACCCTTTCTATCACCGCGTGTGCTCATCACCCGAGCAAACCCGAAGGGCTGCATGCTTTCCACCATCATGCGGTCCATCATTCTGGCCATGTGATGAAATCCGGAGCTTGGGCTGGGAAAAGAAAATGATTCTTACATATTAAGTAGTAGGCTATAGGAGCATAAAAAAAGAAAATGTTACAAAATATAAACACATTATTGTGTGTGGTGTAACAGATTTTAAATCTTTGATGTAGTGTAATTTATCACCAATGTGTATTGGTCATTTTATGAGTAGTCCTAAAACAAGACGAAGGTCTTGTTGTTTACTTTGAAGCGAAAGATAAAATATTGTAATATAAATTATTAAATTCACCACATATACCTTCTATATGTAACAATATGTTATCAGTATTAGAAAGTATGCTATCGCTACTGCTAAAATATTGTATAATGTTTCCTAAAACTTATCTTTTTCATGTTCTTTCCATCTAACCTTTCTAATTGATGCTTGAAAGCTTGATGAAATACATAGTACATACCCAAAAAACGGATCATTGAAAAATTGGCGTACACCATTTATATTCGGAATCAAAGAGTCTCCAAAAGAAAAATCCATTTTCCGTCGTATTGCTCTTATTACTTTCAGGTACATAAGTGAGAATTTGTGTGATTATTATTTTACGAGGGCATAATTTCGTGTGTAACTATTTTTTTGTGACATTTGGAGGTTGAAAATGGTGTGCCATTTGACAAGTCTGTTTTGATCCTGTCGCCATGGTAACGGGCAAGCGGAAACTTGGCGGAAACCGACCTTTGTGCTTATTTGACGTAAGTAGTCCTTGAAGCCAATTTATGAGTATGATCTTTGTTACAATGAAATAAGGGTTAAATTCAGAAATCAAGGATTCCAAAAAGCTAATGATATTGTGACCTACATGGACGGAGGTTTTATTGTAAGACTAATGCAAGGGGTGTGTTGATAATAATAATTAATTTATTGCAGGAATATGGTACAAAAATGTGTAAGGTGGTACAATCGTAAGTTCGCATATTCTGCCACACACAATGGCGCGCAAATTTGTCTTAAGGAATTTTACATTTTACATTATTAGTCAAAGTCAATTCTTATATTATTTGTATCGTACATATTATCTTTATTAAATTTATATCAACTACAGTGTCTCACGCAAATAATAAAATTCATACACCAAGTCGCTTCTTAAAGACTCTAGTCGGAAGATCTTTTAATTATTTTGGTAATTTATTGTAACCTTAATTTCCATACAAAAGGTATTTTTCCTAAACAGTTCCAGATTGATTTTTGGCACAGCCAATTTCTCCCCATGACTACTTCTTACTTCGACTTAAAAATATGTATGTTTCTATGCACGAATAAAATCTAAAATATAAATACATGCAAGATGCGTCCAATAAAGGTACGCAACTATCAAGACAGTTTGCATTATTACTCTCGTGCTCAAACTAACTACTACTACTACTAATAATAATAATAAATATAAAATTATTATTATTATACGAAAATTAAGAAGTAAGCAAACTCATGTTATCACCTACAAACACCCATACTTACATTCCTTCAAGAAAAGAGCGTACCAATTCCGGCAACGTCCTTCAAGCCCTTTGGCATTGAGTGTCCATGGGCGGCGGTATCACTTAACATCAGGTGAATCCATTAGCCATTTTCTAGAAAAAAATTAAAAACGTTCCCAGACTCACCAGTGCGTTGCCCTCCTCTTAAGTTTAAGTACGCAAATTAACTACAAGCACCCATAGACACTTACATTCCTTCAAGAAAAGAGCGTGCCAATTCCGGCAACGTCCTTCAAGCCCTTTGGCATTGAGTGTCCATGGGCGGCGGTATCACTTAACATCAGGTGAACCCATTAGCCATTTTCTAGAAAAAAAATAAAAACGTTCCCAGACTCACCAGTGCGTTGCCGTCCTCTTAAGTTTAAGTACGCAAATTAACTACAAGCACCCATAGACACTTACATTCCTTCAAGAAAAGAGCGTACCAATTCCGGCAACGTCCTTCAAGCCCTTTGGCATTGAGTGTCCATGGGCGGTGGTATCACTTAACATCAGATGAACCCATTAGCCATTTTCTAGAAAAAAATTAAAAACGTTCCCAGACTCACCAGTGCGTTGCCCTCCTCTTAAGTTTAAGTACGCAAATTAACTACAAGCACCCATAGACACTTACATTCCTTCAAGAAAAGAGCGTACCAATTCCGGCAACGTCCTTCAAGCCCATTGGCATTGAGTGTCCATGGGCTGCGGTATCACTTAACATCAGGTGAACCCATTAGCCGTTTTCTAGAAAAAAATTAAAAACGTTCCCAGACTCACCAGTGCGTTGCCCTCCTCTTAAGTTTAAGTACGCAAATTAATAACAATGGAGAGTTACACAGTTGGTATCGCCTACGAAAAAAATATTTTAAGCAGTTCATGACCCGGCGCAAGTTTAAGAGAATTTATTACCTTTAACAGTGAGGTTATTGAACTTATTGTTTACATTTTTCAGGAACTGAAATGTGTGCCAAGGGTTAATGACCTGACGGTAATACTTGTCCGTTAGGACATGAGGTCGTGGACTTTAGGAAATAATTGTAAAGGTTGTAGAAGTGATATGGCCTTAATGGTTTTGTAATTTGTCGATGTATAGAGTAAAAATATATATCATTATATTATTATCTATGTGTATCCATCTCTATATTATAAAATAAATCAGTGGTGCTAACCTCTTTAGGTCTTGGTCTCAGATTTCTGTACCTGTTTCATGATCATTTTTAAATCTAAAAGGCAAGTAGGTGATCAGCCTCCAGTGCCTGACACACGCCGTCGACTTTTTGGGTCTAAAACATGTCGGTTTCCTCACCATGTTTTCCTTCACCGTTCGAGCAAATGTTAAATGCACACAGAAAGAAAGTCCATTGGTGCACAGCCGGGGATCGAACCTACAACTTCAGGTATGAGATACGCACGCTAAAGCCACTTATATTTTTTTTTTTCAAAAACCCAATGTGACAATAAAATCACGGTAGGTACACAGAGTTTATGAGTTTATTACTCACTAGCGCCTATCGTGCTTTTGCAAGTCTGGAATTTTTTGTACAAATATTTTAGAAACAAAATATAGCCGAATTTTTAAATCAGTGCAGTTGTTTTTGAGTTTATTTCTTACAAAGACTTACAACATCATTCCTCTTTAATATAAATAAAAATCATTTTTGTTGATTGACACCTACGGGCAGTTAGCCCTGGACCACTTATAGCAAGGTCAAAAAGCAAAATCAGTTATCTCCGCTTAAAGCCCACTCACAATTGAGTTCGTTAAATTTTCATGTTATCATGACTTTTATTTTTATTATTATGACCTTATCACTGATCACCTACTTGCCAAATAGTTTTACAAATGATCATGAAACAGATACAGAAATCTGAGACGCAACCTAAAAAGGTTGTAGCCATTGATGTTGTTGCTGTTATCACAATCCTTGGTCTTGGGCTGTCTGTACCTGTTTTGTAATCATACGTTACTCATAGCTAAATAGATGATCAGCCTCCGGGTCTACGGCATGTTTCCTCACGATGTTTTGCTTGCCTGAGTGAGTGTTATAGGCACACATATACAAAAGTCCATCGGCACACATTCAAGGTTAATTGTGTCACAATTAATATGTTTATATAAGTAGTAGCTAATTACGAGGCAGAAGAAAAATTATCAAAAAAAAGATTTTTAAGAAATAAAGATAAATTTTTAGGACTGAGCTCGTCTGATATCAATTGGTACGGAATTCCATAGCAGGATACTTTGCACAGTAAAGGAAGAGTGATAGAATTCAGGTATATGAGTTTCAATAATTGGACTGTCTAAGGAACGCAAATCAAACTACCGCCAGAGAAGACCATACAATTTTGTTTTAAGTAACTAGGAGTTTTAGGATTAAAAAGAACATTATAGAGAAGTTGTTATTTTTTTTTTGTGATTCTGAAACTTTCGATACCATAAAATTGACATTCAAGATATATTATGAACTAACTATAAAGACAAGAATGCAACGAATCGATTATGTCCATTCAGTATAATTGCATTAGGGACAGCGAGCACGTTCACGTCTAGACATATTATGGGTTTTCTAATTATTGTGAAATATGTATTGTTTTGAATTATGATTCCTTTGGGTGTGTATTTGAGCTTTCCAAGATATTTTTAATTGTATTAAGTGATTAGATTTTCAGTATGTGCAATTTTCATTAAAAAATAATTCTTTAGAAGTCCACCAAAGGACTTGCGAGCTCTCTGGCATGTCCGCCGTTAATCCGTTTTTTAATTATATGGAATTTCTTGAGCGATATGTTTTGATTGGGGCATATTATAAGTAATTTTAATTTGGAAGCCCTAAGTGACAGACCCTTCTATAGAGTGTTTTCTATTATTTAAGAATTATAAAATTTAAACAATATTTGCTTTATCGCTAAAACACGTCGCACAGCAACCGGCATGTCTTAGAAACAAATGCCATCCGCCAGCCCGCACTTATACCAATGTAACACTGAAAACACTGGTTTCGGGTTCGTAGCAATATATCCAGCTTTCATCACCTGTGACGATCTCAAATACAGAATTTGAGTCACCGCCGTTGAACTTATCTAACATTTGGCGACACTAGTCCATGCGAAGGTGTTTCTAGTCGTCGGTTAAAGTATGGGGAATCCATCTGGTACAAAGCTTCCTGACGCCTAAATGTTCGTGTAATGTTTTTTTAACTTGACTCATACCAATGCCTAGGCTTGCCGCATCTGGTCATGCGTCGCACGACACTGATGTTATCTTCAGTAGTCGCTGTTAAAGGACGTCCCTCACGCTGATCATCATTAAGATTGCTACGTCCACACTTAAACTCGTTAAACCAATTGTAAATAGTGGCACGAGATGGGGCTTCATTAAGAAATGCTTATCATAGCTTTGTTGTTGAGTAAGCCCACAACGAAAGTCATAATAAATCATTGACCGAAAATTTTCTCGCGTTAGGTTCATTTTCACGTGTAACAAGAGTTTTAGATTTGCCGCCAATTCACAAAAACAAATGACAAATGAATGCAACATACTACATTAGGTTACCAAAGAGTTCTAAAATTGAAATTAAAAAAAAGTTTTCATTAGCAATGTTTTTAACTGGCCAGTTCTAAACATTTTCAGTGTTACCCGCGTAACATTTATGCCTTCAGAAATATCAATATTAAAAGCCTACCACTCTTCAATTTTTAATCATTATGCGACAAACGATTTCAGTTACATTTTTAACGATTCATTGCGTGTTGAACGTACTTGATTGAAATCGCTATAATAATCCTTGTACATAATCATTGTCCTTGGTCATAAGTAAAATTTATACAACAGCGAAAAAGTAGGAAGCATTATTCTTAGAGTTGGTAAGCCAAGGACTCGAGACTCAAGGTAAAAAATAATTATATTATATACTATATTGTAGTTATAGTAGTTTCTTGTAGACATGTAGATTTTGCCTAACGACGTCATAGGAAAATATGGGTTCGTTTCCCCGTGAATTTCAGCGTTCAAGTTGATAACTATATTATTTTAGAGTGGTTATTAGAAGAGGATTTTATTTACAAACCACAGTAGTTTTCAAATGTAACATATCATAAATTAGATTATATTATTTAAAGAAAAATATATATATTAGAATATAGATATATGCTGTATTGATTAATTATGAAATTGTACTAATAGTCTGGGACCACAGTCACTAATGGTAGAAACAAAGTTTGCTCTTGGACATAATATTATGGTAAGCAAGATGTTTTTTGACTAATGTATCAAAACTATTTTACAATTTGATCACTAAAATTGGTAAAAAAATGACCAAACGATTGAAATATCAACTTGGATGATTTAATACGGTCATGAAATATGTATTGGGCCATGACATATAGTAATATTGTATATTGTTCACAACAAATAACTTATAAAGCTTGCCTCAAATACTTCATTTTATGTGGGTAACAGGACGATAAATTAATGACGTTTTATAAAATGCGCTGTATCAAATAATATATACTAATATTTAATTAATACATACATAAATTACGAATCATTACATCATGACTGAAACGGTCATACCTACTTATTGAAATACGATTTAAAATTTAAAACATAAACTTACCAACCAACATCCCAGGCTGAATGAAATGCCGGATGCGCAGACATAGCTCCGAGGGGAACACCGAACCCAAATTCAATCTTGACATCGTCAGCACTACGAAACCATGAGCGCGACGAGCCCGCGTCCATTTTTGTTGACTGTGCGTCGTTTGACATTATTTTAAACTTAATAATATTAAAGTTTAAATACGAAAACGAACTGAAAATATATTTAACACGCCTTAATAAAAGTCTTTTTGTGCTTGTAATAGCGTTAAACCAATTTAAATTAGATGTATATAGCTAGTAAAATGTGTAACTAAATGAAATTTATATATAGCATAATTAAAAAATTTGGCATTTTAATATGAAACAAAATTATCTGCACTTAATTAATATACCTACTATTAATTTATATAAAAAATATCGAACGTATTTATAGAAAACCCCTTACAATACCCGCCATGAATGCACCCAACAATATATCGTAGCAGCGTAGCACGTCTACGGCAAGTCTACGAGTGTACGTCCGCGTCCAAACAACACTGAATTTTAACTACTGGCGATTAGGACAATGACCGCAGCAACGCCGGCCTCAATACGCACTTTTACATTGAGTATTACTCACTTGTATATGTATTTTATATCTTTCGTGATTAAATTAATTCTTAAGTACTTTATAGTTTTTAGACGCTAATTACATTTCAGAATGTAAATAGCGTCTAAAAACGTCCAACAACCAGAAATTAATTTCACATTTCTTGAGGTTTTTTTCAGTTTTGAATCAATTTAAACTGAACATTTGTAAAGAGGATTATATGTATTGTCATATGAAAATTTAAAAAATTCGCATTTTTCCCCTGCGAGGATGCACTGTATGTGAGAATTTAAGAAATAACAAAAAATTCAAATTTATTTATTGAACATTACAATTCGACAGGAAAAGGGAATACATTAATATTGTTAAATATCTATAAAAATATATTTAAAATAAATAGTCTAAAATATCAAATGCTTAAATCACAAACACAAAAGTAAAGCCAATACATTCGGCAATATTCTTGCAACACTGTTACTAGTAACTTCACCCATAATGGTTTTTTCGTAAGGTTTTAGATATGGCAAGTATTTTAGCACCATGTTTAACATAGGCCCTCTATCTAAGGTTCTATTCCGTTCTATTTCCGCTTGAAGCTCTTCTGGAGTCATGATATTTTGTTTGCTTCTAGTTATTGAAGTTTTGTTTGGTGGCAGTGTTCTTAGTTCGCGTCGGACCTGTGGTGAAATAAATAGTTTAATAATGTGCCCATAGAGCTGCAAGCATTAATTTTTAAGTTTTTATTTAGTTATATACATTTAATACTTTTTAAGACATTTAACAAATTCAGTAGGAACATAATTTATGAATTTGAACATTCGCAACGTTTTGCATTGAAATCCAGAAAGGGAATTCGGCTTAGTAATACTAAGTACTAAGCCGAATTGTTATGCCAATATTTAACAAAAAACAAAACACTACCTTTCCAACTGTTGAAACTGGATCAGCTAGACTGTTCTCCATCCTATCTAGCGCTTCTTGTAGTTGTCTAAAGGTTTCCGCTGCGCACAAAAAAGTAAAGTTATTTAAAACGGTTAATTATCTTATTTATTTAGAAGCTTTAAAGCAATATATATGCTTAAATTTAGGAAATAAAACACTACAACAAATAAAAAGAAACGAAGTTCAAGTTCATTTTATGACGTAATTTTTTTTAATCACTGCACAACACCGCACTTACGATCCGCAAGATAGTCGTCTAAATCATCATGTTTCGTTGTTTGGTTTGAAAACACCGTTATATTTGGAAGTATTATCTGATTCAATCTTGTCATATTTAATGGATTAGATGTATTTGTTTCAAGTTTAAAGGATCCATCTCTATCATTAATTCTTAAATCTTCAGTGTCATCTGTAAAATGAGTATCAGCTTAAATCGAGCTCTTTGTTTAACGTTCTTTATAACTTTAATATCAGTTTTTATACTTTTAAGTGTTATATCATTTGTTACAGTGTCATAAATTTTCTCCACATCCAAATACTCCAGATCAGCATAAAGTTCGTTGAACTTTGTCGTTTCTTCAACTAGGACATCTGGAACACGGTTTCAACCTTAGAAAGAACATCCATTGTTATTACGTCACTATTTTAACAACTTACTTTTTAAGTTCTTAGATGTATTTTGATCTTCCAAGTCTTCTAAATCAAACGATTTGTATCGTCCTAACATTCTAACTTTTTTCTTCTCCTCTATTTTTTTAGTTACCCCATTTTCTACTTCCGCATCAAAGGAATGTGTTGATGTTTCATTAACTTGCTCTTCTAGTTCGAAATCTTCGATTATATCTCTTGTGTGTACGAAATCTTTATACATATCAGTCGGATTTAAACTCAAATTAGATATAGCTACTTTCTTCAAGTAATACTCGTCGAACAGTCCAATATGATCATGTGTATCATTCGCTTCTACTTCAAGTACTGTGTTTAGCAATAAATGCTCTTCAGCGCTGTGTTTATTATATTTATCATCTGAATCATTCAAAGTGTTCTCTGCAATAAAAGTAATTTACTGAAACTATAGTATTTTCTGAAAAATTCTAAAACGAGTTAAGACGACCGGTATGGTCACGACGTATTGAATAATTAAGAATATAGTAGCAACGTACGAAAGCTGCAAAGCCCTGGTAAATAAGTATCAGGTCTTGATCGCGGCGGACAGATGGAGGCAGGTCGTCCAAGAGTCCACAAGGCACGAAAGGACACCGGACCACGCGGCGCAAAGTTACATACAAGCCGTTCTACACTGCGTAAACGACCACGCCAAGGTGCCTAAAACAATTGTAAAAATGGTTGTGACAAATTGTTAACGTGCTCAGGGAGCCATTGTGGATCACGACAGCTCTTCCGTGGTACATAAAAACAAAAGGAATATAAGTTATAGTAATAAAATATGGCTAATACTACTGGAAGCAAGTCAAATTTATTTAATTAAAAACGAATTACCATGAATCGACTTCTCCCACACCCAACCATATATGTTCGAGACCAAACTAATTGTGCGAAATCTCCATAATATTGGCTCGATCTTACAGGTCTGGAAGTAAATAAAATGTACAATGAAATATAATTCAGAGTTCATAAGCCCCAGGATGATTATCTTAGATTTTAAATAAGTTTGTTCAAAGATTCAAATATTGCACTGAAATGTTTAATTAACCAAGGATCGATTAAATATTTGCATGAACGTGACTTCATAGAGACGCTCATCTGATATGCCTTCAACAAGTGGTAATATATCTAATACGATATGCAATTGTAATGTACAAGCTGATGAAAATACTAACGGTACATAAGAAGTAAAGTTGCCTTCATATGATATTCTTTGCATATACCAAATGTCGACCATTGTTTCAGGGCGCAGTCCTGGCGCTTCGCCTACTATTGAGGCAACGCATTGTCCTACGGTTGTTGAGTCTGTAAGTTTTATGCTTTAGACAATATAGGCGAATATAACTGGTGACTTAGATAACGAAATCCAAAAATGCCTTAAATTTTTGTCGTGGTTTTTCAAAAACTAAATCAATCCATTAGAGCATTGTAAATATTCAAATTTTTCTTAAGTTTTGTTTACTTCTGTTAAAATATTGGAAGACTAACTTGGTATATCTTGAATACGTTTATTACATCAAAAGTAAACAATCTCTCAATGCGACAGGCCAAAAAAATATATACATTCTGGTAATGGGTACTTTGGGAAGTGAAGTTTCACAAATCTTTGTAGCGTACTTTAATATGGTAAAATGTACATACACAGATCACGGCAAAGATCGTGCTCCTCTAGTTGTTCCGGAGGCCTACACTGATCTGCCCAGAGTTGCGCTTCGCGGGCTAGTTCTTCAACCCATCGCTATAATAATATAGAAAAAACAGTTGCTTCTGTAATTCTAATATTGAATATGAGATTGTGGTTATTCGCACACTGAACAATCAGCGCCTTTAAAATGTTCCATTCCCAGCAATATTAATATTATTAGATTAAAAAGCCAGCCTTCTATATGAAAATGCAAGCATTATTTGCAATAAACATAAAACTTTAATGCCTTGTTTAGAATGCAAGCAATACAGTCCTCTAACAATATACTAATATTGTAAATCTAAAAACTTTGTCTAATTAATGAGTGCGTTTTATATTTGTATCTTTGACTTAAAAATGTCTTTCTTTTGGATATTTTATCAATTTATTGAGGATCGCTTAGTACAACATCACGCTATAATCAAACAAAATTGACTGAAACTGCGGGGCTAGTTTTAATGTTATTACCAATTTTAACATATCAGCGGCGGGTGGCCAGTCGTTGTATCCCAAGGCGACATCGCTTCTACGTCTGTTTAATCTCGCAAGAATTCGGGATTTGTCCTCGTGTGACAGTGGCGCGTGTATATAACCCATACATGACAATCCAGGACTCTGATAAATGTTTTATAAATTTTATATCAATGACGTCATAGGTCGGTCATCGAAAGCTGACGCGTTCACAGTACTCACACTAATGCAATTTCACTATACAGTATGTTTAAAAATATGACTTTTTTGCCAAGCTAAATTTTGTGTCAAATACATATAAATAATATGTGCATACGAGGGTGGATCCAAAAGTTCTAAGCCCGACCAAGAACGTAAAAGAGTAGTTTGTGTAAATAATTTTTCATTTTTCGACATAAGCTCCATCTAGCTCAACACACTTCACTTTTACTTCACTAACAATTCTTTCAATACTCCTCTTAGAAACACCAGTCGCATCTGATGTCAAATTAAAAATTAGATTTTTTAATTAAACTGTTTTTATTAAGATGCCTAATATAATTAAAAACATTGTACACCATTTCACAAGATTGTCCTGGTAAAGTTTAGACGGAATATATTTCATAAGACATTTTTTTCAAAGTATTCTAACCTCCAACCAAATAAGTAAACAATCACAGACAAAATAATAATGAGAAAAAAGATCAACATGTACAGTAAAAATCAACATAAACAGTAGCAAAAGCAAAACAATAACTGTCTCTTTTATACTCATAAGCTTGACCGAGCGCAAGAGAGACGGACAGTCTTTTCATGATGCATACTCAGTGTGACATCACGCCTCACGCTTATTAACAGACACTACACAAGCAAATATGTAAATGTGTTGAAGCCGCCAGCTTTAGATAACATACCAATAGTAAGTATAAAATTATGGCAGAAAGACATTATTAAAACGCCACGCGACCCGACGAAGAAGTGAATCAAATTGTAGGTACTATTTTCTTGTATAAGTCCTTTTTAATAAAAACGTGTATTTCCTCAAATTGTGTTTTAATAACCCGAAAGTATATATGAAATCTTTCATCATCTAGAAGTAAGTCTGGATGTAGAGTATATTCACCACATGTACTTCTCTTTTTATTTATTTCATGTACCCAGTAACGCCTAGTCATTATTTTGTTCTTAAGTCGTTTAAGTATCAGATATGTACCCAAAATTTGCATCAAATCTTCTTCAAAATCTTCATCTGACTCGTTATTTATTAAACCCATAGCACAATTAGCACACGACTATACACCTTCACTATTGTCATCTAAATGACTTCTGAATTTGCAAGCGTGTCGTGGTGTCGCGTGTTGGTAATGTGCACGATGGACATCGGGTGTCGACACGTTGCGTCGCGTGGCGTTTTAATAACGCAGTGACTATTCATACGGGTATCCGTATGAATAGACGCAGCCTTTTAATAATGTGTTACCGCCTTTAAAAGTATAATATTGGTCTTACTGAGAATCTACAGAATGTATGTTGGTCCGTATGCCCACACATCCGTGCACCGCAGTAATTAACGGACCCAGATAACGTCAAAATTTGTAAACTAAACATTAGCACTGCCAGCCATCTCATTTTAGAATTTTGATTTACATTTTAAAAAATCTTGCAAATCCTTGATAGTGTCATCAAGTGACATCAAGCATGACAATCGCAAGATATGCGGCCACAGAAGATGAATGACTGTCTATTGAATACAAATCATTTTAGATAGTAATATTTTTGAGTGTGGAGAAGATATTGGTGACCTCGACCATATTTTCTTTTCTCGTTTCCAATATGACCGCACCTCCTTTCTAAATTCCTTACTATAACTACATGTTCCGTTTCCGACTCTGCCTTTTGCTCTATCCTTTACTGTATTATAATGTATGTTCTTTCATATTCAATAATAATATTAATATGTAACATGTTTATGTACATTTTGTTTTTAACTAGCTTATCCCTTTGTTTATTTTTTCTCGCGTGTAGTTTCCCAACCTTTTACTTGAAACTGGCAAAGTTAAAACTATTGCCATAAAAAAACGTTTTTACTTTTAAATTTCTCACATATTCAGTAGGATTTTACTTGTTTAATTCCCTGCAAAAGCTTCGGATAGCTGTATTTTTTTCATTTTTATGACCAATGTAGGCTACTTCTAAGTTCAGATTATATTATATATTTATTATCCTTTTTTGTATTATATATCGTACTTCACATTCACCGTTTTCTTTGCTGGCGTTTGGAAGAGTAGTAGCGATAATGATAAGCCTATGTAAATGTTTTAAATTGTAATATATCAAAAATGAATTGCAAAATATGTTGGTAAGCACAAAACTCGAAGATGGCAGGACCAAGTCGAGTAATTTTATTCGTTCCTTATATTATGTTCTTAATATTTTTGTAATAAATAAGAATTATACATGCTCCTAAATTGATGAAATTTTGTGTGTATTCAAGTGGATTCAGGAATGGTTTCTTAGCTTCAATTTTTATTTTAAGACCCGGTACACACACGGTGACGTCTATCAGGTCCGCTAGTATTAATAATTCTGAACAAATAAGAATAATTTTTATATTAAGATAGGAAATCTATATTGGAAAATAAAATCCATTTTTTGATTAAAATGTATTAAAGAATAACAGTTGTTTTACAAAGTGCTGTTAATAAAAACACAGATTATAAAAATTATACACGATCTTGGACTTAGCTAGTTTATTTATATAATAATAATATACCTTAAATTAAAAAATATATATTTCACCCTAAAACAATTAATATACTTATTTTGTTAATTACAATAGTGTCGAATGGCCCCAAAACAATTAAATAAAATTTAAGGAAAAAAAAAACATAAAATAAATCATTAACGCACTTTTGACAATATTTATAAGTAGCCATATTTCAAAAGAATATTTTAATAGACATTTATTTTAACAATTACTTTTAAAATAAATTGTTTTTACGTATTTTTAAATAAACATCGTATACTTAAATTCATTAAATAAAAACACTCTTTTCTTCCTATGTATCACAATTGCCATAAAAATATAATCGTTTAAAATAATGTATTGAAAATATAGTTAGTACATAAACAATTGAAGGAATTATTTTTTATCGTAGTCCTGCTCCGTGGGCAAATAGTACATGGAGTCAATGAAATGTTTTGTAATATCTGACACCAGACTGCGATCCGAGATGCCCTGGGCGACGCCGTAAATGGCCATCTGCGAATGGAAATTTATTAGTTTGTTAAATTAGTTTATGTATGTGAGAATTAAGATACTGTATAGGTCTGTTATCTAAAGCTGGCGGCTTCAACACATTTACACTTTGTGCTTGTGTAGTGTCTGTGAATAAGCGCGAGGCGTGACGTCACACTGAATATGCATCATGAAAAGACTGCCCGTCTCTCTTGCGCTCGGTCAAGCTTATGAGTATAAAAGAGACAGTTATTGTTTTGCTTTTGCTACTGTTTGTAAATACATGTTGATCTTTTTTCTCATTATTATTTTGTCTGTGATTGTTTACTTATTTGGTTGGAGGTTAGAAAATTTAGAAAAAAATGTCGTATGAAATATTTGGTTCCGGCAAAACATGAACAGGACAATATCGTGAAATAGTGTACAATGTTTTTCATTATTTTAAGTATCTTAATAAAAACAGTTTAATGAAAGAATTGTTAGTGAAGTACGCAATCCAGATAATATAATATATTATATTATCGTATAATATATCATATCCAGAAAAAACACAAAACCCAACCCACCCAACCTTACTAAAACATATTATAAATAATAAGGCATATTTTTAAACATACTGTATAGTGAAATTGCATTAGTGTGAGTACTGTGAACGCGCCAGCTTTCGATAACCGACCTATATCTAATATTATAGAGGTAAACTTTGTGAGGTTAGGGGCTGTTCAAGTATTACGTACGCACTATTGGTCTCTTTGATTTGGTGACTACGTTAACAGTAATTATTTACTTTTTTACACATATTACCCACATCTATGCTTGAAAACGAAATGCATTTTCAAGGATTCCTAGAAAAAATGAATACGTTTATGCACTATTATTTTTGAGAGCTTTGCTTACTTTTGCTGAGAAGAGGAAGAAAGGGGGATAAATTGCAGTAAATCTGCTTGCGTAATACTTGAACGGCCCCTTATATAGGACCATCTCTGGATCTACTGAACCGATTCTTTTATCAATAGAAAGCCACGATACTTCTAAGTGTCATTTTTATTTTATTTATTGAAAAAGATTTAAAGCTAACTTACTAACTAAATATAAAGTTCTTTTTACGCCATTAAACAAAGCTTTAATGGATTGGTAACAATAATATCATTTTAATCCAATTATATATATATATATATATATAGAAGAAAGAATACTGGGTAATTACTGGACCAACAAATAAAAGATTAAGAGGTAGACCAAAGGAAAAATGGATTGATGAAATAAAAAGAAAAGCTGGTGTACCCGTAGAGGTGTCAATAATGATTAATGATTTATAATAATGAATTTTGATTTTGATTTTTTTATTATTTATTTATCATTTAAAATTTATATGCATTGAAATTATTCATTATAATTAGAATTTAAATTTAAGGATTATTATTAGTAATTTTTCTTTAATGCATGCACATATTTTGTAATAATTAATATAATATACTTGTTTAATATATTGTTCATTATGGAAATAAAGAGGCTATAATAATAATATTGATCAATATTACCTTTCCTTCGACAGGAGCATCGCCAGCCTTCAAGCACTCCGCTGCAACTACGCGAGTATCATTGACGAAGCGTTCCGCCACGCCTTCTGCTGTGTGGGCGTGGGTCACGCAGATGTGGATCCTAGGCGAAACAAATACATATTAACTTAATTTTATTTCTTACTAGCTGCCCCCGCGCTCTTCGTTTCGCCTTAACATGATTTTTTACTTAACTTTTTTAGTACAATGAAACAATTTCCTTGCTAGATAAAGACTGTTCGCTTTTCCAGAATAAAAACCTAAGTACTAAATACAAAAAAAAATCGTACTTTTCCAATTTTTCTCTCCATAAACTCTTCCATAGATAGATTTCAAGGAATATTTTTTTTTAATTCTCAAATTTGACCAGCCGTCTTCGAGTTATGAGCTTAGCAACATATTTTCCGGTTCATTTTTATTGAAGTGAAACTTCTTTATCGACGTATGGGAGAAATTTTGTAGCAAATCGTCATGTTTTTCGGTTACGCGCCATGTTGCTTTTTGAAGTCAAACTTCTTTATCGGCGTTGGAAAAAAATCTACCGTCACATTTTTCGGTTACGCGCCATCTTTTTCTTGTCCCTACCACGGTTGATCCGAAGACATTCGAAGCCATTAATAACAAAAATATATAATAACGATAACAATGATAGTAATAATTCTATTTCAATTCATGAAATTCTGTAATAATCTTAGTAGGTAAAATGTAATTGTATTTATGTCTATGATAATAAACTTTATCTTATTTAACTTTATTTAACGAATTTCTGTAAAGTTGCATATATCATTTTTCGAAAAATAAGATCATAAAGAAGTTTCACTTCTTACGTGTGTACACCTAGTACACGCACAATTTATTATTTTTTTCATTGATGCTCCGTTCATAGCAACCGTATGACGCTGTTATGTAGTCTAGTTTTATGTTGATAATGAATGTTTTACATTGAATTTAATTTTAAATCGTTTCAGTACAAGTCAAATCTTTTCCTTTATTATTATATAAAGCAACAATGTGCATAAATTGCACTTCTTTTTATAAGTTCTGGAAACTAATCATTTGTAATAAAATTCACCTTTCACCCAAATTAAAAGCGAGTTCAAAGTGTCTCGTGTCTAAGACATTATTGAAAAATCCAATTGAAATAAATTATTACATATATTATATCTATTTATTGACGTTCATATAACATCAGATATTCAATAATTAATAGTAATTTATCAAGATTAATACTAGAATAGTGGTGGCCTCAGTCGGCTGTCATCCCTGAGGTCGTAAGTTTGAGCCCCGGCTGTGCACCAATGGACGTTCTATGTGCGTGTTCAACATTCGCTCAAACAGTGAAAATATTGTCTTGAAACCGGCTTGCCTTAGACCCAAAAAGTCGATGGTTTGTGTCGGGCACAGGAAACTGATAACCTTCTTGCCTATATTGGCAAATGATTACGAAACAGATTTATTTATTTATTTATTTATTTATTAAGGAACACCAACAGATTACATGTATATATTTTCTAATTAACAATATTGGGTTTTATTCTAGCATGCAATCTAATAATAGGTGTACACAACATTGACTCTAATAAATGAAAGCGGACAGAGTTTACTTAAGTATTTGTATCTTTAAACATAGATAAATTGAAACGTGGTAAATATTACATGACTTATGGCTGAGATGACTGAATTTTCTTCTTAAAACTAGGAAGTGAGTCATAATACACGTCAAGACTATGTCTACAACTACATTGGTTAAAATTCCTAAGCATTCTACTGAGGGGCGCATGTTTACCTAGATTGGTTAAGGACTGTGGAACGACAAAAGTATCAGTCTGTCTTCTTCTTGCGTTGATTCTAGGCACTACGAAGTAAATCTTTTTTAAAATATCTGGACAAATAATCGTGCCGTGCATCAACTTGTACAAAAACACCAGGTCCACAATCATACGACGATCCTCGAGAGTTTGCAAATTGAACTTCTGTAATCGATCAACATAATCCCTTCTGTAGCAAAATTTAGGGGTTTTGTACGCCAGGAACCGTGTGAATGTTCTTTGAGGACGTTCTAGTGCATACTTGTGTGTTTGGTATGTGGGATTCCACACTACACTAGCGTACTCAAGGTGGCTGCGCACCAATGCATTGTACAGAGTAATAAGAGTTTTAACATTCTTAAAGTCAGTGGTATTACGCCTAATGAAACCGAGCATCTGAAATGATTTCGCTATAATTATTTCGTGGTGAGGAGTAAAACTGAGAGCACTATCCAGCGTCACACCAAGGTCTCGTATACGATCAACCTCCTCAAGAGCAACTCCATTAATTGAGTAAGAAGATTGGAATAAGTTTTTATTCCTAGTAAATTTTATATGAAAGCATTTACCAGCATTTAAAATCATGTGGTTATTTTTACACCAAGTGTGTATGGCAAGTAAATCCTTTTGCAATAGAGCAATATCATTCGTTGAAGTTATTGTCTTAAACAATTTCATGTCATCGGCAAACAATGAACATTCACTATAATGAACATGATCTACTATATCATTTATAAATAAAATAAATAAAATTGGCCCGAGGTGAGAGCCCTGAGGCACGCCTGAAGTTGCCACATACGGTTTTGATGCATAACCATTTGTCACCACTGTTGATGATCTGAATTTAAGGTACGATGCAAACCAAGAATGTAAGGATCCGCAAACACCAAATGTAATTAATTTTTTTAATAATATATGGTGACAAACTTTGTCAAAGGCGCTACTAAAATCAGTATATATCGCATCTACTTGTATCCGCTTATCAACATGCTCCATGAGAGTTGTGACATAAGGAACCAGGTTCGTAGACACAGATCTGCCGCGCTGGAAACCATGCTGTCTCACACTTATCATAGGTTTAACGTGATAAGTGAGAATTTCACATATAACTGACTCAAACAATTTTGAAAACGTGCTCAGAATCGAGATAGGTCGGTAGTTTTTTACGCTTTCCCTTTCACCCTTCTTATATACTGGGATAATACGTGCTTCTTTCCAAATAGTAGGAAATATTCCTTTGTCCAGGGAAGAATTAAAAATAAGAGTAAGAGGGAAAGCGAGCTCGGCAGCACACCTCTTCACGAAAAGGGGTGGTAGACCGTCTGGCCCAGCGCCCTTTGTAGGATCCAGTTTTTTTAAAGCCTTTAGTATGGTTGCCTCTTGGAAAACTATTTTGCTTAATAATAGGTTAGCCATGATATAATCAGGATGGGTATAAGCAGAGGCAGTACTATTATTCAGTTCGTAGACATCGTTATTGAAAGTCGATGAAAAGTGTGTGGCGAACAAATTTACTATTTCATTGCCCGTTGAGCCAGTCCCACTGTCATGTTTCATGAGCGATGGCAACGCATTTGAATTTTTTCGTCTTTCACTGAGGTATTTCCAGAATTTTTTGGGATCTTTATTTATGGCCTCCTCTGTGTTACGTATATAGGCCAAGTAACACTCTGAATAATGCTTATTACATCGTTCGCGTAGAATTTTGTACTCAAATTCATCACGGGGGTTATTGTACTTACGTGACCGACGCCTAAGTTTATTCTTTTCCGAGAATAATTTTCGAAGTGAATTATTAAACCAGGGTGGGTAATTATGAGATTTTCGATGAAATTTAGGAACGTGTTGTTTGATTATACTATTAATATGTTCATAAAAGATTTCAGTCATCTCATCAATACTATTTGTCACAGAGAAAACGAGACGCCAGTCGATCCCACGCAACTCTTTAAATATCGTCGAATAATCAGCCCGGTAAAAATTAAAACCAATGTGCGGCAACTTCGGCAGAAACGCGACTGTTAAATCCAGAACAACAAACAACTGAGGGTGATGAGCATCAAGCTTACTTAAAAGATCCACTGGCCTCTCGAGTGTTGCGTTAGCCACATTTGTGAATACTAAATCTAAAGTTCTATTATTAAAGTTTTTAACATAGTTCAATTGCTTTAAGTTATTTAAGTTAACAAAATCTACCAACGCATATCCAAGAGGGTATTCATAATTTGTTGGTAGGACTGTATCAAGATTGTCATCACGAGACCAAGATATATATGGCAAGTTAAAGTCACCAGCAATTACTACTGCATCCAGTGACTGTATGACACTCGTTGCATTAGCACAAAAACATTCTAGAATATCCTTCGTTGGATAAGGAAAATAGGGACAGCAAATTCCAACTCTTTTCACGTTTGAGTGAGGTGCCTCGATATCCAACAGGACCCAGATGTCCTCACATGATGTTTCCCATGCTTGCATTCGTACAGACTTAATGGTATTTTTCACAGCAATAAGCACGCCACCACCTCCGTCCATCGGTATTCTGTCCCTTCTGTAGACAGTATATCGTCGGTCAATAAACTCATAAGTACATATAGTAGGCACAAGCCACGTCTCCGTCATTATGATGATATCGAAATCATGTTTTTGTATTTCTTGACGAATTGCATTTGTCTTCGTACGCATACCTCTAATGTTTTGGTAGTAAATATTTAATCCTGCCATTGGATCCATAGAACTGTTTAAATGTATGGTCAGGAAGTAATTAACTAATAAGCTTTAGACTTTCCAAGCTACGAATGCAAACAGCTTGGCTGGTCTCGTTTTTTCTTGCAAATATGCGACCATCACGAATCCAAACAAACTTGAAACCAACTTCTTTAGCTTTGCGCCTAGCAGCAGCATGTAGATGCTTGTTCGTGGGGCTCAGATGCTCAGAGACATAAACAGGAACCCTTGCGCCGCCCAATCCCAGTTGGTGGGAGTTAAGCTTTTCCTTCGGGTTGGCTTTATTAAAACTCGATACGGCCGCAAGAAGACGATCTCGAACAGCTCGGCTGCGGAACCTCGCTACTACGGTGCGAGGATGTGGAGTGTCCCTATTTAATTTCGCTACTCGAGTCACTTGCAGCACATCTCCCTCGGCCAAGGGTTGTTTTACCAGCTTATACAATTGCACCACAGTATTTGCCAAGTTCTCAGAAGAATGCTCAGGGAGTCCGCCAATTTCAACGTTCGCCTCGCGCATATGCTGTTCCACCAACGCTAGTCTACTGGTGAGGTCATTTACTGATAATTGAAGAGTCTCGTTTTGCTTTTGTAGCAAGGAGATCGTGCTCACATTGTCCTCAAAAATTTTCTTCATGTCCTCAAATTGAGAGTTGCAGAATTTCAACGCAGATTCGAGTGAAGAGATCTTATCGTTGAAATTTTTGAACGCCTCTGATACGATCTCATTTAAAGATTTTTTTAAGAAAGACTGAAACATTTCCTGCAATTCTTCCCTAACGATGGCACGCAGAGTATCATTGGACATCACACTGTGCTCAAGACTCGGCAAGTCGTCAGAGCTTTTGCGACGATTCTTATTTTTATTACCGTCTCTCAAGGTGACGTTAGTCGCATCATTCGATGCTACTGTGCCCGGGCGAATAGGGGTATTTGTATTATCCGTTTTAGGTTCCGAGCTGCGGCATTCTAAGCATTTCCATGACTGCTTATTTTCAATGGACATTAGATAAAATCGCTTACTGGAAACGTTCGCACAATGCAAGTCATAAACCAAGCAGCAGATACAGCATTTCATGAACTCCCTGCCAGTGACAGCGGCCTTACAACCGGCACAGTTCTTAGCCATTATTCCTTGTAGATAACTCTTAATATGTGCTAAAAACAATCCAACGCTAAGTAGTCGGAACACAGTACACGGCGAAGCACGGTGAGGCGAGCTCTCGTCGAAAAGGGCTTAAGCGCCGTGCAGTTAGCGGCGCTTACGCGTTAGGCCGAGTCACGCACGATCGAGTGTCATGGAGTCACAATGAATGATGTTATGATTTCACAGTTTACCAATATCAACACAAAAACACAGTCCTGCACTATTAATTCTATTAAATTGAGTTATACACGACACTAATTGAACTTCACACACATTATTTTGCTAAATTCAGACATGGAACTGTACTTTAGACTTCGAAAAGGAATAAAAAAATGCGGAGAGATTGTCACCGCATGTTACGATGTTGACCGCCCGAAACAGATACAGAAATCTGAGGCCCAGACCTAAAAAGTTTGTAGCGCCACTGGTATAATACTAGTATAAATTCTGTATGATTTAAAAATTAATATTAATTGAAACACCAACTTACCCAGACGGAAATTGTAGAGCATTCAAACTCCACCCCTTTTTGTGTAACAAGTCGGCCATTTTGAATATATCGAATTGCTTCGAGCCGAATGCAATGACGGTAGTCGCAGGTTTTCCGAATATGAAGATACCCTTTATCTTTCGGAGTCTGTGATAATAAAAATGTATACGTTTTCAGGAGGCAAGTGATAACAGTTAATTGACACCTGCAACGGGTGTGTTGCCGTCCTTTTAGGGTATATTTGTGTCCAGCAATGGACACCTGCCATGGGTGATTACAGGTGCGTTGCCGACCTCTTATTATTTTTTACTAAAAGATTTTAGTGACCATGCAGACTTAGAAACGCGAAGTAACCATACATATTTAGAGGTTTTTGGTGACCATGCAAACTGTGACACTTTCAGTGACCAGGCAGACAACGAAACGGCAGTGGTGGCCTCAACGTGCTACTTTCAATCTTGAGATCGTGCACTAGAATCTCGGCTTGGATTTGGCCCAATGGCCTTTTCTACGCAATTAGTACTTACTCGTATCTTAAAGGAAAACTTGGTGAGGAACAGTAAGCCGATCACCATCGTTTTTGAAAAAAAATATCAAAAGCAATACAGAATTCTGAGCGCTATCGGTTCTTGAGTGACCATTAACGCTTAATGAACGACTCTGAACTTAGTATTAAGTTATTATTCCCAACAAACATACAATGTTATAAATTTGTTGATATTTATTGGTCGGTTGATGCAATAAATTGACTAAGTTGATTTTTAGTTTTTCCTTCACTATGGTTGCCTGGAAGTGATCACTCATTAGCGATAAGGCCGCCCGTTGCATCCCTTATATCAATCCTATAGTCCTAATAAATAAACACTGATTTTTCCTAAGGGAGCGTTCAAGTATTACGTCACTCAATTTTTAAAGAATATTGCCCCCCCATGTAACGCGCCGTAACGTTTATCTGTACCCAATAGATAAACCATTATGTGGTGTGATTGTATTGAAAATTCGAAAATAATATTAACAATAACACGTAATTCAATCCCCGCCCCGAATCGTAACGTTTTACAAAAGGAACCCCCCCCAATCCTTTCAAAATTCGTTACGTAATACTTGAACGCTCCCTAATATTGGAAGACTTAAAAATATATTAATAAAGACTTACTCTTCAAGTATGTAGTTCGTGGTCTGCAATATCTCCCTCGTCATGTCAACGTACCGATTCTTCCCAATATACATCATGCTAGCCCAACAGGCTGCGATTGAACCACCCGCACGGCTGCCTTAAATAGGGCAGAAAATAATACGATCATACCACGCGTAATATTACTAGCACAGAACATTACTATTAAAACATTACTAGTAAAAAGAGAACCAGCAGCTATTCACTGATAAAATTCTTATTTAGTATTGTCTTTTATTGACATAACTTTTACACATTTAATAATAAAACAATTTTTACCGGATTGAAGTTATGTATTTACAATTATTTATCATAATTTTAAATTTAACCGACGTTTCGCGTGCTTTACAGCGTGCGTGGTGACTGGGTTTTGGCAGAAATGACATTTCTAAATTGGAATATAGTCCAACATTCGATATGTTTAATTTCCGATAACTTGGTGGACAAACACACATTTAGTACACGTTCTTGGAAATAAAGATACTTAATGAAATGAAATGAAATGAAATAGTTTATTCTTGCAAGTAGGACTATATAAATCACTTTTACAATGTCATCCTAAACTAGATGAAGTCGACATTTCCTAACTGACTGCCCTGAGAAGAAATGTCGAAACAAACTCGGGGGTCTTAGTCTCTTTTATAGTCCAGATAATGCAATAATAAATTAATAAATTGGTGTAAACAAATGCAGAGTATTTACTGGACTGGTCTTTGGAAGAAAGAACCAGATCGATCTGAGCAAGCCTGTGCCAGCAGACGGCAAGCATGCCCCGAATAGCTCATGCAGCTCAACCATTTTTGAGGGAGCTGCACAACCCGGTACACAGCAATACCGCCAGTGGCACCATAAAAATATGTGGGGCAACAACTCACTCAGATCGCCAGCCCAAAATAACTATAGACTAAAATGTATCAAATTATAAATCAAGCAAAAGAGTTTATGATATACCCGCATAATGTTTACACTTACAATGGATACAAAATGTATTTTTAAGGTGTACCTTAAGAGAACAATATAAATTCTAACAATCTTTACAAAATACCTCCGTTTATATAGGTTAAAATTATGTTTTAACTGGTTAAAAGCAGCTTTACCATTAACAGTGGGCGAGCCATAGACGCCTCCGGGCCAGTCAGTAGTGACCGTGTACTGACCATGCCTGTACTCTTCATGACGATAGAGTACCACTGACGTTCCTTTAGGCGCGAACCCGTACTGGAATCAAAGTACACCAACGTTTATGTTTATATATTTTCGTTAAATTTGAAAAAATAATATCAACTAAACCCGCCATTGTCTGACGCATCTATCGCTTTCTCGGTTCCCTGGACCAGCTCCGGGCGCGCAAAGCCAACTATTTTATAGAAATTTTAACGAGAATGGCCGGTGTATACCCCCCAACGAATGCCCATAGAACTTGTTATTTATTCGATAGTTAAACCAAACTGAAAATTAGTCTAAAATGGAATTTGAAATTCTAGGTTTTTAGTATTAAAATTTAAAACAGTCAAAAATCATAATACGAATATCTGTCTGTGATTGCACAGAACATTACTAAAGTCTATGTAAATAAGAAACGGCGTGACAGTTATATAATTCTTATTTGCTATACGTCATTATTCACAGAGTATATAGTTTTATTATTCCTTATTTATAATACTGATTACAGTCAAACTATAACGTAACATACAAAAGTAATTGAGAACTGCAGAGACCTCAAAGTCTGCGACGGTCCGCACAGACTTCAGTGTTTATCTTCTGTATAAACTTGTCAGTTGTCAAAACAAATCTGTGAGTTGTCAGTTATACATTTTGAAATAATAGTTTCCCATAGAGCAATAAAAAATTCACAGAACAAGAATCCAACCAATATCCTAGATGAATCCTACCTTGAAACATGATAAATATATAATGAAACACGGTCGCGCATTATCCATTAATATTTATACTTTATATATTAACTAAACATATCTATAAAGTTCTATGTTTTTTAAAGTTTATTTATATGCTATTTTTAATATTCGCATGAGTTAAGAATTCTTAAATAACATACCTTATGTGTATCAGCAGACATACTAGCGACACCTGGTAGCCGGAAATCAAAATCGGGAACCGGATATCCGGCATCCGGCATAAAGCACGCTACGAAACCGCCAAGACACGCGTCTACGTGTAAGGGAATCTCGTACTCTAAGGCTATGTTGGATAGGGCTCGGATGTCATCCATTGTGCCGTAAGGGAAGTTGGGTGCTGACCCAACAATCTGAAATAGATCAATACAGAGTAAGAATTCCAATATAACAATATATTGGAAATGAAACAGGAAATGTCCTGAAAAATAATACCCATATTGCCATAGTCTATGGTAACATCACGCCAATGAAGACGACTGCTTTATACCTAATCTGTGTTGCTACAATGCGGTACCAATAACAATGAGTCTCCGACTAGGGTAGACTCGAAATCGAGAATCACAAGTTTGCGCGTTATCCGCTAAAATCCCCCTTTGTCCTTTCTTCGAAGACACTCTCCTCAAAGCCTCAGCTAGCATTGGAATACTGGGCGTTGACATATCGAATGACGTTCAGTTTCAGACGTCCGAACGGTTATATAAAGAAATGAAAATATACGGAAGCTCTGAAAGGTTCTCAAAAAGTTCGAGGAATATTGGTAAACGTCACGGTATTGTCGCTCAGATAAAAACAATGTTAAGACTTGAAAATTGTCCCCCTGACCAAAACACTGTGTGCTTAAAGCTAAGCAGATTTTTAAGAGACTAAAAGAAGCTGGTGAACAGTGTTGGCTTAGTCTCTTCAGCGTACGACTCTCATCCCTGAGGTCGTAAGTTCGATCCCCGGCTGTACCAATGGACTTTCTTTCTATGTGCGCATTTAACATTCGCTCGAACGGTGAAGGAAAACATCGTGAGGAAACCGGCTTGCCGTAGACCCAAAAAGTCTACGGCGTACGTCAGGCACAGAAGGCTGATCAGCTACTTGCCCATTAGATTACCAAATGATCATCACACAGATACAAAAATCTGAGGCCCAGACCTAAAAAAAGGTTGTAGCGCCATTGATTTATTTACTAACAGAATTTGGAAGGCCGAAAAATAGTTACTTTATGATACGAGAAAATTTTACGTAAGAAGATTACTACTGCGTAGTAATATTACTGTATACCATATTAAAAAAATTCTTAATATCCACGTCAACTTACCAAACAAGTCCTGCGTCCAATGGCCTTCTTGACAGCTTCGATGTCAACTGTCAAAGTGTCAGGATTGACAGGAACAGTGACAACCGAAATGCCCAAATATTGCGCGGCCTTGTCAAAGGCGGTGTGAGCCGTCGTGGCAAGTACCATTTGAGGATTGCTTATGCCCTTGCTGTATGCGCGATCCCTGAACGCCTTGCACGCCATCATTATTGACTCTGTACCACCGGTTGTAACCTAATACAATAGTTTAACATGAGTTAACTTTTTTTAAATTAAAAAAAACACCAACGGGCAGAGTTCGCGAGTGCCGGTACGCTTTGAAGACCCGTAAGTCGAAATGGTTTAGAAATACTTGCAAGCTGCACCCTGACAGTGCGTTCCGACCTCGTTTTTGACAAACATAAAACTCTGGGTATAAAATGCATGTGTTAACCCAAAAACGTGTGTCAACAGAAAAGACCGAAATTATCAATGGAACGGACACAGGAATTTATGCAATAAAACAGTAGATACATAATAAAATTAGTAAGAAATTTTTTTTTTATATTCTAAAGAATAGCTTACAATCTAAAGACCACAGATGAATGATAGAAAATAGACTGAATGTTGGTGCAATCCATAGATAAAATTACTTTTTCACAAAACTAACAAATTTAAAGAAAGTTAAAAGTGATTGTTTCTTCAAATGAAAAGTACTTATTGTTGTACTTAAAGTATGTAATGTTGGCAATTCAGATTTACGTTAAAGTTAGTGTAAATTAACTTGGCTGTAAATAACTAATAAATTAAACATTTTAACTTCAATAATTAACCGTTAATTTAAATAATAATACATAATTACCGTGCCGCAGCACTTGTCATCTCCGTGGAATAAATTGATCGCCATTCTAACAATTTCAGCTTCCATCTTATTAATGCCCGGGAAGACATCAGCGTGTAGAGGATTAGTATAGGCCGTTAGCGCATACGCGTCACACGCTACACGATAAATGTCTTCATTCGTGTGATATACGGCACCTGATACGTGGCCGCCCTTCCAGTCGTAGGAACCTAAAATATATCAAATGACATTTTTATTTTGTATCTACCCTCATATCAGTATACCACCACAGACCCATACATAGAGGTGATCCATATTTTTAGTCTGTCGTACAGATTTTTTTACAGGCATATATATATATATAGGGGAAGATTGTTACCCTTCGTACGCGGGGCACATTCATACAGTCGAAATAAAACTTGAACGAAACAAAGTACAGTCTTGTTTTTGTATGTGTGCATGAGTCGAGGTACGAACTATACATAATCGAAGTTTCGCGAAATTCGCACCGATGAGAATGAAGTTACAGGCATGGACGTGTTTTCGCGCTCGGTAAGTAATTTTTTGATCAATGTTTTTGTCTCTTGTTACCGTAGATAAAATAAGTTTTCGTGTAGAGTATTCTATCAGTAACTAGCAAAATATACTTAGATACGTCTCCAATACTTAATTTATGACGTTTTCCTATTAATATTAAAATAAGTTATATTTTGTTGTTATTCAGTTAGTGGGGTACTTTCGGACAGCACTAGATGGGGCACATTTGAACGAATTGTACAACTAAATTTGTATGAAAATATTTTGTCGACACGAACTGTAATTTTCATACAAATTAAGTTTTCGACTTGCTACATACAAATAATAATAAGGCATCTTGACTAAACCCTCTGGTAGGTAGGAAAGATTGTGTTAGTGTGCTAATTGCTCTAATATTTCCATTAACTTTGTCCTGTGTTGCTATCATTGCTATCGTCGATGTATTTTTATTACCTATTTTTATTATCTTTATTAAGGTTGATTTTGATGCATGTGAACCAGATGCTTTGAATAATTTACCAATCCATCAAATAGTAGTTCCTTCGAAGTCAGTTTTGACACCTTAAGGGTTTCGACTCTATACGCATGTTGTAAGAAGTAATAAAACAAACAAAATGACGACGGCCAGGAAAACCACGAATTTATACTGCCACACCCGAAAATAAGAAGTGCTAATCCGCACCAAAGATTAAAGAATGTGATTCTAAATTTAAGATACCTAACTAATTAAATTTTGGTTTTCTTAAGAAAAGCTATGTAATTTTTGTTCACTATAATTAAAGTATTTTATTTTTGTTTATTAGAAGTTAAATCTTTATTTTTGTGTTTAATTTCATTGCTAATAAATGAATTTTGATTTATATGTGTCGTTTTAATCGCACGTACGGAACTACCCCACAGCGTACGAAGGTACCCTCAACACTGTACGAAGGTGCCCCGTTGATGGGGTAGATTCGTACGTTTTCCAGATTTAGTTTAAATCATAATTATGGTTGAACCATCAGATGAAATCATTTGTCATTTTCTTATATGAATCTCAGATAGTTAGACTATAAATTTAAGCTTGCAGATGATTGATTCATGGAAAAATAAAATAATAAAAAAATAAAATGTGAAAACCGTACGAAGGGTCCCGACCTTCCCCTATATATATATATATATATGTATTATACATTCTAGCATCGTCTGCAGTTTCGGCTCTATAGATTTCGTGTATTTTTACAAGATTTTTGCGATCTCTCTTTAAACAGCTGCTAAATTTAATTTATATCCAAATAATATGCTTACACCCTGAGGAATCACACATTCTATTGTACAAATCTAATGGTATAAATATTGATTCACCAGAAAACTGACCAAGGACTCCAAGTCAATTAATTAATAAGACAAAAAATCAAGTCAATTGTGTAGCAATTTTGAAATAAATTTTATTTAGATTTTTTTAGTAATATGAAAGAAATTTTAAAAATTAATTTTATTTTTTTAGTAATATGAAAGAAATTTTAAAAATTAATTTTATTTTTTTAGTAATATGAAAGAAACGACTCATGCACGAGGATCTTGCCCTCTTAGTCCCTACGTCATCAGCATCTCGCGGACCCAAAGATATTTGATGATTATCTTAAAACAATCTGGACGAGTCGAATACATTTATTTTTTTCGGCACCTCGACGCATGGCGTTCCATAACACAGCGCTTTTTACTGCATACGAGTATATAGGCATACTTTATGTGGAGCCAGCTGCCAGAGGTATTTCCAAACCGATAGACTTAGCTGGGGCTTTCAAGAAAAGAGCGTACCATTCCCTGAAATGTCGGGAACGGACCCGCCAGCCCCCGGTATTGTCCATGAGCGGCGGTTATCACTTTATTTAAAGTGACCAGCCAGCTCGTTTTCCTAATGTTCCATAAAAAAAAGTCGTAGCTTGTGTCACACTTCTCTTTCACTTCTCTACAATAATACTAAGAATCTTTTCAACTGACCTAAGCTCAAGTGATCCCTTATTTCTTCTACAACACGTTCTGAAGGCAGACCGTTCTCCGGGAGCTTCCTATTAACATTGACACCAGCAAGTCTCTTTGCCACATCTTTGCGAAAGTCTGCCTTGATTTCATTCATTTTCTCTTCAATTTTTCGACGTACAATTGGTACACGACGGAGCCATCGAAAGAACTCTTTCCTTAGCCTTGTGGTAGGACCTGATGGAAAAAATTCTGTTAGAAATTGGCCAAATATGATAGACAAATTATTGTATCGCTTGGTCCAGGGAACAAAGTCGAAAAGCAAAATCTATTTTTTTACTTCCGGGAAAATTAAAGGTAATGCTATTATTACTAGCTTAAGGTTGTACATCACATATGCAAATATGTATATAAATATGTCAAACTAAAGCTATTTTTTTCCTATTTCCATTTCAACATTGTTGGTATGTATTTAGCGTAAATAGTTAAAAAATAACTAAATGTAAGTTACAGTAATTTATCTAATTAGACTTAAGAGAAATAGCGTCTTAAGATTGCTTCACTGTTTAAACATAATTACTGACGACACAGTGACTGCACTATACGACGGCAGATTCTGACGAATGTCTAGAACGTAATAATTTATTACCACTCTTCGCGGAAATATTATGACCTTGGTGAAACAGTGTCTCTGTTTTATTACCATTCTTTATTTGTTTTTAAACTGTCGCATTAACTTTTATGATTAATTGGTAGAATTACAAACAAAACTCAAACCATCTTTATGGTTTTTGCGATCTATTTTAGGAAAATAAAATTATTCTCGTGGTTTTTTATAATAATATGTTTTGCAAAAAACCCAAGTAAAAAAAACATTAAAACAGTCGGAATAGTGGTTACGACATTATTCCCCGGGGAAATCGATATTATGATTAAAATTAAATAAATTATAAATAGGTTAATACTGGGTCGCGCAAAAGTACTGGCACTAAAGAAAATTTGTTTATTTTTTTATATGACATTTCCTGTCATTCTGTTGTTGAAAATTGTGAAGTGAACAAATGTAAAATACACTGAAAATAAACATGGACCGTTTTACTCCCCAAGAACGTGGAATAATCGTGTCAATGTTCTCACGGAATGATTCATCAGTGATAAAAACACGTGAATTTCGTCGACGATTTCTCCACCGTCCGGCACCGATTGGTCGCACAATCCGACGCTTTGCCACACGCCTTGAAGCAACTGGCTCCTATGACTGGCTCAACATTGGATAGACCTAAGTGCACCCTGCAGCGCACGGGAACATCTTTAAGTCTTTCACCAAAATACGCTGCAGGGTCCGTCTGGAAATGCCCAATTGCGTGGCACGTCGCCTCGTTGATGTTTCTGGACACTCTTCCACATCTTCGCGCACAACATCGATATTTTCAGCTGAACGGCCTGTTCTAGGTCTCCAAGACTTGTATTAATTACTTAATATTTGATAGTAAAAACAAAAATAAAAACCAACACAAATTCGCCACTTATGTTGCCTAAATGTATATATCTTTTGTATTGGACTTTCAATTTGAGATTGACCAGGATTTTCGATCAAGAATTCAATCAAATTAAAACCCAAAACATATTCCGAAGTTCCCCATAAGTAAACATTACCTAATACAATTATTATCTAACATTATACCATGTTAATGTGTCATGTAAAGTATGTTATTATACAGCATTTGTTTTTAAATAAAACAGGAAATTTTCTACATACAAATTGAATGATATCACATATCATCTCGATACAAATTACAAGGAAAAATTCAATGTAATTCAACATGACTTTGCAATATTCATGCGAGTCACAGAATTGCTCAGCCTTAGTCAAACAATTGTGCAAATGATCTTAGAAGATAGATATTGAAACTGGTCTTAACTGGTTTATGACAAAAACAAAACAGCCTTGAGGAGAAACTAACATGTAACAACATATTTTGCAGTTGCCTCTTTCATTTTCATTTAATATATGAAATAGAATTTTAGGTAAAACTTTAAGGTTCTGATTATATCAACAATTTTTTTTGCTACTTTATCATGGGTTACTAAATCATGATTTATTTTTAACACAAGATAATTAATTAGCACCTCGGGGCAAATCTTTATTTATTCTAAGTGTTAAAACTCCAGCTCCAGTCGATTTTACTTTCAGCAACATAAAATAAAGCACTGTAAGGAAATAGACATGTCTAAGACAATGCACTGAAAAATCTTGTGACAGGCAGAAAATGCAGATTACCTATTAGCATAAAAATGTATATAACGGATACATTCAAACAATTTAGGAGTTGTTATATAATTTTAACTACAGGAGTAGATTTCCCTAAACCAAACTATCTTCTTAATAAATCTCTACTCATGTTTTGACTGATTTTATCTTTAATATTCAGTAATAATTTCATTGCATATATAGTTATAAGTGTACAAATTTATTATCTTATCCACTAATAATAATGTAACTAGATTGATATAAATTGTTATCAATAATTAGAACATAATTACATACACAAAAATCATATTAGATTTTGACATGAAATATTATTAGATACTGAAATCATTTTATAATAACTTATTCTATTATACATCTTTTGTCTACAAATGTATATAGTTATTACCAAAACTGCTAATAACATATAAGTCTTGGCCTCAGATTTCTACATCTATTTCATAAGCTCCCCTTAAATGTCTACAACATATTTATAGTCTTAAATTAATATTGTTTTCCAGTAAAATTAGTGATATAGACAAAATATGTAAAAATTAAGCCTTAATGTATGTTAGAATAATCTTAGGAGGCAAGAATATTAAAATACTTACTTTCTTTTGCATTGTAAAGACTGTGAGCCCAAACAAGGGCCAAAACAGAAGAGGCTGTCATTGTTACAATTTGCCATGGCTCTTTCCCATCAAAGAATTTATTAATGGCTTTCAATGGCTGTGGTCGCTCACTCATTACTGAAATGCATATATAATAACTGCCTACACAAGCTGTTATATATTGCAGTATTATAAAATATATTAGATGTTAAGGATTTGTTTCTCAGAAGGATGACTCAACACATGTTGTCAAATAAGATATCCTATGTAAAGAATGGTTTTAAAATTAATTTCATTTGGGACCTTTCAATCTAACTTTATTCAAAGATAACTGTTTAGTAAATTGCAAGGCTAAAATATAGGTACTTACTTGTTTTTGTTTTGGAATATTTGAGGAAACTTGGGCTTATCACAAAATAATAGAATCCTTAGCATTAATAAAACAGCGAACTGTTAATCATAGTAATAAGATAAGGTAAAAATTCTTGCAACAGTAATTAGTGCTCAACCAGTAAGAACGAAATGTGATAATGAATAATTAACAAACACTATTTGAAAAATATTTTTCTGTCTAAACGCTATAAAATTCTATAATATATATTATTTACGAGAATAAAACTTTTTCGGGGAATTAATTAATAAATTAACAAAAATCTGAAAATATATAAGAGATATTAGAGACTAGAGTTATTTAATATAATTTATCTTTGTTTTTATCTCCAATAATAATACTTGATAGCAAATTGTAATAACAATAAAAAAGACGAACAACGATACCGATTGGCCGTTGGAGATTGCCGTCAGCCGTGGTCCCGAGTCGAAACTTCAGACGTTATGTTTTACTATCAATTGTCATATCCATTAAGTCTCCGCACGGGTTGGATTTAAAATAATTTTATAAATCACATTCTAGTTTAAAATATTTGATAAATCTTTAAAATACTACTTATAATATATAATACATTAATTGAACCTCAAGTCTAAGATTCTCCTTTTTCTACAATGGCAATGTTTATGTTCTTAGGATGTTTTTTTATTTCTACCAATCAAGTTTTAGGACAAATAGTAAAACAAGTTCTGATTGGCTTGCTCTTCTTTGATTTCATACGTTTTCCACAGAAATGAGTCATCCGCCGCCAGTTTCCTGTATTCCAAACACTGCCAAAATGTCGAAGGCTAAAAAAGTTATTGAAGAAGCCAAAGAAATTAATAATCCAGAAATAGATCTGGTTGATAAAGGAATTTCTAGCTTAGATGAAATACCAGGCTTATGTAAGTATGCACTCCTAACTGGTTTTTCCTTATTTGTACGAAAACTAGTTTTGAAACATAGTAGTTTCGCAACATTACAAATCTTTGTTATTTTTAAAATGTAATCCCCTCGAATTAATCGAAATTATTCTTTAAGTGTGTAGAGGTAGATAATACTTGAATAAAATGTACCACAATATAAATCAATGTTTAATTTAGGATTTATTTTTAATGATGACTTCACCTCCACCTTCACTTATACTTTACAATTAATTTTCGTTTGTTTCCTCTCTAAAATATAGACATAAAGTAGCAGTATAAATTGATTGTAATTGTAATATTGTTTCAGTTAGCTTGGAAAATATTACAAGATTAACTTTAAGTCATAATAAGCTCCAAGTTGTACCAGCTGGTCTTGCTAATTTGATGAACTTGGAGATATTGAATCTCACCAACAATCATATTGAAGAACTACCTGTCAGTTTGTCTTCTCTACCAAAACTGCGAATTCTCAATGTATCCCTTAATAGGTTATATGCATTGCCTCGAGGGTTTGGAGCTTTTCCTGTATTGGAAATTTTGGATTGTACTTATAATAATCTGAAAGAGACTACATTGCCTGGAAATTTCTTTATGATGGGTAAGTCATGTACATGTCATTAGGTTCCAAATATTTCCCTTCTTAAATCTTGTATTATTTAATAAGACTTATGCGATACTCCTGTATGTCAACAACAAATGGTATTTTGACTTCCAGTAGTTCATGTCAATTCTCGTTACTGGAACTTACCACTATAATCCACATAGGATAATTTGGGAGGATATGTAGGTAATCAGCATTCTACATGTTTCCTTGTCAATATTTTGTTGTTTCCTTGTTTTGCTGTGATACATTGCCTATAGGTGTAGTATAGATAGACTAAATGTCACTTAAGGTGCTCTTTAACCACAATTACTTGTAATTTGCAATACCATTGAAGAATATTTGTTGCAGTATAAGATAAAATAACCATATATTTTCAAGTTATTCTCACAAAATTCTATGTATAGTTAGATATGAGATACTACTGGCAAATAAATGAAAAGCTGTAAGGAAAATAATGAATTAACTGCCATAATTATAAAGTTTGTAATCCCTTTTTTAGAACTTTTAGTGAGGTAACCCTTATTTTTTTATTTCTGTGTTTACTTTAATTATCATTGGTAAAACATCCATTTAACTAGTTACACATCATCTGAAGTTTGTTGGGAAAGGATAATTAGTAGTGTCTTTTATTGACATAACTTTTACACATTTAAAGAAAACATTTTTTTACCGGATTGAAGTTATGTATTATTATAAACTTATAACTATTTTACATAATTTTAAATTTTTCCGACGTTTCGCGTGCTTTACAGCGTGCGTGGTCACGGTGACTGAAGACAAAGGTGTTGAATATCAAAAAGTATCACAGCTGTAGAAAAAGTTTTTATTTTAAATGTTTATTTTTCAGAAAGCTTAAGAGCTCTTTATTTGGGAGACAATGACTTTGAATATCTTCCAGCTGAGATTGGAAACTTGAAAAATCTGCAGATTGTATGTATAATTTTTATATTGTTTTGACAATTATTGTATACTGATTGAAGTCACTATTATATTTATCTAAAATATTGAAATGTTGCATGCTCATCAGAGATAATAATTGTAATGAAAAAATATTTGTAGTAATTATGGCAATAATGATATTTTACAGCAAATGCAACAATATTGAAATTACAGTAAAAAAAATTCAATGTTTTGAAAAAATATTTACTATAGTATAAAATACGTACATTTCTTTATTGCAGTTATCCATGAGGGAGAATGATCTGATCGAAGTACCTCGAGAGTTAGGCCAGTTGACAAGATTGAGGGAGCTACATTTACAAGGAAATAGACTTGTTGTGTTGCCACCAGAAATAGGTAATTTTAATTGCAAAGCTAAAATTGATTTTAAACAAAAACTATAATTAGTAAAACTAAACTTCAAATATAACAAAAAGTTTCATGAATAACCAAAACAACTGCACCAATATTGATGAAACTTAATTTAATAAAATCTAGGATAACCTTCTTATGTGACTTTTGTTTCCGAGAATTTTGTAGACACACATTTACAAAAATTTACACACATGCCTGGACTGAATATATTTATCGTCACTCACGTTGATAACACTGTGACGTCATTATAGTTCAACAGTAATCTTGAAGTATATTACTTTCTAGTTGCTGCTTGTTGCCTTTGTTGTGCCATGCCCCACCTTAGCCTTACTAAAATTGCCCCCCTATGGGGCGTGGGCCACACGTTGGGAAACACTGGTGTAGAAAAACATCTCCATGAACATTATGTTATCAGGGTTCTTGGAGCTCGCAAGTAACAAGTCAGTGCTACGGCTTGAAGGGAACTTTTGGGTTCCTCCCATTGAAGATCAGTTGAAACTGGGACCCTCTCATGTGTTGGACTATCTTCGTTCAGAGACGTACAGAGTGTGAGTAAATTGTCATTTCCTTAACTTAGAATAGTGCCAAATATTCTTTATTCAATTTATATTTCTGAGCACACTGAGCTGAAAATTGCACTAAAATCTGTTCAGTAGTTATTCATACTAATGCATACTATATACATATTACATTTATTATAAAATTACAACAAAAAAATTACACAGAAACTAGAGTAATATAATTTATTACTCTAGTTTCTGTGATTAAGTTATTCTCACCAAATAAATACAAGCAAATAGAACTAAGTTTATATGTTAAAAAGTTTGAAGCGTTACATGTGTTGTTTTGCTGGTAATCAAACCTCTGGCAACAAAAATATTCCTAAATAAATTTTAACTTAACGGATTTAACCAAAAGTTTTTCCAAGTTAGAAAGACCGCCCAAGATTGCACTCGATGTCGGGTTATATAAGGCACATATATTAAGTTTGATTTTATATTTGGTAATTTCAGTCTATACAGCCGACACATGTCTGCAAAGCCACCTCCGCCGCCTCAGACGCTTGACAAAAGCAAGAAAGCAAGTCGAATGCGATAATTAACAGTATTCAAAATTATTCTAAACAAAATTAATGATCTAATACAAATAACATCCACCGTTTTTGACCAAAATATTTTCACAAGGTTTCTTGTGAAACCTATTTTCTGAATTATTTTTACTAAATACATAATTTCATTAAATTCGCAATTAAGTGTAATAGACAAGACCTTGACTAACTGTCAAAAACTGACAACTGAGTTTATGACTTTAAAAATTGACAGATGCCAAAATGGCTTTAATGTTTTGTGTTGTGTTCTAATTTTGTATGCTTTATACTAATTTATATTTAGGGTAAGATAAAAAAAATATTTTTGTTAATTAACGATTTATGTATCAAACATCTTATAGATTGTTGTCTTATTTATAATTTAAAACAAAATAAAATATATATTTATTATTATGAAATGAATCAAATTTTATATAAACTATATCGGACTTATAAAACGTGGATTACAGTTACTGTTTGTTACCGTGGCTATATTTTTAATTATGGTTAGATTCCAAGCAGATTATATAGTATTTAAATCAACAATGTGCCATACATACATAAAATTTGTGCAACACTGGAGTGTGTTATCTCTGCAAGATTGTGTATTTCCAAATAACGCATGTTTATATCTACGAGGACTAATTGTTTTCTTATATAATGTAGTTGGTTAAAAATAAAACAAAATTTAATTTTATTTTTTAATCAAACTAGGAAAACAGTCTTATAAAAATATATTTCACACATTATTCAAAGTGCCTTATTTACATTTTATGGTGCTATTATATAAACATTACCAAAGTTTACTTTTCTTTACTCGATCATTGTTTGTATTACCTACTTTTTTTTTAAATTTTGTTAAACTTTTGTTTGACATTATTAGCATAAGTAGTTTCATGTTGATACATAAAATGAACTATGATCGAGAAAAGCAAAGATGAAAAAAAACAAAATTACAGGGGAATTGAGGAATTTTGACCTATCTTAATTTAATTAAAAACAGCAACAAATCCTATTAGAAATCTTAAAAATGGTTATTAAATTATTCACAAATTAAATATACTTACATAATGTATACAAATTAACATTAAACAATTTTACTAAGAATAATTACTTTTTATTTAATTTCCGCATCATTTAGATATAATATATCCTTCGTTCTCTCAAGTTTTATAACATTTCATCTAATCCATTTAAATATTGATTTAAGATTGTGACTTCTTTATGGCAAAAAGTTTTGGAATCTGTGACAACCCGGGACCATCTTTTGTCTAATTGACAAATATCATATCAAGAAAGAGATTCCATATTTTTATGTTTGTTTGTGGCTCTACACAAGCCAAGTAATTTTTTTTAGGTACAAATAATATAAATCTAAATAACCGCATTCGCATCTCGTCAAACAATGTACTAACTACAAAAACAGAATACGTCTGTGACTAAACGTAGAGATAATGAAATATAGGGCGCTGAGATCGTTAAGTTGAAATGTCATATTGAAAACATTTTAAATTAATAACGCACAATAGTTCTCGGCTTTAATAAGAATTCAGAGATCTCTTAAAATAAAAAAAAACAAATAGTTTGTACATTGGCAGCCATAATAGTCACTATAGTTTCGTTACAATATTTAAAAATATTAGATATTTGTAGTTTAAACCATTATTGTTGCGCTAGGAACTTAGGTTAATCGCTACGGAAATGTCATGAGAAACTAACAAAAAAATAGTAAAGTTAAAAATAATAGTAATATCAAGTAAAACCAAAAAAAGTTTGAAGAGAATGATAAATTATTTAAGTATGTAAGTTTAGAAGTGTATCGAATTTTGACATACAAGAGTCCCAGTTCGTGCTAAGTTTATTTTCTAAATCTCACAAAATTATTTAACTGTCAAAATCAGATGTTCGTTTGACGGAGCGTCTGTCGTCTTACGCCCTTGTTCGTGGGCTAATCACTGTCAAAAATAGAGGCAACAGAGAACATATTCACAGAAGTTGCCATTAAAAAATAAAGAAGTGAGAACATATAGAAAAATGGTTTACCAATTCTGAAATTAAAAATTACATTTACAATGAATGGGACTATTAATTTGGTGACTTGATCACGTGTATTATATTAGATATTTTTTGTCTTATAGTTTCATTCATCGTCATACTCCGAGGATTCATCATCAGATATTTCTAGGCGCGACGAACTAGCTGGTTTCGATCTCTCCATAGAGAAGGCATACGACTCGTAATCCAATACTTCATCGTCGCTCAAATGCGAGTTACCCTCCACGAAACTCGCGAAACTGGAAATTAAATACGCTCACCGACTAATTGCACCATTATAACTAAAATAATCACCTGTCTCTTTTCATCAAAATTAGATAGATAGAGACAATGGTATTAGTTAAAAGAGAGCAATTTATTGTTTTTATAAATAAGGTCAATATAATGTGTCTAAACAATCACCTTGGTCTTCTTAAGGCTCCCCTCTCATTTCGAAATCTAAAATATGAATGATAATATTTACAACATGTCCGAAAAGCAAAGACCCGACACCAAATTCGTTATTATTGCAATTTAATGTTATATCTATTATTAGTATAGGAAAACCAAAAAGCTTTGTCGAAATCTTATTTTGAGTCTCTTCTTAGTAAAAATACCTTTAAAAGTAGAGCATAAATTTACGCACCGTTTAGCGTCGTGTAACTTCAGCATGACCCGCCATTGCGCACAATCAGGACTAGAGCAGTGCTCGCGCAGTTGTTCCAACGCCCGTTTCGTCTCTCGCGCACCTTCTTCGTAGTATTCCTCGCTGGTCAATAAATGGGGTTTTGGTGGAAATCTACGACGCCTGGACATTTACAAAGAATAAAATATATGAGAAATAATCGTCTCTTTGCGAACAGCGTTGTCTTGAGCCTTGGGGATGCAGGGAGCAGGACCTTGAGGTCCTGCGTTCGCATCACGGCAATTCAACACTCGCTCGTGCGGTGAACGAAAACATCGTGAGGCAACATGCCATAAACTGTAAAATCAGACTTATGTGACGCATAGAAGGGTGATCATCAACTTGCCTACTAAGAAAAAAAACATCACGAAAAAATTTTATTCCGATATAGTTCTTGCAATATCTGTATCACTGATATTTTTGTAAGCCAACTTTTTTAAAGATGTACCGCTATTAGGAGAGAAAACCGGTGCTGTTTATAGACACATTCAAATGGTTGAATGTGTACGTATAAAACACCAAGGATAATGGCGTATTTCGTATGTTTTGTAAAACTCAAAATAACTTTATTCAATCAGATAACCAAGTATACTTATGAACAGAAAAGATGTTAAATTTATTCTAAATTTACATTTACTACCAGTTCACAAGTCAAGGGCGTAGAGCGGGTAAGAAGAACTGGCAAGAAACTCTCCGCCACTTCTTTTAATCGCCAAGTTTTGAATCATCTAGACTACACGACCAGATTCGTCTTTACGGATGACCAAACAACCAAAACGTAGTACGTTTTTAGTGTTACATTCTAGAATCTTAAATCTAGTTTTTATTTAGGATATCAGGGTTTCCTTTAACTCAAACTCAATTTTAGTGAAATAGGTCAATATTCTATGTTAATTGGTCAATTATTTAATTTGATATAGATAACTAATAGCATCTATTATATTATGGTTTTGGGAGCGTTCAAGTATTACGTCACGCAATTTTTTACCGTAACGTTTTTCTGTACCCAAGTATAGTAAAACGTTCGTGATCACCTAATGACTCTTTATACATAAAAATTACCATTATGTGGTGTAAGGTACTGGAAAGTCGAAAATAATATTAACAATAACGCGTAATTCAATCCCCGCCCCAGATCGTAACGTTTTACAAAAGGACCCCCCCAAAATTCGTTACGTAATACTTGAACGCTCCCTTTGGCACAATTGAAAAATATATCTACGCAATCTTTTTAAAAGTCTCATGTCTACTGTATATGAATACAAGTACATAACAACAATTATTATAATAAATGTAAAGACTTGCTTGCTTGTTTTGTACCAACTTCTTCCTTAGATTTATAAAGAAATAAACACACATACACTGAGTAAAATTTGAAGGAATATTTATGTGAAATAGCTAATAATTGTTTCCTACGAAGTTGCGTGGTAAGCATGCTGCATTTATAATACTCACCAATATCCCTGTATCCTGTAAAGCCAGCTTTGAGGGAAGTACTTGGCAACCAGCGCGGCGATCAGTACCGCAGCTGATGCCTCTTGGTACTGACTGCTGAAGTAGATTACGAATACGCCTACTAACTGGAAATATTATGACTTGTAAGTTCCGATACTATTTTATATGCTTAAAATAACCTCGTTAAAAATACATAAATAACTCAACCACAGCGTCTAAACGAAATTTTAAGCTGTCTCTACATAGGTATTTAAAATTAACAATTATAAACAAAAAAAGGGTGCGTACTTATGTACGCGCGTAAGAAGTTATACTTCTTTGGCATTATTAACAATAGTTTTTGATTGCATGCAAATAATTAATTACAACTAAATAATCAAAGACTGGAAAAGGAGTCATTATAGTCAATAAAGTTCAGTTTACATTTGAAAAATTAAATAAATAAATATTTATTATTATTCTCTTACATTAAGTGTAACATAAATTATATTATTATTCGAATGTTGTTTTTAAATTATGTCCAATACCGTACCATCTTCCGTGGGCAACTTCATTCTGTTAATTTTGTGTCACGGTGCGCGCGCATCGTAAAATTTCAGTCTCACAAATTTTTCATAACGCGCCTAAAGAAGTATAACTTCAAAAATTGTAATTATGAAGACTAAATACTAAATCATAAAACCTTAATAAATTACGACAGCTGCACATACTTAAAACAGTACTTACATAAAATAATTTAGTTTAATTTTATTTACAAGTGATAAATATGGCAACATGACAATTAACTAACCTGTAACGTCCACATAACAAGATTCTTGCTTCGCTGATTCTTCGGTGGTCCTATTCTATAGCATACTATGAAACTGATAAAACCAGCCAAAAATGTGTACCAAAACATATAGGCCTGGTATGATAGCAATAATGTTCGGATATTCTCCCATATCTGTTGGAAAATATATACTCCAACTGTCCAACCACCTATTAATATACCATAGGTTAAGGTTTTCTGAAATGAAATTATATTATTATAAACTTATGATTCTTATCAATAAGAGAAAGGGTTTCAAAAATAGGTACTGATAAATTATTATAATCAAAATGTGTATGCTCAAATAACAATATAGATTAGGGCATGAGATTTCGTGATTAAACTTTAATAGTTTTAACCTAGGTTGACATAAATAATACTATTTAAGCATGATAACATATTATGCTAAATGTACAGGGTGATGGGTAAGTTTAACAATTTAACTGTTGATATTTATCTGTTTGCCTCAAGTGTGGTTTCAGCAAGGAGTTTAAGTTATACTACCCTAAGTGTTCCTCAACTAAGTTTTAGTTAGTTAATTGCTTTTTTTGATAGATATAGATAGTTATTGTTAACAATCCAGTTAATTATTAAGTACTTAAATATATGTAAAGATTTGTTTAATGGCATAAAAAGAATTATATATTTAGTAAGTTGGAAATTTTTCTCAATAAATAAAATTTTAAATATTAAATCTGGAGACGTAACATACTATAAGGGTACGATTCAGAGACAAAACATATAGCTAAGAATCATATCTATATGTCAAATCCAATGTTTTTCACATACAAGAGTAGATACTACGCCTCTAACACAACCTACTTATTTATTTAACACATAACTTATTTATACAAGCAAGTTGACCCTGCCCCACCAAGCATATAATGACTGAAATATATTCCATACATATTGCTTAATATCCACTTATGCTGCAAAAACTTACCCTTGGAAGCAGCCTGCTAATATAATACACAATGACCATAAAAGATGCCGACACTCCAACTACAATTCCACAGAGATAGAAGAATACTGGGTTACCACTGAGTGAGCGAGATGCAAATATGAGGGTAATGCCAGATGCCATCATAATAACACGCCAGATATCAACTCCTGGAATAGAAACAACTCAACTTACTTTTAGGTTCTTAACATTTACAATAGCAATAGCTTTAGAACTCAAAACCCATTCACTATAAATTTGTCACATTAAGATTTTGAAAATAGTTTAAGTATGGACTAACTAGTGAATCAAATAGTCAAAAGCGATTGACAGATGATTAAGACCTGAGTCAGTTTTTGTTAAACAACACTGTGAAACGAAACCTAATTTAGCTTTAAGCATTAATGAAATCACACACAATGAACCACTTACTTTGAATCTGCAATTCAATACTATGTCTCTGTTTTGTATTGATAGCCATACAGGTAGGTGTAAAGAGGTTAAGAGACACACTTCTGTAGGATTTCTTTTGAAATGGACTGACCACTGCCCAGCCATAGCTATCCTCTGTATAATCTTTATAAACTTCCTCTGGGTTCTCGCCCAGATACTGACTAAACTCATCTGTCTTTATTTTAATATTAAACTGTAAGAAAAGATATTTAAAAATACCAGATGTTCAATTTATGTTGAGATAATAATTGATGTATCAACTTATTCATTACCTTAACAGTTTGCCATAAAGCTAGAAGGTTTTTCGCAGTACCAGAATAACAATAAATATCCACAGTTTGTTTTAAAGGTGAAATATCTCTGTCAACTATGGTTGGGCCACCAAGCCAATGCACTGTCAAATAAAATACAAGCTTTTTCATAGTCTGATACAAAAAAATATTAATTATTTTATAAATTGATCTCTGCCTACTTTAAGAGGCAAAGAATTGTTTTTGAGTAAATATGTAAATTGAATCATTAACCTATTTGTGTATTTAAATATTAAATTTGAAAGTTTTTATCTTACCGTCGTAAGGCAATGAGTGTGTCGTAGTGATAAGAAATAACAAGCTAAGAAATAATAAACTCATTATGTCACAAGATTGAGATTCAGGAGTTTTCAACCAAAGTTATGAGATTCTGCATAACGATACTTTTAAAACTTTTATAAGAGTTTAATTCAGACAAAAAAGTGTTTTATTTTCTAGCAATCTAATTCACGTTTTCGCATTACTGTGTAAACTATAGCATGGATTTTTCACTTTTAGTTTTACGTTCTCGCTTTTACACAATAATAAAACAAAATAAACCACAGTTTACAAAGTTCGGAGCACGGGCCACACAGAATACATATAAACACAGACTAAATATAGAGCACAAGACGAAATACAGACAGAAAATTTAAAAATTTTAGTGAAACAGACTTAATATTCTAGACACAGATATATCAATTACTAGCTGACCCGACAAACGTTGTTTTGCCGTGTCTATTATTTCTAGGAAACATTTTTTTAGTTCAATAAATATTACTATCTACAATAATAAAAAATAGGGGTTGATCGTAGAGGGGTGAAACTTAGGGGTATTATAAAAAAAATAAAAACAAGAAATATTGTCTAAAAATATTTTTTTTTTTTGGGTTGGTCACCCCTTATCACTTAGGGGATTGATAGGTGCCGCCGCCGCCCCGCTGGCCGCTGCCCGCAAAATTCAAGGCAGCAGCCTTAGGCTTACTGAATATCTATAAAAATTTCATAAGGATCGGTCGAGCCGTTTCGGAGGAGTATGGGAACGAACATTGCGACACGAGAGTTTTATGTATTAGATATATATTACATGGATATTTGCCCCAGAAGCGGTTACGTACTTTACTTTTTTTATTTCGATGCGCAGGCGCCATTTTCTTTGGAGCACTCACTCCATCTATACGATAGAGAAACGCATGACAAAAAGGCGAAAAATTAAAAAAAATTAAATAATAAAAAACAACCACATCAGTACAATCTTATATTTATTTGGTAAAGCATAACACGTACACAAACTCATAGTCTACATTGCATAAAAGGCACTCTTTATATTGTACTTTAAACAACATTTTATACAAGAAAACTGTCATCGTTAGGAATGTAAATACTGTTACAAATACATAATTCAAATACTGATTTAGAATGTATAAAACCTCAGTTGGAATGTTGATAATTTTTTTTTTGTAAATATAATAAATTACCGTGTATAAAGAAAAAATAATTTTATATAAATAATATTTATAAGTTCCGCTACTTTTCTTATGATTTCATGTGACAAGAAAAATATTTACAAAAGCAATACATATTCTAAATCTATGTTTCACTAAGAAGTACTAGAAGTTGACAGAGTCAATAGAAATTAAGTAAAAATACACACAATATGAGCAAACTAGTAAAAAGCAACCTATGAATACTGAAAGGAAGTTATCACTCACAAAGATGGCGCCATCTGTGTTTTTAAGAAATAAACATAAAGATAGCGACAATGCTATCATAAAAGTATGTACGGAATGTAATATTTTTTTTAATTTAAGGCCAATAAAACGTAATGTCAACAAAACTCTTCCGTATGTCAAAAGTCTGACATATGTCAAGTATTTTACATTTGACATATGCACATCTCGTAAATGGCCAGTCTCAATAGAGACTCGAAGATACAAAGAGAAGGAAAGTTTTTGGAAAGATAAGTCTAAGATTATTTGTAAAAATTCATATGAATGTATAATTGATTTGTCTAAGATATATTCTTCTACTAAATTGTGTACTTATCAGTCTCCGTGGACCAAATATTGCACTATCATAAAAGGCACATGGAAAAGCTCAATTTTGTACCTCATTACACTAACTTGTACCTGAAACAAAAAGGTATTCAAATTTTTTACACGAACGAACAAATTATTATGTTTTGTTACAAAAAGATTTTAAAATTGAGTTTTTTTTATATCTAATAGGGGCGAGCTTGCGGGACGACCAAAAAAGGGCAGTCTTCGCAGCCCATAGACAAACATTTTTAGTGGGTGCGTTGCCGGCCTTTGAGGGAGGAGTACACTCGATTTTTAAACATTTGGAGGTCGTATCTCTGAGGGAAGTCACTGGGAGTCGATTCCACAGGTTATTCAAAAATGCATGTATATCGGAAACATTAATAATAGAGAATAAAGCATAAACGATGGATTTTATCAGTTTTTACATTATTTAATCAGTTGAATGTTTAAATAAATACTTCGGCACTTTTTATCGGCAGGGGCAAAGTCAAAGTTTAACAACGAATATATTATGCAACTTAAATAATTGCGGTTAAATCCGTGTAAAGTGATTTTCGTGTACATACCCTAGTGCGTAGGCCTGTATGGCGGTCCGTTGTGACGCGCCCATTCCCTCTCGAACTCGTGTTCCAATATCTCTGCGCCGCGTTTACGCGTCAGCCCAGTCTCGTCTAGACTTAGCTCGCACATTTGCATGTCGTCAACACCTGTATAATAATAAAAGTCCGGTCGAATTAGACATAAAAATAGTGGACAAAAATTCCCGGAGAGGCAAAAATTGGTGGAGAGCCATTACAAATAAAGTTTTAAAAATCCCCATCGATCTTATATGTGCTATAAAAGTTATTCGAGGTCAAAGGTCAAAATTTGAGATTTTCGAAAACAGTAAGTAACAGTAGTAGTGCTACACATGTCAAATGTCTATATTGACCGGACTATAACTGTTTTATTGCTTATAGCGGCTAATATTTGCAGAATATTTCGTGATACAGCATCCTATTAACGATACGCAAAGGCTTCTACCAGTACAGTGTCCTTCTTACATAAAATACTACAGAAAAAAGGAATGAACTAGCGAAACAGTTTGCATGTGTATATCTGTTATTGTTATTTTTATAGGATAGGAGTCTTCGGGTCGCCCAAAAACGGCAGTCATCGCACCCCTTGGACATCTATGTTATTGCGTTGCGGGCCTTTGAGGGTATACTCTTTCTTTAAACAATTGGGGGTCGTATCTCCCAGGGAAAAAATTCAGCTGGTGTCGATTTCAAGTAGCAAAAGAAAGTGTCTTGTGAAGCGGACCGTGGAAGACTTCCAACCTTCAAGGTGACGCTGCTGAAATTTTGAATCAATAATGTGCATTTTAGAAACAATTTGTAAGACTCACCAGCTTGCAGCAGTACGGGCGTCTTATCGGCGTGCAACTCCATCTGTCGCGCGACGTACTGTCCGTCGAAGTGCGCGTACCACCATCCGCGCTTGTCGTTGGCCCCGTCCCCGGCTCGGACGAAGGGGATGCGGAAGTAGCGGTGTCTGGCGCCTAAGATCTCGCCCTTTTGCTGGATTCGGGGGCTCTTTGCTGTGCAATTTATATTTTTATAAAAAAACCGTTGAAGTTCGAAAGTGTAAGGACAAAACATTACCCAAAGCATAAAGGAATTTACCTAAACTCAGATTTTTCATTACGTAGAATTCTGACATTTTATAAGTGTTGCTACTAATAAAGTTCTCCACCGAAAAAGGGACAAATTTGACTTATTTGTAAGCAATAAAAAAATGCTACGTTTATGTTTTACCTAAAAAAAGGTAAATCTAAATATTTATTTAAGTGACCTAATACAAATATAACAAATATTTCAATATCACGAACAATATATCGAATTAACTTTAATTACTTTATTTTATTCCTTAGATGGCATCACTGCCTACTAATTCCAAACCTTTTTATAAAAAATTAAATGTTATCTTTACTTGTGCGTTTTTTACTGTTTGTATTTGTTGTTTGATGACAATAGACGTAATTATCAGTCGCCGATAAACCACTTTTAATGTGAAGCACCGCACTTAATAAAATGGGTACATTAACTAACAATAAAATGTATGTATAGACTGAGAGGTTCAGACTCGTATTGAAATTGAAAAAAGTGCCCGGCCAAAAAGGTTTGCCATCTCTGACATGTCAAAAAATGATACCTGTCAGAATTCTACGGAATTAAAAATCAGAGTATAGTAGATTTTTTTTTTAATTACGATAATATACCTGCATCCATTATAGACTGTGGGGCCCTCTCTTGGTCAGCCATAGTGCTTTTGCGGGCGTTCTTTGCCTTCCACGCGTGGTACACCTTGAGACGACGGTGGAACTCGTGGCGGCATGCCTAAGATGTTATTAAGGTATTATTACATTATTTACAGAAAAATAAAGTGTTATTAAGAGTAAAATATAGAAAAACGTGACTTCAAACGATTTCTCACAGACAGATTTGTCACAGATTTACTCCTAATACTATGGAGGAGTTTAATTTCATCGGAGACAATTTTTGATGGGACAAAAACCACACAGGTCACTTTGAATAAAGTGCTAACCGCTGCATACAAGGCCAGGCGCTTGCGGATGTGTTGCCGACCTTTGAGGTTATGTTACACTCTTTTACGAAATAATATCTACATATATGTATAATAATTTGGATCTGCATTCCGACTCGTGTCAAGTTATAGTTATGTAAAAATAGCTGTCACTCGACCTTCTCAGACGCTACCATAACTCAACTAGTCAACTATTTTCATATAATCTTATTTTATATTTATATATAACAGTGGGCAAACGGGTAGGACGCTCATCTGATGTTAAGTAATAGCCCATAGACACTGACATTGCCAGAGGGCTCGCAAGTGCGTTGCCTTAAGAATATAGACGCGCATATAAATAAATATGTTTATTACGCAACATAAGATACAGGTATCACTTATTTCACGTCATTAAATTTGAATTTGTAGGCATTCCTACTCATCGGCAAAGAAGACAGAGGGTGTAGGCCGAGAGAAAAATCTCTCGGTACTCTTTAAAATAGCAAATCATCAAAAAACACTTATTATAAACAGATATCTGCGCGTCTTGTACGGTTTTGACGTGTATGCTTTAACCTTTAGTAATTAGTACTATCACTTACCTCCAACAGCTCAATATCACAGGATGTATTAATAGTGTCCCGTAATTCCGAATACTTCCACTTAGACAGGTCATACTTCTGCTTCCCTTGCATTGCTTGTTGCATTCGCACGCGTTCCGACCTATAATGCATATAACCTCGTGTTACAATTTATTAATAACTTCAAAACCGAAATTACATAAAGGAGAATGCCCATATCAAACAACCTTTAGGGTTACAATGATTTAAAAAAATGTGTGTACTTATGTACACGCGTTAGAAGTTATACTTCTTTGGCGTAACCAGATAAAAATCATTTTAAAATTTTATTCTACGTTTGTAGAAAAAACGACAACAACAGAAAATTACTCTCATTTTTCCCTAACGCGCCAAAAGAAGTATAACTTCAAAACTAAAATGTTGACAATAGCTAACTTCAGGGTGTCGGTTTTTTGGGACGGTGTGCGCGCGCATCGTAAAAATTTACCATATTATTTCATCATTTTTCTCTAACGCGCCAAAACTTGATCAATTGATCGACGAAATGAAATGACAAAACCGAGTGATTGATTAAATAGGATTCTATTAATCCAGAAACGAAGTTAAAACGAATGTAGAAAAACGAAATCCAAACATTTATACTGTAATTTCCAATAGCGATTCCAAGGTTGCAAAACATTTACAGTTGCATTACAATTTTCAGAGAACTACATTAAATTAGAAGAGTTTTCTGGGACGCATTGAGCGCATGGGCCAAGATCAGAAGTGAAGGATGGATTGCTGAGTCGGCCTAGTGGTCGGAGACCAGTAGACCGGCCTAGGTATCGTTCTATCGACAGAGTGGAGGAGGGCTTGCCGCAGCTTTTGGCGAAAGGTGGCACAGGACTGAGAGCGCTGAAAGATTCTCATTTCGGAGGCCAAGGGAGCGTTCAAGTATTACGTAACGAATTTTGGGAGGGGGGTCCTTTTGTAAAACGTATCGTAACGTTTTACAAAAGGATTGAATAACGCGTAATTGTTAATATTATTTTCGACTTTTACCACATAATGGTAACTTTTTTTAATGGTAACTCCCCAAGACACTTTATGGGTCACAGATCCAGCGCAGTTAGTTACATCGGTATGCTACAAGCACGTCAGGATATGTGTCGCTATTGGCCATTGTAGAGTACGCGCGCATTCCTTGAGCTTGTTCTAGGAAATCATTAGCAAGATCCGATGTTCGTTCGAAGTCATATAAGGGCACTCTCCTTTGAATTGTTTAAGAAATAACATAAAGAGCGGTTAATCCTAAGAATGTTATTTACATACTTATTGACATTCTACATTTGTCTATGTTACATTACGCCTAGACGTGCAAGAAGTAAGCGATAGCCTGTTAGACAATTAGTGATTAAGAAGTTCCTCTTTCAATTGTGACAAATCATGGCCTATATTTCTTTATATTTTTACAGAATAAGGGGCAGGGCAGGAGGCTCAACTGATGTATACCGCCCATGGATTCACAATGCCATGTGCTCGCGAGTGCGTTGCCGGTGCTTTAAACCTTTTCACAACGACGAAGGTAAACTTAGATTTTTGATCGTGTCGATGTCGCAATTGACTTGCTTTTGATATTTGAATTATTGGATTTGGCAATTACTTTGAGAGAACCAATTTTGAACTGAAATTAATCTTCGTCTACGTGTTAGACGGTTATTACTGAAAAATCTCTTTAAATTTGCATTTTTATTGCATTATACACAGGTACATTTTACATAATTAATCATCATCTAAAACACTGAAATATTGGCCATTACTTTACGAGTAAATTTGCTATACATAATCTTTAGTGATTATATTCACACGTCAATATTGAAAGAGGATAAAAGGCATGCGAAAGAGAAAACATCATTATTCTGTCTCACTCGATACCTGTTCAATTTATTTTCTCCGTTCACTGAGTCCATTGTTGGGAAACTGTGCAAACATATTACAATATTATTCATTGCTGTCCTCGTCGCGCCAAGGTATGTACAAAAGCGAGAAATTGTGCATTCTATATCATGCTTTTCCATTCATTATAATAAAAAAAAAACTATTTTAAACCACCTGACTTTAATGTCAATCTTAGAAGAAACAATTTACAAAACATAGGTCCATATTCCATGATATTTGGCTATGATTCAGAATCGAAGCTTAAAAGTGTGACTCCTGTATCTAAAACGGATCTGACACGTTGTAAAGTTTTTTTTTTCAGAACAGGGGCAAACGGGCAGAAGGTTCATCTGATGTTAAGTGAGCACATAGACACTCAATACCAAAGGGCTCGCGAGTACGTTGCCGATCTTATAAGAATTGTACGTCTACGTACTCCGTACGTCGAAATGTATTTAATTTTGACAAGACTTTTCTGAATTTTACCACTTTTTTTATAGAATAGGGCAGGGCAGATGGCTCACCTGATGTTGAGTGAAACATTCAACAAGTGCGTCGCCGACCCTTTAAGAATTGGTACGCTCTTTTCTTGAAGTACCCTAAGTCGAATTGGTTCGGAAATACTTCAGTGGGCAGCTGGTTCCACATAGCGGTGTGTGGAAAAAAACTGCCTTAGAAAACGCTCATTTGTCTAATAACCACAACACCAAAGTATAAGTTCCTTTTCAAAAACTTTTGATATGCAGAGTGACAAATTTAGACGATCTCAAATAAAAAAAAATTCTATTAAATATATTCGATAAAGACCGTTGCGACGTAATTTTATGTTAATAAGGAAGACATGGCTTATTAGACGTATTTACTTTTCTAGTCTTAAATAACCTTTAACGAATTAATAAAATACTCTGAATAATTTACAAAACAGGTCCACATTTAAATAACGAGGTGAACTTTGCTTTAGCATTATCAAATAGACGTTTGGCACGTGCTAAACTTACGTACGTATACGTACTACACTGTCAACGAATGCATACGTTTTCCGAAGTTTACAACTAATATTTAAATATTCGCGCTTCCGTTAAGTTCCAAACAAATATATATTATTTATTGCAAATGACAAATCTCGTGCTAAATATTCTGAAATATAATCTGAAAATATGATATACCTTCTCAATTGTGGCGGTGAGCCCTCGACGTGTCCATTGGTCTCCTTCGCAAGGCGCACGGCCATTTCGTGGTCACGACGCTCTTGTTCCAATCTGTCGGGTGTTTTTTTTTAATTGTAGTTAAATCTTCACGAACTACCCAAGTTTATGCCCCGTAAATAAATTCAATGATATCTTTGGTATTACTAAGGTCCATATTCTAGGCACAATGTCATCTTGTTTCTTAAATGTCAAACTTCATACAAAAGAAATTATTTGGCTCTTGAATCAAGATTTATTTATTTATTTCGTAATCCTACAGCTAACATAAATTATATATAATAACAAACAGTTACACTGAAAATATAGCCAGAGATGGAATACATAATACATTTTACTACAAAAAGGTTTAAAAATTTACAAAATCAAACAAACAAAAAAAAAAAATTTTTCAATATATTCAACTAAATAATACCTAATTTGGCTGTGTTGTGTGATGGTGTAAAAGTGAGTGTAAGTACGTGAAGGTGTGAATGTGGGGTATGCTCATGATGCAGGTGATTTTGCGCTATGGATATTCTTAATGCTCCTTTTAACCATATTCCGCGACAGCTTAAACAGGTCAAGGCTTAAATATTGGTCGTTGTAGGTCCGGGCTGCGCGATACAAAACTGAGTTTTTTGCATAGTTAGTGTTAATGTGAGGAACATGAAACAAAACACGATTACGAGTCTGGTAGGATTTAAGTTTGATTTACGTTCTAGAAACATAATTCTATGCCAAATTACAACCTGAGAAAATGAAGGCTCTCGAATGTCACTAACGATTTATTTTTAATACAGTATTTATTTTAAATCCGCAATACGGGGTAATTTCTATTTTCAAACTCAAACTCAAAATATCTTTATTCATGTAGGTAAACAATTACACTTATGAATTGTCAAGTTAAGTTAATTGTAAATTTACATTTACCAGTTCGCAAGTCAAGGGCGTAGAGCGGGTAAGAAGAACTGGCAAGAAACTTTCCGCCACTCTTTTTAATCGCCAAGTATTGTCATACAAATTGTTTGAACTGGAGCAATTCAATCCCAAGGATTAGGATCATTTAAGTATTCCTCAAATTTATAAAAAGCTTTATTGATTAATTTTAATTTGACACTTAAAGGCGCGTGAAAAACGTTTATCTATGTAAATAAAAGTTAATTATAAAATATGTTTCCAAGCTCAAAGCTCGAAGACAGCTGGACCAATTCGACAATTTCTTAAGTACACTTAATGAAATTCAACAGAAAACATGTTAAATTGACATTTACTACCAGTTCTCAAGTCAAGGGCGTAGAGCGGGCAAGCAACTTTCCGCCACTCTTTTTATTCCTAGGAGAAGTTTTTACGAAGAAAATAATTGCCTAGAACCTATTAAGCATATTCATAAAAAAATATATTAAGTTTAAAAATGAATCCAAACCTTTCTCGATTCTCAAGATCGGCTTTGGCAGCGTCTTCGAGCTGTTTCTGAAGTATTTCTGCGGCTCGTCTGTCTTGCTCCTCCAATCGTATACGTTCCGCTTCTTCCGCTTTACGACGCGCTTCCATTTCCGTTTTACTGAAATTGATTTAATAGATCATATCTAATAGAACTGCAATTTTACAATAAACTATAATAATTGTAGATAATGGTTTAAACTACAATGGGTGAATAGTGAGTTTTATAAATATTTTTTTAATATAGAACGGGGGGCAAACGGGCTAATCTGATGTTAAGTGATACCGCCCATGGACACTGTCAATGCCAGAGGGCTCGCAAGTGCGTTGCCGGCCTTTTAAGAATTGGTACGCTCTTTTCTTGAAGGACTCTAAGTCGAATGTAATATATAATTTTGTTCTAGAACATTTTGTAGCCGGTACAGCTTGACACATATTTTTTGTCATGAGTCCGATGATGAATTATGTAAGTAATAAAGATACAGAAATCTGAGGCCTAGGCCTAAAAGTTGTAGCGACACTAGTTAAAAAAAACTTACAGTCTCCTATTCTCTTCCTCTTGTCTCAGGCGTTCAGCCTCTTTCCGTTTGGCTTCTTCTGCGAGACGCAGTTCCGCTTCCATACGTCTAAGCCTCTCTTGTTCTTCTCTATAATTGAAAAAGTATTTATACATAAGATTAATCGTAACACCGAAGAATCTCACGAATACCTTTGACGAATAGCTAGCGCATACCTTAATATATATAAATTATGCGTCACGTTGTTTGTTTGCTATGGACTCCTAAACTACTTAACCGATTTCAATCAAATTTGCACACCGTGTGCAGTTTGATCTAACTTAAAAGATATAGATACGGGTATAAATTAATATCTAAGCTAGGATAGCTAGTGTAATATTATTTTGTTGCAAATTATTTGTTTATTATTTGACAGTCACATTTCTAACAGATGGCGCTGTGTTGAAAGATACAATTTAATGGCATAACCACCAAAAAAGCACGGTGGTCCCCATGACTGGTGTTCTCCTACCGTTTCCCTGGAATAGTTTACTACTATGTAATATAACAAAAGAACTGAACAAGAGACTGCCGCGGTAAAGCTATTGCATAGCATTTTTTGTCAACTATGCAATTATAATTATTTATTTATTTTTCATTTATGCAGTACTTTTTTTATTTTGATATTAATTCATGTTTTTCCTTTCATATTAATTCAATCTACCACTCTACGTAACGCGTACCGGCTGCACCGGCCGTGCTTACGATAGATACGTCACCGATCTCCTCAGAGAGATGTGAATACGCAGTATGCGTTCTGTCCCACTCTAACGCACCTGCGCTACGTCACCGATCACGCCAGACCGATCACGCCAGACCGATGTGAGACACAGTATGCGTTCTGGCCCGCTCTAACGCGTATTGGCCGCACCTTACGTCATCGTATGTTAGGTTTTTATTTTCGTTACGGAATTTCTTGATTCGGTCGCCGCTCTCAAAGCCCGCGATAAAATCTATGCAATAGCTAAAAAACCTTGGCCACAGCAACGCTTGGCCGAGTCTGCTAGTTTAATTATATAAATTAATAATGTTAAGAAGTTGTTCGCTGCGCCTACTAGTTACTCCGAGTAACCGAATTATTTATTAAAAAAATTGGACTTGTCTCTTTCTGACAAATTGAGTTTACGCTATGATGAAAAGAGAGAAATGAGGAGTTTTATTAAAAATTGCTTTTATATTGATTTATTATTTGTTGGCACACTTGGCGCGTCTATTTATCAATACTTTCAAAAGCAACTGCTAAAGATATCTAATGCATCTTGAATCTAAACAGTCATTATAAAACGTAGTCCACCGATTTCGCTTGATATCACGTCCAAGATATTTTTTTAGAAGAAAAATTTATAACCATGGTAAAAATTAAACTATTTTTCATACATTTTGAATAACCTAATTATTCTATATACACATATAAAATAAATTAGAACATTAAATAATAACTAAAAACGAAAACCTTTTTTTGTCTATATTTAACCTCGGGAATATCTTTTTTTTCGGGGAAAAGCGAGCCTATGGGACACTTAAAAAGGGCAGTCGACGCATGGACACCTATTTTAGTGGGTGCGTTGCCGGGCTTTGAGGGATGTTTTTTTAAACAATCTGTTAATTTTACGTACTAATTGCATGTGTAATTCATACTAGTCAAGAAAATAAGAACCTTCTCATAGTTATAATTATTATTCTCACCTGTTCTTCTGATCCACCATGGACTTCTGCAAGGCAGCCATTTGGGCCTCTATGTCCTTCGTCAGTTTATTGTACAACTGGTCAATCTCTGTTCGGCTGATTTTCTCGTTACTCTGGAAATTTTAGAAATTCCAATTAAAATCTTTTTACAAATATTTAAATGAACTAATAACACATTTCTGTCTGTTTCATTTGTTTATGTATTTTGTGTCTTCAGTCTAAGTCTGGGATGGTACAAACTCAAACTCAAAATAACTTTATTCATATAGGTAAACAAGTACACTTATGAACGTCAACAAAAAAGACATTAAATTGATTATACGTAGTCGGTCCCAAAGTTCTGTCATAAATAGAAATAATGATAAAAACTAAAGTACTGATCAGTTTTTAATGAGTGATATATCAATTAATAGTACATAAATTAAGAAATAGAAATAGCATAAAATTATTCGAAATGACCTCCCTTATTTTTAATACAGGTCCTTAAGCGCCGCGGCCAGTCGTCTATCGCAGCACGCACCATATTCATGTCGATTTCAGTGACTGCTTTTTTTAAAGATGACTTCAGACACTCCAAATTTTTATGGGGTTTATCACAGACCTTCCTCTCTAAGACCTGCCAAATTTTATAGTCCAAAGGATTAAGGTCTGGACTGGAGGAAGGCCAATCCTCATGTCTAATTAAGTCGATGTTTTGACGCTCAAACCAGGTTTGAGTGGTCTTGGCTTTGTGTGCAGGCGCAGAGTCCTGTTGGAACACAAAGTGATGTCCCGAAAATAGCGTGCTGGGCAGGTCTTTGACAAGCTGGTCCAAAACTGTGTCTTGATACACTTTTGCACTGGTTTTGACCCCCTTTTCGCAAAAATGAACCTCAGTTGGCCCGTAATAGGACACTCCCAACCAGACCATTACTGATGATGGATGATGTCCATGTTGCACCCTCGGAACTTTATTTCCAGCTTCTTCAGAACTCCTAGCGTACACTCTATCATTCTGTTTATTGTACTTCTCTTCAATATCGAAAAATTTTTCGTCCGTAAAGAGGATATCACGGTGTCGGTTTTTCGCGTACCGCTTTAACAAACCCCGCGATCTCTTAAGCCTTATTGCTTTTAGACGAGCATTAAGTAGGTGCCCACTCTTTCTTTTGTATGCCCGTAGACCAAGATCTTCATTTAAAACCTTTTTTACTGTTTTCCTACTGACACCCATCTGCACAGCCATCAACTTCTGTTTTCGGACAGGATTTCTTGCTATCCGCGCCTTGATAGCTTTGATCACTGCTGGTGTCCTTGCGGAGCGTGGCCGGCCAGTTCTTTTCTTGTCCTCAACACTGGAGACTTCATTGTACCTATCAATAGTACGGTACACAAACCTAAGCGTTATATTTAAATTTTTGAGCAACTTGAAAATGGTACTCGCCGAGTGCCCACAGCGGTGCAACGCAATAACAGCTATTCGGTTTTCTTTCAATGTCCACTCTATCTTGAAAATTTACGGAAAGTGATTGTTTTTTGTTTTAAAACAATAGTCAAACAATGAAAAATAGAATGCAATAATTTTTTTATAAAATCATGTTCGTAATTTAAAAATAATGTGCCAGTGACAGAACTTTGGGACCAACTACGTAATTTACATTAACTACCAGTTCGCAAGTCAAGGGCGTAGAGCGTGCAACTGGCAAGAATCTTTCTCTCTCTTTCTCTTTTTAATCGCCAAGTATTGAGTCATACAAATGGTTTGAACTGGAGCAAATCAATCCCAAGGATTAGGATCATTTAAATAGTCGTCAAATTAAAAGCTTTATTGATTAATTTACGTTTAACAAGAGTTTTGAATTTATTCAGTGATAATTCTCTAATTTCGCTTGGGAGTTTGTAAAAACGAATACAATTTCCATATAAAGAGTTTATCTTCTGAAGCCTGGTTGGTCGTACGTAAGTTCACATTATTTAGGGCTTTATAAACTGTCTGATCAAAATTATTAAACAATTTAACATTAAAATACCTTAATAGTGGCACACGCATTCCGTATGCTGTTCCTCAAATTCTCGATATTCTTCTTAGCGCCGTCCTTCTCTTTCTTAAGCTGCGCCGTGACGCTATCCATCTCTGTCAGGCTGTTCTCCAGTTCCCGTATCTTTGCGATGCCCTTGTACCGCGGACGATGAGTTCGTCTCACCAAGTAACCGCGGACCGACTTCTGAATTGTGATGAGGCATTCACGACGGTAGAGGATTTTGTTCTTCACTAGAAATTATAATATTTTTATTTTATTAATATTTATAAGGGGGCTAGACGGAAAAAATTCTTACGAAAAGTTGTCACGACACTTTTTTGCTATTTGCAATTGTAATACACCGGTTTTCGTCCGATCACCGAAGTTAAGCAACGTCGGGCGAGGTCAGTACTTGGATGGGTGACCGCCTGGGAACACCTCGTGATGTTGGCTTTTTTTTTCGTCGTAAGATTGGTGTCGAGAAAATCTATCATACTGTTATGATACCAATTAACATATAAATTAATCGAAAGGAATTTCGTTCCATCCGGGTGTCCCTTGACACCTCTAAAGTTTTTTTTTTTTGGTACATATACATTCAGATAACGTAAATTAAGGAGTGAAATATAACGATTATTGTCGCAGGGCATTTCTTTTTCAAGTGAAACTTCTAATGCGATTTCCAAAAAGGTTGCGTTAAACGTTTAACGTGGGGAGGGGGAATAGAAAGAGACAGCGAGAGTGAATGCGCGGCACTCGAACGCATGCGCGTAGTATAAAGGCCAGCGCGAGCGTTAGCAACGAGTAGTGTCCAATATTCCAACGCAAGAGGGAGGGAGATAGAAATATACACAAAGGTATTAAGTGAGAGAGAAAGAGTGAGCGTCGTGAAATTAGCTGAAATACATACTTGTCTATTTTAATTTATAATATTTATTTCATTTACAAAGATGCGATCAATTGTGAATTGTAAGCAATGTTAATAAAGTTTGTCTTAAACAAACAATATGATTTCACTATAAAATAATTTCTACTCCTTCCTATTTTCATTTCCACATTACGAAGTTTCACTTCTCTCCATGCCCTTTTTTTTGTCAAAATACACGGGCGAAACTGTCCTCAATAGTTAGTTCAATGATAAAGAGAGTGGCGGAGAGTTTATTGCCAGTTCTTCTCTTCCGTTCTACGCCCTTGATTTGAGAACTGGCAGTAAATGTAAAATTAATTTCATTTAACATATATTTCTTTTTTGACGTTCATAAGTGTACATTTTGTTACCTACATGAATAAATGATTTTTTGAATTTTAAAGTATCATTCAATTTTAACTTACACTTAATAATGGAGAGAACAGAAAAGACAGCTCGTCTCCAGCGTGACTTGACCAGCCAAGCCAGAACCGCATCCACTATGGACTTGAGGTTCTCAGGGTCCGACCGCATCATGGTGTCGAACTCCGAGTACTTCCCTGGGCGGAAGAACACTCGGGTCACACCGAACTTGTAGTCTTTGTCCGATAGACCGAAGCTGTGGACTATGGCCTGAAAATTGAGGAAAGAAGAGTTTGAGAACCATCCTGTATAATTGCAAAGGACTGCAATAATGGAAAAGAGGGAAATGTCAACAGATATTTAAACAGGTTTTTAGACAAATTACCACCACCTTGTTGTTAACGGTTGCCAAGGAGTACATTTCATTTTTTTTTAAATATCTTTTGTGTAATTTTTTATAAAATAGTGTCAAGTTGTCTATGCCATGACTAAAATATTTTGAAAAATTAAAATATGGTAAATCAATTGATACAGAATTACTTTAATGAAAAATTTGACAAAATTCCAAAATAAAATCGTTTTTTTTAGTGGAAAAAATTATTCCTAAAATTGAAATTCAGTTTAAAAAAATATATAAAAAGGTAATTAAAATATACAGTATATTTTGTAAAAATCACAAAAATCATTTAAAAAAAAGTTTTTTATTCTATAGGCACTTGCACTAATGAAATATAAAAAAAATGACTTCGTACCTGACAGAAAACCTTCGGAGACAGAGTCTGCAGTTTCGGCGGCAGATATTGCCGGTACATCTGGTAAAGGTCGTTGAAGGGCGCCCTCGACGGATATCCGTGCTCCATCAAGGCCAGCACTGATATGGTTCCGCTGCATTGCAGCTGAGTCAGCACTAGGGAGCCCTCTATCTCCCCACCCACCATACGCGAATTTGGCTTTATGCAACGAACGAAGTTTGTGCCCTACAAAAAAAAAACTTTAAGATAAGGTGGGTAGAATAATTTTGATAAGCAAGCCTACCCTCATTTTCCTTTGATGATAGTAAAATATATATATATATATACACATATGTTATGTAAAAAGTACATTAAAGTGACCACGAATGTTATCCTGTTATGAAATTAATTTGAAAAGCTTCTGAATTCATTAAAGACGTTACATTTAAAGCTGAACTGAGCAGAAAATGTATTTTATTATTAACCTAACACACGATGACGTAATATAGGTGCGGCCAATACGCATTAGAGCGGGACAGAACGCATACTGCGTCTCACATCGGTTTAGCGTGATCGGATAGGCGTGCTAGTCTGAGTCTGGTAGAGTGGTAGATTGAAGTAATATCAAAGAAAAAAAAAACTGCAAAAAATAAATAAACAATTGTATTGCATAAGTTTATAAAAAATGCTATGCAATAGCTTTACCGCGGCAGTCCCAGAGTGCCACAAGTATTTTTGTTATCATTACAACAATAAATATAGCTATAAATAAAAAGCTGAGTTTAAAAAATTAAGTCGAACTTAAATGTACTTCCTGTCAAGCATCATATTAATTGGACAAGTTAGAGAACTGGAGAGAATGTTTAAATATTACTAATTACTAACTAAAACGGATCTGTTATCTAAATGGAATAAATTATTATTATATCCATAATAAATTAACCTCTAAAATATTGTTTTTAATTCATATTGAGAAAATCTACAATATATATATATTTTTTTAATTACGTTTTTGATTTTCATTCCTATTGATCGCTGCATATTGACATAGAGCCTAGGTATGTTTATCATATAAATTTAAAAAAAAAATTAAATCTCTAAAACTAATAATTAATATAATTAACTCACATTTTCCTTCAACTTGTCCATAAGTTGTGACAATTGACTTTGGAACTTAGCGCCGACAGAGATAAAGTTCAATTTCCCTTTGGCGTTATTATTGTCTGTGGTCTCAAACAACTGCTGGACCAGTGCATTTCGCGACTCTTGGATGAGAAACTCTAGAGACGCGTGCAGGGCGTCGTTGTTTTTCTCTATGAATTGGTTCTGGAATAAAAAAAAAAGTTTAATGTCAATAAAGACCAGAAGAGATACAGGAAAATGTCTGTTTAGTCAGTTAAAAAACATGGAAATCAATTGTTCAGACTTAAGACGATATTGTAGAACGTCAACGAAACTTAAATCTAGCTGTCAAACTTTCCATACAAAGTTTGACATGTTTGACAGCGATCAAGACGAGATATTGTTGAGATAAACAATTCAAATACTGAACAAAACCTTCAAAATTTCAAATAAAATATTTTTTTAATAATTGTAAGGGAGCGTTCAAGTTGACCAAACCCCCCCATGTAACGCACCGTAACGTTTTTCTGTACCCAATATTAAAACGTTTCGTGACCATCCAGTAACTCTTAATACCTAAAAGTTACCATTATGTGGTGTAAAGTACTGGAAAGTCAAAAAAAATATTAACAATAACGCGTAATTCAATCCCCGCTCCGCGTCGTAACGTTTTACAAAAGGACCTTCCCCCCTCCCAAAATTCGTTACGTAATACTTGAACGCTCCCTAATTTAAAATAGCAAAATACTTATAAAGCTATTATTTTAAACAATTTATAATAGTAATAAATATAATAGAATATAAAAATTAAGTACCGTATTATAGCAGACGGCGCCCGCGAAATGTCTCAACAGGAATCCCTCATCATCCCTCAGAGTTCTGTGGGCTTTTAAACGGGACGCACGAGGCACCTGCAACCTGGAACGAAACGAAACGAAATTTATAACACGTTATTTCAATAAGTAGCAAAAAAGTATCACGGCTTTAAGAGTTAGTAGTGCGTGGTTGAAATTCTCACAGCATCATCTTCCTTCTTTCTTCTTGTTTTCACAGCCGAGAAGGCAAAATATCGGCGCACAAGACATTTATTAAGTGGAAACTCTGGCGAAGAAGAAACTATAAGCCTTCTTAATAGCTGTTAAGATATTAAAACTGGTATCATACCAGAACATGTTGGGGACAGAAGAAGTTTACACGATTCCTTTATTATAGACTGTATGGCGTCTCTCCCTGCTATCCCTTAATTTACCCGACATTATTTGTTATTTTGGTAAAATAAATTAGAAACTTTTGACCTAATATCTACTTAAAGTCTTGTGATGGTGAGCAACCCAAGTATGCTCCAAGAACTCAGTTTCGTTGTACCTATGGGATATTTGTGACGGCGAAGGGTAAGGTTGTTTGCAATACCAAAGGCCAGAGCCAGTCTGGTGCAAAGATGAGTAAACAATGTTAAATTTCAGTTTTCTTTATATATTTTTGTCTATTAATGTACTTATTTGTTTTCTGTTTCGTATAATATATTGTTTTTCTATGTAATCTGTTTTGGCTTTCTGTATTGTCTAAGTGGTTTGTTTTATAATATGTATGTTAGCTGTAAGATTACTTATAATTAAATAAATAAAAGATTTTGCCTTCTGGATGCTGTCTCCGACGCTATCGACTATATGTTCGCAGAGTGATCTCACAGTAGCGATATTGTGTCTTATATATTTAATATTATACATTTAATTTTTTGACATTATAGTATTGGCTTAGTTTTGAAAAAATATTGGATTTTTTGTGAATAAATAAATAAACATCTAAATATCAAATACAACTTTAACCGACTCCAAAAAGTAAGTTATAAGTTTTCTAATTGGCTTCCGAGCACTTTGTCCACAAACTTATCGATAATAATAGATTCAAGATAATTGATATTCGGGAACCGACCAAGTTTTATCAAAATTGGTTCACTTATTATTAAAACACACATTTTTAGTTGAATTTTTCTAACATTAACCAATACAGTTTTTGGTTTAAATAATTATTAATCTGATTCAACAGACCATATGTCACTCAACCCTCTATGGCAGACCAATCTCTATGGTAGAGACAATTAATAACTCAAAAACTTCTTAATACCTTGTATTATTGGCTCCGAGCTCCTTGTGCACTGCGTGAGTGAAATGTCCGAATTCGGGTTTCGGTAATTTCGACTCTTCATCCAAAATATGGAATATTCCGTGATTCTTGCTTTCGATTAGGTCTGAAAATTATATAATTAATAATTAAAAAGTGTGTCTCGCCCCTTCTATCGGAGAACGTATTAAGTTTATTTTAGAGTTGGTACACATTTTATTTATTACCATAATATATTCTCATATATTACACAAATTAAATTAATTCGTGAAAAACGCGAGAATTTCTGAGTTTATCGCATTCATACAAACCATTCATAACATGTATGGTTATTGAAAAATGTATGATTCAATACTTGGCGATTAAAAAGAGTGGCGGAGAGTTTCTTGCCAGTTCTTCTTGACCGCTCAACGTTAAATTTACAATAAATTTAACATATTTTCTATTGACGTTCATAAGTGTACTTGGTTGCCTATATGAATAAAGTTATTTTCAGTTTGAGTTTGTACTTTCAACAAAATTGTAATGCACTTTCTAATTATTTTAATTCGAAATTGAATTACATTTTTTTCCACCTGAAGTATTAGGCGGGATGAAAAGTTCGTATCCTGATATAGATGGCGGCACTAATATTAAATTAATATGATTTTTATTTAAGACTTCAAAGGATACGTGAATAATATTATAAGTAACTAGTGGACCCCACAGACGTTGTCCTGCATGATATTTAAAGCGATTAGGATATTAAGCAAAGTATGAAAGTACCGACTGCAGTGCCATCTGCCGGGCTGATTTGTGAATCTAAACCATTCCCAGATCCCCTTGAACACACACAAAAAATTTCATCAAAATCGGTCCAGTCGTTTGAGAGGAGTTCAGTCACATACACACGCACAGAAGAAATATATATATTAAGATAACCGAAAAGTGAAGTTACTTAAAAAAATTCAAGACAAATCGTACTAAAAAAATTGTATGATCGCTATAATCGTTGTATCGCTGTAACGAACGCAAATCAAATTCTATAAAAAAACAATTTTTTTTATGTTAGCCTACGAAATTTTCAACCCACCTGATATGACTAAATTTCTATTAATTCAGCAAGCAAATCGAAACGGTTTTAATAATATATCTAATATATAAAATTCTCGTGTCGCGGTGTTGGTGGTTAAGCTCCTCCGAAACGGCTTGACCGATTCTCATGAAATTTTGTGTGCATATTGGGTATAACTGAGAATCGGACAACATCTATTTTTCATCTCCCTAAATGTTAAGGGTAGTCCACCCCAAATTTTTTATTTTTAGATAATTTTTTTATGATACAGCATTAAAAAATACATACAACCCATAATTTTCACCCCTCTACGATCAACCCCTATTTTTTTATTATAAATAATAAACATGGCAAAACGACGTTTGCCGGATCAGCTAGTATTATATAACCTTTCAAAGTTAATTTAACCTAAAACCATATTTGTTAATTATATTAAGGGGTTAGACCACCTTAGTTTCACTTAAATTTTCTCCTAACCGACTTACCGATACAATCCTGGTTATCGACGAATCGTATCTCGGGCACGTGCAGACCCTCGCGACGGTAGAGCTCCTGTTCGTTCTTCAGAATGCGTTCGTTGAAGAATTGCTGAAGCTTCTCATTGCAGTAGTTAATACAGAATTGCTCGAAACTGTTCATTTGGAAGTACTCTGAAAAATAAAATGGTTAAAAATTTAGAAAATTTTTAAAGTTATCAAAATTAAAAGACAGACGGAAAGACAGCAATATCTTAAAAACTACTAATCTGATTTTTATGTAACATACGAAAACATCTATCTGGAAATGAAATTTAGTTTTCGACAATTTTACTCTATCTGACGCGGTGTTATAATTATTTAGAATATGTTAATTATATATAATTATTATGGAGGCGAACGGGCAGGAGGCTCACCAGATGTGAAATATACCGCCGCCCATGGACATTCGCACTGCCAGAAGGCTCGCCCTTTAAGAATTGGTACGCTCTTTTCTTGCAGGACCTTAAGTCGAATTGGTACATGTGGTGGTGCGCGGCAGAAATTGCCTTAAGAAACGTTCAGTTGTGGAACGACGGTCAAGGTGATACGGATAGTATTATGTATTCTGGTGAAACTCAGCTGCAGGTTGGTAAAACCTTGTTAAAATGGTAGTAAAGTAAAATATTACCAAATCCAGCGATGTCGAGGACTCCGATGTAATAGGAGGAAGCCTGGAACGGGATGCTGGTGTTGATCCTGTGCACGATGAAGTCAAACAGTCTGCTGTACACCGCCTTGGCCAGGGCATCGCGGGCATTCTGCGCTTCGTAGGTTTTTAGTGGGACCCTGAGAAATATTGTTTTGTTTAATACTTTATACATGACATAGAAACTAGCTTTGCAAGGGTTGACATTTTTATTTTAAATATTTTGGAAAATAGTAAATAAAGAGCAGTATTGGCTTAGCGGCTTCAGCGTGCGACTCTCATCCCTGAGGTCGTAGGTTCGATCCCCGGCTGTGCACCAATGGACTTTGTTTCTATGTACGCATTTAATATTCGATCGAACGGTGAAGGAGAACATCGTGATGAAACCCGGCTTGCCTTGAACCCAAAGAGTCGACGGCGAGTGTCAGGCACAGGAGGCTGATCACCTTCTTGCTTATAAGACAAATGATCATGAAACAGATTCAGAAATCTGAGGCCCAGACCTAAAAAGGTTGTAGCGCCACTGATTTATTTTATTTTGGAAATAAATAAATAGCATAGTTAGTTATGTTTAAAATTAGTCCAGTATTTTAGTTTATTCGTTAAAAGCAGATAAACGCGTTTTTTATAACATTAATATAGATAATACTATTTGTAACGAAACTAAAAAAAACTAAAACTAGCCTTTTTTATGACATCAACAATGAATATCATTTAATAAAACACTATTTTGACCGGATTGAAGTTACGTTGTAAATTTATAATAATACATAACTTCAATCCGGTCAAAATAGTGTTTTATTAAATGAATAAAAGTTATGTTAATCAAAGACAATACTAAATGAATATCATCTTTCCGGCTCGTAGGACCAAAAACTACCTTCAATAGTCGAAATACATTATTTCTTTAGAAAATCTTTTAAATTAATATAATATCCTACATAATAGCGGTGCCCTTCATTCCCCCTCTAGAACTCTGCATCAATCTGGAGACCAGAGCCATCCTCAGTTCCCCAGCTTCCACTCCAAGAAGACCGGCAGCCACCTGAAGCTCCCCCTCACTGTGTGGAGAGACCCTGCATCCACCCCTGGCACCGCCTTCTTCCTCGAACTCCACGTTACCGAGATGGAGTACGGCGGCTACCACACTGTATACTGATCTCTTCTCTTCTTCCGATAGACCTACCCTTGATAGCGCCTGGAATTACGCATATATTTTATTAACGATAAAATAAATCCTTAAACTCTACTTTGGTTAAATCTGTATTGTTTTATTTTAAAAAACAGGGGGCAAACATCATGTTAAATGATGCCCATTGACACTCACAATGCCAGATGGCTCGCAAGTGCGTTGCCGACCTTTCAAGAACTGGTACGCTCTACTTAAATTTGCTTTAAATTTTGTCAGCCGTGTAACATAAAAATGGTTACCATGGCAACAAATAATTTTAGTCCAGGTTTATATTTTATGGGTATAACATTTACAAAAAGCGGGGTTTCTTGTAAAAATAACGTGAAACTTTTAGTAAAATCAACGTAAATTTGATGAATACCAAAAAAAGTCAGAAAAATGTGATAAACTCACCGAATGTAACCTCTGGAAGTCTTCCACATCATCCAGTATCGGGTCCCTAAGACCCCCTTTAGTCTGGTGTTGCTTGCTCATTTGAGAAGCACTTATTTTCTTCCCGGATTGAGCCGTTGTAAAATACTGCGTACACCCATTCTTCAGATACTGGTAGACATAAAATCAGCTTATTTACTATGTGTCAATAAAAACTACATTTTCGGTGGACAAGAGATCGTATTTAAATATTTAACGTAGTATTTACAAGAATTTGAATCTCGGTCAAAGAAAAACGTGAAAAAATGTTTTTTTTTTTTTGTCAGCTGCAGGTATTAATCCGAACAACTCCTCTGAACACTCTCCATGGTAAATGCGGTAGAAGATGATAGAGTGACCCCACATCTCTACGCAACGCCAAAGGATCAAGCCGCTCGGAGAGGGATTGGTCGTCGACGATTCGAACCGCTCTGCGTTGTATACGGTCAAGTGGAAGGAGCTGGTACTGGGGAGCCCAGAGGTGAGAGCAGTACTCCATGTGGAGTGGAGCCGAATATGCGCTTTATATAGTTGCATGCGGTGGCCCGGAGTGAAGTACCGCCTCGCCTTGCTGAGCACACCAAGCTTTTTGGAGGCTAATTTAGCCTTTCCCTCCAAGTGACCGCGAAACTGGACGTCGTTCGATATGTCAACGCCAAGTATTCCAATGCTGGCTGTGGCTTTGGTGGTATGTGGTATATGGTGCATGCAATAATGTGGTGGCGCATGCTGTTTTACCCCACAGAAATCAATTAAATCATCATGATTTGTGAAATGAAAGAAGGAAGGTACAAATTTTTGACTCTAACCTAATGTCACTGGGAACTGAGACAATAGAATTTACATCATGCATGTACTATCAATTTTATAATTTTTTAAAGGGGTCCAAACTTTCAACTCCAAAGCCATGCCTCCTTAATTTTACTTGGGGTTCATACAAGCCATATAAATAATTAGAGCTATTTTAAGGTGGAGCCGTGATTCGACAAATTTACCCGTTTTAGAATGTAGACTTTACTCTGATTTCTAATTCCGTAGTCAGTGTCATGTCAGTGATGGCAAACCTTTTTGGCCGGGTACAATTTCAATACGAGTCTGAACATCTGAGTCTACACATACATTTTATTGTTAGTTAATGTATCCATTTTATTGAGTGTGGTGCTCCACATTAAAAGTGGTTTTTCATCATAACAGTAAAAATCGCACAAGTAAAGATAACATTTAAAAGGTTTACCAAACCTGGAATTAGTAAGAAAAGTAATTAAAGTTAATTCGATATATTGTTCGTGATATTGAAATATTTGTTATTTTTGTATAAAGTCACTGTTGTAGGTAAAACATAAAAAAGGGAGCATTTTTTTTATTGTCCTCAAGTCAAAAGTCAAAGTCAAATTTGTCCTTTTTCGGTGGAGAACTTTTTAGTAGCAACACTTAATATGAAATGTCAGAATTCTACGGACTTAAAAATGGGAGTGTAATTACAGTATTGCGAGCGAAATGTTTCCTTACTATTGGCAATGGAATAAATTTATTTATATATATATATATATAACAGTAAAAAAAATCAGGCATTTACCGTATAGTCATCAGGCTTGGTAATCTTAAGCGCCGCCCTCAACTCCTGAGGTGCGCCCGCGCATAGCAAGTAGAACACGTGGTAATTCCGCTCTTCAGTACTTTGCGTACAAATACGGGACTTCTCCAGCAAATAATGTGATATATGACCCCCCACGACGTGGTATTTATTGTTGAAATGTACTTCCATGAATTTTCCAAAACGAGAACTGTTGTTGTTACGTGTTGTTTTTGCGTTTCCAAAAGCTTCTAGGATTGGATTGGCTGGAATATTTAAAAATAAAATAAATCAGTCAGTTTGACTGTATATTATATATAGTATTGTCTTTGATTAACATAACTTTTATTCATTTAATAAAACACTATTTTGACCGGATTGAAGTTATGTATTATTACCGTCACCGTGACCACGCTCGCTGTAAAGCACGCGAAACGTCGGATAAATTTAAAATTATGTTAAATAGTTGTAAATTTATAGTAATACATAACTTCAATCCGGTCAAAATAGTGTTTTATTGTATATATATGTAGCTGGAGCAGTGTTGGCCTAGTAGCTTCAGCGTGCGACTCTCATACCTGAGGTCGTAGGTTCGATCTCCAGCTGTGCCACAATAGACTCTCTTTCTATGTGCGCATTTAACATTTGCTCGAACGGTGAAGGAAAACATCGTGAGGAAACCGACATGTCTTAGACCCAAAAAGTCTACGGCGTGCGTTAGAAAACTGATCATCTACTTGCCTATTAGATTAACAAATGATCACGAAACAGATACAGAAATCTGAGGCCTAGACCTAAAAACGTTGTAGCACCATTGATTTATTTTATAGCTAGTTAATACATTATAATCTCTTACCATCTAAAATCTTCTGTTCCACGGGACCAGCTGCCTTCGCCCACAACTCACACAAATACTTGAGAATATACTTCGTTGACTCCGTTTTACCAGCTCCCGATTCTCCAGACACAATCACCGATTGTGACTGCTTCAGAGCTTTCATATCACGGAATGCTTTATCGGCTGAAATATGAAATTCCACTTTATAGTATATTATAATATTTTTAAGGTGCTCTTTGTGAAACCAGCTGTTTGTAAAGGTATTCAATTTTGGGTTTTTCAAAGAAGATTATGACAATCCCTCAAATGCCAGGAGCAGACCTGTAAGCCCCAGGTAGGTGTCCATGGCCACGAGCACCTTTCTGTCCCATAAAAATAAGAAATACCAATTTATATAATCAGCTCACCAGATGTTAAGTGATACCGCCCATGGCCACTTAATGCCTGAAAGCTCGCGAGTGCGTTGCCGGGCTTTTAAGAATTAACGAATTGGTTCGGAAATACTTCAGTGGGCAGCTGGTTCCACATAGTGCCTGCGCGGCAAATCTGCCTTAGAAAATGCTTAGTTGTGGAACGAAAACATTTATCTCTTACGAAATAAGGACGTTGAATTAAATAACAACGCCGAAAATTCTTATACCACACGGATGTTTACAAATGCGTCGCTGGCCTTTAAAATCAATTACCATCTCATGATTTACAATACAATATACTGTCAATTGAGAATTGTAGCATTCTATATGGTAAAAGTAACCAACAACAAATTTAACAACATAATAAAAATATATTATTATATCCAGCTATGGGACTATAACTAGGCACGCAGAGTCGATACTAAGCGCTAAGTACGACTTTAAATTGCTTCAAAACTTTTATTTCTTACTTCTTAAGACATTCATAATATATTCATATTCAATATAACACTGTATATATATATATATATATATATATATAATATAGGTATATTTAAAATACGAACCAATAGCGAACACGTGCGGTGGTAACTCTCCCAGCGATCTGCCGTGGTACTTTTTAATCGTAGATGGGGAATACATATCTGGAATGTCTTCATATGGGTTGACTGCCAACAGGATATTTGCGACGTACGTCTACAAGCCACATAAATTTTATTTTTTATGTTCCATTTCAGAACAATATAGGGTAGAAATTTTAATTGGGGTTGCCTGGAAGAGTTCGTTTAGTAGCGATAAGACGCGTTACACCGTTATATTTTCTTTTTTATATTTGTTAATATTATTTAATTTATACAAAAAGTATCAATAAAATAATTATTACTAATTAAGATCTCCTTTATATATCATTAATTTTAAAACTGAATAAGAGACTGAAATTTGTCTGAAGCATTCCTCTTGGGAGTTTAATAGTAGGGATGCATCGATACGCATTTCTGCCGATACGATACACTTATAGAAATATCGTCGATACCGATACCAACGCTTATGGAATTAAACAGTAAAGACAAACTTTGAATAAGATTAAAGGTTTAGTTATTAATATTAAGAATTATGAGTAATAATAATATTAAAATAAAATAACTGTTAATAATTAAAATTAACATTGACAAGATTTTTAAAGCCAAATTAAATTTTAAAGATAGTTAAAACTTAAAAGCCATCTAAAGTGTATAGCGAAATGGAATACGCGGGGACAAAACGAGTAAGAGAGACAACATACTGAATAAAACGCGGGGATCCCCGGGCATAGCTAATCCGTGCCTCGTTTGCAACGAACTAGATCACACAGGATGCGCCATCAAAGAAGTATCGTTGTATCGGCAATTAAAATATCGCCGATACCAATATATCGGCAACCCAAAGTATCGCCGCTATATGGTATCGTTATTACATATGTAGCATCATGAATAGTATTTCACTATGTATCGCTATTAAAAGGCGCAATTTTCATCGATCTTAATTAGTGGGTATTAAAGCGGCAATCAAATCTAGTACAAAAAGGACCCAACTTTTATTCTATAGAATTAATTTCATATTTCGCTTCGTAGTTAAAATATATATGTGGTATCATATTGTCCTTGATGCAAACTGTCGTGTAACCGCGACTCGGTCGATATCTGTTCAAGGCATTGTGACTCACGAGTCACGCTATACTTACATAAATCTTGCTTTTCTTATACCGCGTCAGCATATTATTAAGAAGAGTCGCTTCGTTGAGGAACATTAGCTCACCTGGAAACAAAATATTAAATATGTTTTAATATAAAAACGAGACAATTGAAGATCCCAAATGTTATATTAAAAGCCAACTATCTACGCGCAAATGGGGCTGAGAAGCCAAATTTGTTATTTGTGTAATAGGAGGCAAAGGGGCTCATCTGATGTTATGTGGTATCGCCGCCCAGTGACAGACATTGCTAGAAGGCTTGCAAGTGCGTCGCCGGACTTTAAAAATTGCAAGGGAGGATTTATTATCCCGTTTCCAAAAAAGGGACTTAACTAAAGCTAGTTGACCTTGGCGTCTTCAAAAAATACATCGGAAATATCCTCTCCGGCCTTTGAAAATTGCAGGGGAGTATTTAATCTCCCATCTCCTAAAAAAGGGACTTTATTAACTAAAGCTAGGCGTGGTGGTCTCGGCTTTTCGGAGAAGAATACTCCGGAAATACTATGATATTATTTATGGACGAGTTGGAGTATCCTCTTTTAGACCTCTTAGCTGTCATATTTGCGATAAATAAGAGGAATCAAGGAGTTCCTTCCTCTAGCTGTTATGACTAGATTCGAAGTTAAACTACTTTGGGAATTGGGATACAACTTTAGAAGCTAAATAACAACTAGACTAATAGATAACGTTTAAAATATAGATCTCTTTTTTTATCTATGAAATAAAAGAGGACAGATATATATCAATGGTGAATCTATTCAAAGAAGGGAACCGGTCACTATATCTACTAGACAAATGATATTCACAAATATACAACAAGTTTTTTTCCTACAATAAACTTCACAAAATAGAGTGCGACTTTACATGAATTACAATCTAGCCTATACAATAATTATGGCTAATAAGTAGTATTATGTTGACTTAATTTTGCACAATACTAATGAATAGCTTACACTAAGGTAATGTTCATTAACAGTCTTAGTGTTCTATAATGTTTTGACACTATGTTCGTGGGTCCGAGATACCGCACTTATATTCACTACACTAGGTTTATTAATTAAGGTTTAGTTCTCTTTAGGCGTCATATTCCTGTGTTTAGCCTCAGCATTCACATGGCTATGTAGCCTGTTTAGTGAGCTAAGGTAAACCGTTTCGCCGTAATCAACACAATTCGCAGTATAATTAACCAACGCATTTATATTTTTTTCATGTGACTATTCGTTTCAATTGGAAAATAAACATACTAATGTTAGAACGAATCCAAATATATATTTAATAATACGAAAGTTATCCGAATACTAGGTACAAATCGATTCCTAGAAACGCTTGGTTCATGAAGTAAAATAGAATTATTTCTGCGATTGCAAACTTTAATCTATATACGGCAACGAGCATTCTATCCATTTAAAGATATAACTTTCGCTATTGTTGTTTAATTCATATAAAATCCCTATTCAGTGCGGCAATTTAAAAGAATGTATTAACATTTAATTAATACATCATCTTATCCTCTAGTATATTTATAATTTAGCTTAGATTCAGGGTTTCCATTTGCGATGCTTGTACTTATTAACTGACACGAATAACTTCTTGGCTCTTGTCAATTAATTAATTCCGTAAAATTCTGAAAGCTACAATTTTTTGGCATGTCAGATATTACTTGTTGGCATATAAATACATTTTATTTGTTAGTAAATGTATCCATTTTAATAATTCGCAATACTTACAATTGTCGTCGACATCCTTGGCTGGATCCCCAGCGGGGAATATATCGTCGAAGCTGACGACCCGTTTGGGGTACTTATTGTCTACGGGGAACACGTCTGCCTCCTCCCCCATCAGCTCCTGCAGCCGGGCGAGCAGGAAACCCTCGTTGGGGTCTCGAACCCATACCAGCTGCTTGTCCATCGTCATTGTTCACTGGAAATAATAACATATATTATTAAATTATCTTACATATAAAATATATTTTAATCGAAAGAATGCAACTTTGCGTAATATGTATATGTAAGTTGTAATAGTACTTCTTTGTATTATTGTTTCTTTTTTTATTAACTCTGTAACTGATTATCTAACATTATCTGTCTGGGCTTCAGATTTGTGATTTTTCGTTACATTTGTTTTATTGTGTCTCGATCGACACGAGACAGAGAGATCGATCGAATTGGGTCTAAAGAAGTTTCTTCACGATGTTTTTCTTTACCGTACACTTAAATTTATATGTACTTCGAAAGAAAAATTGGTGCACGGGAACATCGACTTTTGATAGAAATAGATTTCTTGTCTAAAGTATTAGTTCCATTGTAATAACATATAGAGAGACACATAGCAACGCTTCGCAACAATTGTGGCAACCCTAATTTGTTTTTCACTTTACAATGTTAAATATGATATTACGTGCGCGTCACAATAACCTTAGTCTCATTGTGGGCGATGCGAGTATAAAACCGGTTCTAACTACAACGAGGACGTGAAAATAATGAAAACATTTATTTATTCACACTTTATTGCGCAATATCACAAAGGCTGCAAGGGGCTGCTATTGAGTTAATAATAAAAACGGAATTGTTATCAGGTGCAAAAGTGACTATGATCACTCAAAAATAATTTAATTATTGAAGTGAAACTTCTTTAGGCTCATGAGGGTAAAATTTTTACGGAACGTCACGAAGATGTGCAGCGTTTTTGTCGATTTTTTTTTCTTTAATAAAGATGTGCTAGTATAATATTGTGGTGCAATTATTCATACTTGAACCGATGGTGTTTTTAATATCAATATCATAATATTTTTTAAAAGCACCCTAACAAACATACTTATTATATATATATATATATATAGAACACACAAATTAGAATAAATATTTTTAGTTTGTTATGAAACTCAAATGTTTAATCAAATATGCAATTTAAAAATTGAATAAAATTTGCAATTTTGGTGACACAATAATAATGCAGAAAACCATTTTCTCAATCAAACTAATTTATGACTCCCCTTATTTTTTTTCTATCGTCATGTAGGATTGGTAGATTTTCGTAGTAATTATGCAATCAGCAATCTATTTTAACTAGAACAACTTACAGCTACTCAGTATGAACTTTAGGAAAACGTTTTCCGATCACATTTGTTTTCGAATGAAATCAGGATAAATAAATGGTCTCTATTTAATTTATCTATATAGCAAGGCGCTTTCATAGTATTTTGTTGATTACGCAGCTGAACATTGTTTTAAATATTTTGAAATTAATATTAGTTAGGGATAACTCAAACTATCTTTATTCATGTAGGTAAACAAGTACACTTACGAATTGTCAGAAAGAAGTTAAATTAATTGTAAATTTACATTTACTACCAGTTCGCAATTCAAGGGCGTAGAGCGGGTAAGAAGAACTGGCAAGAAACTTTCCGCCACTCTTTATAATCGCCAAGTATTGTGTCATACAAATTGTTTGAACTGGAGCAAATCAATCCCAAGGATTAGAATCATTTAAGATAATGTAGATAAAGCCAATAGTGAATAGTTGAAATTCGTCCGGAGCTTTTGAGTTTACGCAGATTCCATTTTCGAAAAGGAAGCATCTTAATCTAGGTTAGATAATAAAGTTACATAATGTAATAAATACCCAGCAGAACGGAACAGCAACGGTTAGTTCGCTTTCGTGACGAATCACTGCTATATATTATGTAATTAATACGGCGTATATACGACTACTGGTTCTGTACGAGAGAATTTTGTTTATACATATTATTATTAGTAATTATTTTAGTTATACTTAGTGTTACATGTTATTTTGTGTTCGTTTTTGTTATGCACTTCTTGTACTTTACCCTCTATAGGTGTTTCTTTTTTTTTATTGTTCCATATTACGGTCGCCTGGTAGAAATCGCTTGTTAGCGATAAGGCCGCCCGTGGTCTAATTACTTATATAACCTGCTTTTTTAAAAAGTATGTTTTTGTATGTTGTTTTGTATGTTAAGTGGGAATAAATAAATAAAAACATTAAATATATAATATGTTCCGCTTTGCTTTATACCTTATAGAAGGGATGGGTTTTATATAGGTTTAAAGAATTTTATTCTCATTAAAAACATACACGTACATGAGAAAAAAAATATTAAAAACATAAAAAGTTAAATATATCAAGCCACCGTAGTAAGCAGTTATTGCATTAGAGTCCATCTACCAAAAAAACTTTGCAGGGATTCTTAAAAGGCCGGCGAGCACTCTGGCATTGAGTGTCCATGGGCTGCGGTATCACTTACCAACAGGTGATACTCCTGACCCCTGTTCTATAAAATTCTTTAAAAAAAACTAAAGCTCTTGAGAGCCGTCTGAAGTCCGGCCTTTAAAGACCTATCTGGTCGCCAAACTCCAAAAAAGTACATTGTTTCTTTCCATTTTTCGTCATCGTTTCTTGAAATGGCGAATGGAAAATATGTGGTGGAGTTGAGTAGTTTATGTATCCATTTTGAAAGATCGATACACGATTTAAATAACTTAGCTCGATAGAAAAAAATCCAAACATAGCCAATTATTGACACTTTGAATTCATTTTATGACGAAAATGTATATAGAACATGATTTTGAAATTTACACGATATATTTTATCGAAAGCCAAGTAATCCATTCCAGAAAAAAATAAGTTAAAAGTACATTAATTTAATGTTTTACATAATTAATTGTTATTACGGGCCGGCGCGCCTCAGTGCTCCAGCAGTCTCCACTGCACCCCGCAGTCCATCCCGAGACACTGACACAACAATTCGTGCTGGGATAGGTCCATTATTTACGCCCCTATCGTCAAAATATATTTCAGCCCCACTTCCGATTAGCAACGGGCAATAACCATAACAATACCAGTATGACCGCTGAAGCAAGAAGTGTAAAACGGAACTCCAAATTAAGTAGTACACTACTGCCACCGGCCGTTCCGCTAGTGAATACGGAAATAAAAACTCAAAATAAGCCCGCACGCCCGCAGCCTGTTGATAAACAAACCGCAGACATGTCTAAGCGTATGAATTGTTCAAAGAGTACTTCACTCTTCGTGTCTGGATAATACCATAGTTTTTTTAAGTTGTGTTGATACATCACGTAGGCACTTGATAATTTAAAAGATGTTAATACAAATTATGATTTTTCAAAGGAGGCACGGTGTTTTAATAATGCGAGGAAGTTTTTAGATTATAAGCTTTGACATATCTTTTAATTAACATAATGCAACTGTTTTTAATTATATTTTGATGCATGTGCGGATTTTCGTAATTCATCTTTGCAAATAAAATTTATTATGTATAACTTACTTATTTCAGATTATATCCATGATGTTTTTGTTAGTTAGTATCAGTTCGATCTTAGTTGCTATGTCAGTCAAACAAAACTAAAAAATATGATGGTTTGAGCGATTGCTTATAAATTTCTTCAATTTAAAAATAAGTACAAACATAGTCCGGTGCAACTAAACGCCCCGGGATCGCGCCTTTAAAAATTATTCAACCGAAAAGTCGGTCGAATATCTGTAGTGAAATTGACACTATTGACTAATCACTATGATTTTTGTGCATCGTTTCTCAAGCGGGGGGTCGCGATCCTTGGGGGGGTTGAGTTTGTTTTAAAAGGGGGTCGCAGTCTGTTAAAAAAATAAATACAAACTACATATAGGTACAAAAGATTCGTTTAAAATAGCGCGCTATGTGCATATTACAATTTTACAGTAACGGGGTCGCAAAACTGTTTTACTTGACTTTTTAGCTTTTTCGTGGGTCGCGACATAAAAATGGTTGAAAAACGAAACGTGTATCGTTATCTACTAAATCTAAATTCACACCCCTTGAAAAAGTTTTCAACGCAAGCCTACATCGCTCTTGCCTTAAAGTGTACTAGTCTTTATGTCAATTTCTATTAGATAAAAAAAGTGCGTACACATTGTCAGAAGTGAAACTTCTTTGACAAACTAATTTTTTTTAAGCCTTGTTCATATTTATACAAATCTAAAACTATACATTTCCGAGACTCACAGGGAGGGAAAAAGGAAGATATGTTAGGAATTTAATTGCCATTAAAATATTAAGTGTCGGAAATATAATACCAATTATTAATTTAATTTTTTAAATTTATTTCTTCGATAATAAAAACACGTGGCATTTTAATTTACAATTCGTCATTTGAGATTTCAATAAATTATTTTGCATAAAATATAAAATACTAATATTTCATAAATTCTCTACGAAATTTTAATTTTAAAAATAGAATTTCTATAAGGTAATTCGCCATTCTCACTGTCTTTCAATCGGTCTCAATCGCTCTCTCCCTTTTCTTCGACAAAAAGCTGCACGCCTCATGCGCCTAAAAAAAACATTTATTTCAAAAAACAAAACAACTGCAAACCCATGGTCTCTCACAGCGAATGTTCCACACGTATAATATAACAAGATCGTTATGACAGCGATAAAAAATACGATTTATGAGATCAGACAATGTTAAACATTAAATTTAGGTCGAGAAAATTGCTCGAAATCACGAAACAAGCGTACGCAAAGAAATAATTTGAATAGCGGAAATAAATGTAAAGATTAACTCTCTTGAGCAATGTGAAAGTGCAGCGAATTATTTAGAAATTTACGAAAAACATTGTTGAATATTGTCGTACTCTCTTATTCGGTACACTCTTGACAGAGAGGTCGTAATCGCTATGTATACTCTGATTTTTAATTCCGTAGAATTCTGACATTTCATAAGTGTTGCCACTAAAAAGTTCTCTACCAAAAATGGGACAAATTTGACTGATTTGAGGGCAATAAAAAAATGCTACGTATTTTTCATGTTTTACCTAAAAAAAGGTAAATCTAAATATTTACTTACTCAAGTGACCTAATACAAAAATTTCAATATCACGAACAATATACCTAATTAACT